GAATTTAAGAAAAAGTGTTAAAATTGGCGTAGTAATAATTTAAATTATAAAAACCTGAAAAGAAGTTAAGAAAAAGATGCAAAATTAATTAATAATTTTGAATTGGCGCATTAATTGAAAAGAATTGAAAATAATTTAAGAAAAAGTTGCAAAATTAATTAATAATTTTGAAAAAGCGCAGTAATAATTGAAATTATAAAAAACCTGAAAAGAATTTAAGAAAAAGAAGCAAAAGTAATGAAAAATTTTGAATAAACGCAATAATTAAAATTATGAAAAATATTTTTAGATTGATGGGGGAAGGCGTATTGTGAATCCCGTGTGGTATAAAATCACTTACTACTTGATGTCTTCATCACCAACTGTTGCATCTCTGCACATCTCGATCTCAGCCCTCGTTGTTGGTTGGCACTCACGAACACTCGCGATAATTTAGCAATAAATACGCACAAAATTCCCGGAAATTTAACACGTGATTCTAATATTAATAAATTTATAGCAAATTGAGTAACGAAATTTGAAATGAACTGCACTCACGGTTGAAGAACAAGAGCCGAAGCCTTAAACTTGTTTTCAAAATAACGCATAAACACTGTAAATCAGAATGTAAGACTAAGAATCGGCTAATGGTCAAGACTTGTCTTAACGACACCTGTCGCGAGACAAAATAATGATATTTCGGGGAAAACGCGAGCCCCTAGATCCGCTGTGATCTGTTGGTGGTTGCTCGCATATTTCGGATACGACAACGACCTTAACGGATGCACCTCGAGAAGGTTTTAGCACAGACGGTCTTGCCATTCCATGCGAATCACTGCGACGTGATAAACGCATAGAACGACCTGGTATTTTGAATACCTTGCATCCATATAAATAAACAAATACCGAAACTGTAAGAAAAAAAACAAGCAAAAAAAATAGTTGGTGATACCAACTAATTATGTTTTAATTCAATATGTCTTTTGATTAGAATTTCCAATAAGAAATGTTAACCGATTAAACATATCAAATGATGCTTACGATTGATGCCTTCGTCTACGGTTGACAAAAGCAGCTTTTCAATTTCCAGTGAAAATTAATAAGAAAACCTCTCAAAATTTCCTTAATTCCAATTGGAACGATGTTGACTTAAGAAAGGGACGCGCACAACTATCTCATAGAGACGCCACGATCTTACCATCTGCTACATTTTTTATTTTTTTTTGTGCAATAAAAATGCGTTGGTATCAACAATAAACAAAGGAAAATGGCGGGAAGAAAGCGTTGGTCCGCCATTTTCTATGAGTCCACATTTCTAATTAATTAACGCGAATTTCTCAATTTAGTGTTATTGCGGAATACGTACATTTTAACACAAGCTACGTAAGGGATTAGCGAACAAACTGGGAAAATTTCTATGCAATGCGATTTTTTTTTACAATCAGATTAATCACTAACCTTTAATTGCCGCTAATTCTAATGTTGTGGTTATCTACGATGATGGTTTTCTCAAAGTTCTGTTGTTTTCATCGGATTTCAACCAGTTGCACAACAATTTTTGAAGTTATAAAACCGGAGCAAGCGCCAACTATCTGAAGAACGAACTACGACTGAGAGTCCCTTTCCACGAATCGACGCAGGCGCAGTAGATGATACCAACTTTTTGTTTAAACAAGAAATTATTTGTTAATTTCAAAACTCCCTCTTGTGGATCAATTAATAAATACATAGCGTCAATATGACAAAAATCAATAAATTATTAATAATTGCCCAATTAAATGAATGGGTTAATGTCAATATGTGGTTCCAATATGAATGAGTACATCAAATAATGTTCATCGAATAGAATTTCAAATCACATTTATATCACTCGATTAGTTTGCATTGGAACATATTCAACATATTAATACATCCTTCGAGCTTGAGCAATGCATACATTTTATTAGTCATTTAGTCACAACCAATCGATTGGTCTATTTTAGTACATTGATAATTCCTTCGAGTTTGATTTAGCATTAATATATATCACATATTAATAGACACAGCTAATGATATGCCTAGTTATAACATAACTGCTCGAACTAATTGAATATAGTTTATGAAATTACAAAGAAAAACTGCAAGACATGTAAAAATTTAAATTGCTCACGATTAATCAGCTAGTTACGGTTCGGAATAGCGGCTTTTCAATTTCCACTGAAAATTAATGAGAAAACTCCGAAATTTCATTAATTATTGCGCACTTCTTATTGGAATAAAGTTCACTTTAGAAAGGGACGCGCACAACTACCTCATAGAGACTTCCTATTTATTTATTTTTTTTGCAATAAAAATGCGTTGGTATCAACAATAAACAGTGGCGGGAGAAACGCGTCGGTCCTTATGGTTCTTATGGAATACGCACATTTTAACACAAGCTACGTAATGGATTAGGGAACAAATTGGGAACATTTCAATGCAATGTGATTTTTTTTTTATTATTTTAAAATCAGATTAATCACTAACCTTTAATTGCCGCTAAATTTAATGTTGTGGGTTGTGATTGTGTTGTGTTGTGCAGATTTGAACTGGTTGCATAACAATTTTGTACTTATAAAACCGGAGCACACGCCGACGCATAAAAAAACGTACGTTACTGCTGCCAACTGATGTTCAAATTCAAATTTTTTTAATAACATGAAAACTCCCTATTGTGGATCAATTGATAAACACTATAGCGTCAATATGACAAAAATAAATAAATTATTAATAATTACCCAATTCAATTAATGTGGATAAATGAATGGGTTAATATCAATATGTGGTTCGCTAAGTATTTCCAATATGAATGAGAACATCAAATAATGTTCATCGAATAGAATTTCAAATCACATTTATACAATTGATTAGTTTCATATATAATTGATTAGTTTGCGTTGGAACAAATTCAACATATTAATACATACTTCAAGCTTGAGCAATGTATGTATTTTATTAGACATTTACGCACAACCAATGGATTAGTGTATTTTAGAACATTGATAATTCCTTCGAGTTTGATTTAGCATTAATATACATCACATATTTGCAGTCACACCTAATGATATGGATAGTGAATATGAATGTTCGAACTAATTGAATATAGTTTATGAAGTTACAAAAAAAAACTGTAAGATTTGTGAAAAATTAAAAAAATTAAATTGCTAGTTACGGTTCGGAATCCACTGGAAATGAATGAGAAACCTTCGAAATTTCATTAATTATTGCGCACTTCTAATTGGAATGATGTTGACTTAAAAAAGGGACGCGCACAACTATCTCATAGAGACTTAAATTTTTATTTTTTTGCAATAAAAATGCGTTGGTATCAACAATAAACAAAAGAAAGTGGCGGGAGGAACGCGTCAGTCCGCCATTTTTTATATCAAAATTTGGAAAATTTCAATACTATGCAATTTTGTTTTTATTTAGAATCAGATTCACCACTAACCTTTAATTGCCGCTAAATCTAATGAGATTGTGATCTCCGATGATGGTTTTCTCAAAACATAACACAGTTAATCGGATTTGAACTAGTTGCACAACAATTTTGTACTTATAAAACCGGAGCACACACAGACTCATAAAGGAACGAACTGTGAGTGAACTCCTCAGACGCAAAAGCAGTAGGTGATGTCAACTGATTGTTTATAATTCAAATGTTTTAAATAACATTAAAACTCCCTCTTGTGTATCAATTGGTAAACACAATAGCGCCAATTAGTCAATAAATTATTAATGAAATGTTAATTTTCTAATTGGGACGCATCTAAATGGCAGAGGTTTTTCCAAGAAGGAAGACAAAAAATTGCAATTAATTTACAATTAAATTAGATTGAATGAAATTTATTGAATATAATTTAAAATCACTTATAAAGCAATCAATTTGTTTGCACTGGAATATATTCTTCATATTAATACATCCTTCGAGTTTAAATTGTGCACGCAACTTATAAGTTACTCACTCACAACTAATTGATTAGGTAATTTTACAACTTTGATAATTCCTTCAAGTCTGATTTAGCATTGATGATACAAATAATTATAAAATAACTATCCAAACTAATTAGTTTAAGAAGTTACAAAAAAATCTTAACATTTCTACTTGCACATAATAAAAACTAGAGTGCTTCAGTTTGGCAAACACTGCCCTAGACCAATGAGCAATATTTTAATGCATATTTGGAATTTATATGATATATTGGAAAAAGTTATATTATTGGTTTGGCTAGGATTTGAATCTGAGACATCTCGTAACCCAAAAAAAAATTATACAATTATAACATTAAGATAGTTTTCTGTTTGTCTATCCACTGTTTTCAATTAATTTTTGTTTGTTCCAATTTAAGAATTTTATTTTGTTTGTCTATTACTATTTGTTACTATTTTCATGTAACTTTTTTTTATAAATATGTAAATGCAAATTAATTCAATAAATAATGTTTATTTAAAATTTACATTGATTGTTTCATGAATTCAGAATGGGGGGGGTAATATCGACTTACGCAATAATATTTTGGGATAATGGTTAAAAAAAGTTCCCCGACCGCTCATCTAGGGGTACGCTAGGTATCTAAGATTGAAATTCGCTAAATTGGATAATTGTGTAAACAGTTTTTGCGTCACTCTTCCACTTGACAATGGATCAATACAGAACCGCATTTGGAAGGTGAATGTTCTAAAATATTCTATACTTATAATGGAAGTACACGAATTTGCACATACACATTCAGAATAACTCGAGATTATAGTCAATTTATATAGAGTACTATTTGGATATATTGAATGAATTAACCTATTTTTAAACTTTTGAGATTTATAAGAAATTTGTTTTTCTTGAAGAAATGGTTGATCCCAATTGTATGTCTGAAGGAAACTATGTAGTGATAGAAAATGTAGGTTTAGTGAATGGTAACTCAGTTTAAATTATAGTTTTATAATTATTTTTTTTTCAAATTAAATGAAAAATACAACAAGGAAAAAAGAAAAGTAAACACCACAAATAAATTTTCTCATTTATGTTAAATATTTCTTCGGTGATTCCTAGTGTTTCATATCAAATTTACTCATGGCGCATTATTTATTCTTTAAACATAATATAAAAAGAGAATGTTGAAAATATGTTATATATCTGCATCCATCCAGCTTTAGTTCAGTTTTATCTATCATGTTGTTGGTGGATAAAGACTGGGCAGAACCTACTATTGCTTATGGTTTAATTATTTAATTAGTGTTCTTTGCTAATTGCTCGGCCTTCTGGACGACCTCTTCAATGGGGCCAACCATGTAGAAGGCGACTTCTGGAAGGTGATCGTATTCTCCTCCCAAGATCTTCTGGAATCCCTTGATGGTTTCCTCAAGTGGCACAAGCTTGCCGGCATGACCGGTGAAGACTTCAGCGACTTGGAAGGGCTGGCTCAAGAAACGTTGGATTTTACGGGCACGGGCAACGGTCAACTTGTCTTCTTCAGACAATTCATCCATACCCAAGATGGCAATGATATCTTGGAGAGACTTGTAGTCCTGGAGGATCTTCTGGACACCACGGGCGACGTTGTAATGCTCGTGTCCGATGATGTTGGGATCCATGATACGGGAGGTAGAATCGAGGGGATCGACAGCTGGGTAGATACCCAACTCGGCGATGGCACGGGACAATACGGTGGTGGCGTCCAAGTGAGCGAATGTGGTGGCTGGGGCAGGATCGGTCAAATCGTCAGCTGGTACGTAAATGGCTTGCACGGAGGTGATGGAGCCCTTCTTGGTGGTGGTGATACGTTCCTGCATGGTACCCATGTCAGTGGCCAAGGTTGGTTGGTAACCTACGGCGGATGGGATACGACCCAACAAGGCGGATACCTCGGAACCGGCCTGGGTGAATCTGAAAATGTTGTCAATGAAGAGCAACACATCTTGTCCTTCCTGGTCACGGAAATATTCGGCGACGGTCAATCCAGTCAAGGCGACACGGGCACGAGCGCCTGGGGGCTCGTTCATCTGACCGTACACAAGGGCTACCTTGGAGGTCTTATCCTTAAGGGAAATGACACCGGACTCAATCATTTCTTGGTACAAATCGTTACCCTCACGGGTTCTTTCGCCGACTCCGGCGAACACGGAGTAACCACCATGGGCCTTAGCGACGTTGTTGATCAACTCCATGATCAATACAGTTTTGCCTACACCGGCACCACCGAAAAGACCAATCTTTCCTCCCTTGGCATATGGAGCCAACAAATCTACGACCTGTTCAGGAAACATGGAAAAGCATATGTTAATACAATCAAAAGCTCAAAAAATGATTAAATCACCTTAATTCCGGTGACAAGGATCTCTTGTTCGACGCTCATCTCCACGAATTCGGGAGCTTCAGCGTGGATTGGGGCGATCTTGTCGGTGGGGATTGGACCACGTTCATCGATTGGTTCACCGATGACGTTGATGATACGGCCCAAAGTTTCGGCACCGACTGGAATACGGATTGGGAATCCGGTGTCGCTGACAGTTTGTCCACGAACCAAACCTTCGGTACCGTCCATAGCAATGGTACGTACGGTGTTTTCACCCAAATGTTGAGCAACCTATATGAAAGAAAAACATAATCATTTAGAGAAAAAAAGCTCAACTAACAAGAGATGAAGAACGTACTTCGAGGACCAGCCTTGGGGAGCGGTTTTGTACTTCCAAAGCGTTCAAGATGGGGGGCAAGTTTTCGTCGAATTGGACATCGACGACGGCACCGATAACGGCGACGACTCTGCCGCCGGAGCCACCAGCAGCCTTGGCATAATTCCTTTCTGCAAAACGTCAAAAATATAAATTTGAATCCACAGTAGAATTTAACTTACAAATAAAATGTACTTAATAACTCCACCCTATGACATAATAGTCATCAAATCACATTATTTTTTGGTATAATAAACAGTATTTAAGTACCAAATCTTATATAATAATAAATGGTCTACACAAAAACTGTAAAGATATAGGTTACATAGTGGAATAGTGTTACATAACAACTGATTGATGTGATTATGTAAATCATCAAAAAAAAATATAATTGAATGTAAAATCAAAAAGACATTGCTCTTTAGAATAGCAGTGATTGCATATGATTGATTGAAATTTGTACATATTGTTAAGATTATATAATGGCTCAGATAGGTTATGTGTTAACATAATGGACGTCACCAAGAAAATATCGATTTTCTTTAAAGGCGTATGATCTGAATTGATTAATCCATCAGAAGACAGATTTGCGGATGGTCAAAATCCAATAAGATTTGGTACAAAATGGCGCTCGAACTTATCAACCGGTTATGTAACTAAAGTGTGTGAAACCCGAGTTCCAATTGGATTATACAACATCCATGAGAATCGACGGATTTTCGTAAATTTTAGGTAATCTTGGGTCTTAAGTTAGTGCTAATCATGGTTAATCGGTGGATGAAGTCCACCTGCAGTCGTGGAGAGTGTGTGGCCGACACCTCTATCTCTTTTATACGTGAAATACAGCCAATTTCGGGGAAAAATATGATCGTGCTTTTGACTTACGTGGGGCAGTTTGTACGCCAAGTACTTTCAGGGCTTCAGAACCCAATTTCTCGAGGGGCTTGGCAGCCAAAAGGCTAGAACTTGAACGTGTTACGGCACCCAACATGGTCGGTCGAAGAACAGACCAATAACTCCTGCTCCTACCGCTAGGCTTGTGATAATACATTCACCACCAGAGGGACGTCTGCATATGCGCAGTACAATTTCTTACGTAATAATTTTTGTACAAAAAAAAAATAGAAATTACATTTTTATTTAACAATATTACAAACAAAAGTCCGTAGTCCTCTGATTACGTTAAAACAACAAAATATGATCAATTTTACTCTCATTTTGATAGTTTACCAACCAATATATAATTAAAATATAAGTATCAATTCTTACAATAGATGGCTCTTCTATAAAAATCAATAATTTTATTATTTATGTAACACTTTTTTTATAAAACTAAACGTTTTTCATACATGAAACCAATATCTGCATAAGCAAAATATTGTTAGTTGTTCTATGACCAGCAAAAAGATTTCGTTATTTAATAACAATAAATAAATGTATATTCTATTTAAATATGAAAAATGTCAAAAAGTTGTCATTCTATTTGTTATTGATATGACCAATCTTATATAATATTTCATGAATGTGGATGTTCTTGACATTGTTCTAAATCTGTTTTAAAATTGCTCTGTTTGTATTACATAAAAAATTACACTTTATAAATAAAAGTCATTTATTAAAAGCATTAATTTATTACATCTATATTCAATGAAAATAAATTGGAATATTCATTTTATTTGTATTAAATAAGAGCGTAGACATTGTTCATTAGTTTCGTTTATTAAAATGTGAGAAGCAAACGCAAAAGTATGATTAATAATGTGAATGAATTATGAGGTAGAACGATCGAACGAATCTTTTAACCCTTCAGACTGCTCATTCCAGCTCTCATTATTTCATCAACTAACAACAAGTTGGAGGCGATGACGGAGCACGAGTTGATGATCTGCTTCTTGACAATGTAATTATCGAAAATGCCATTGTCTTTGGGGATAATTGGTTCTCCGGAAGCCAGATCAAGACCGACGGGGACGTCGCTTAAACGAGACTCTTCTTGCAACTTAACAATAGTGTCCTAGAAATATAATCATTATTAGGATTTCAATTCCAATTGGTTTCGGGAGTATTGTGATTTACCTGTGCATCGAAGCCAGAATTGGTAGCCAGAACTTTGGGAATAACGAGGAGAGCTTCAGCGTATGCGGCAACTCCCAAACGAGACTTGCCCTTAACGGTGTCCTTGAAGGCAGTGAGTGCTTTGTAAGCGGTAATTTCGAAAGCTCCAGCGCCAGGGATAAGAGCTTTGTCTTCGATGGCGTTGTTGCAAGCCCTCAAACCATCCCTCACAGCATCCTTGATTTGAGTCAAAGTATGCTTGTTGGGACCCTTCATGAGGATAGTCACGGATTGCGGGTTCTTGCATTCTTCGACGAAAGTGTACTTGTTTTCGCCGAGAACGTGCTCATAGACCAAACCAGCGAAACCTAACTGAGATTCTTGGATATCATCAAAATGGTTCAGAGCGATACCACCGCAAGCCAATGCCAACCTCTCCATGTTCCTCCTCTTCGCGCGTCTCAAAGCCATAATACCTTCTTTGGCGAGCATGTCCAAGCTCATTGGGTCAATACCCTTCTGGTTAATAACTACGAAGTTTTTACCGTTACCGGTGCACAGCTTCTTCTTCAATTCGATAACTTTCTTTACCCTCTGCTCAATGAATTCCCTTTCAGCTGCAACGAGTTTCTCCCTCTCTTCAGCGGTTTTGTAAAAGAATCCAGAGTTTACTTCACTCTTCTCATACTCCATGCTTACATTGCAGGTCAGAATGTAGGCGTTCTCCAAACGTTTGGGCATATCAGGATGTCTAGCACCATGATCCATTACCAAACCTTTCACCAACTGAGTGTCAGTGGCAGTTTTATGTTGCATCTCCATCAATTCGACCATATGCAAATCGACGGGTTTATCATCACGACGAATAGCCAGGATGGCTTCGACGCAAACGTCAGCCAAAACATCGGCCAAGTTGTGATGCACCTTCGTCCTCAAGCTCGTGGTAGCGACGTCCAACAGACCTTCTTTGTTGATTTCAATTGGAATTTTGATGCTCTCCAAAACTTCAAGGGTCTTGGCACGGGCTTTATCGAAACCCTCGGTAATCAAACGGGGATGGAGACCGTCGGCGATGTAGGAATCGGCTTGCTTCAGAAGTTCACCAATCACCAACACAGTTGAGGTCGTACCATCACCGGTCATATCGTCTTGTGCAGTTGAGGCGCGAGCAATAAGCGATGCAGTTGGGTGTTGGATTTGCATTTCATGTAACAATACATTGCCGTCTTTGGTTATTTTGATATCACCAGCGCCAGAAACCAACCTAAAATGAATACAAACAAAAATATTAATATTTTAACAAAAAAATGATGTTTTCAACTATGCAACTGCTTCTTTCTCAAATCCAGAACCCAATAAAGATTAAATGAAATATTAAAAACCATAATATTACCCTTAAAAAACATCCATTTCATTCAGATGTATTTTATACTGTGTGGGTGGTGACTCCACTACTATAATTGTGTTTTAATACATAAATATATATGTTATTGCTTCTAACATCATCAGATTACCCTATTTCAAGCATAAAATAATCAATGTGAATGCGATTTCCATTGGAATCGTAACGGAAAATGGTAATTTGTGCATTTTCAGAGTCATGTGCCATCGACTTACATTTTCATGGTACCGCGTGGTCCCAAGTTGGTCTTCATCACATCCTGGATACCTTTGGCAGCAGAAATGTTTACTGAGAGAGCTTGAGCTGCTCTCGCAACCTCGGCTTTAGGATTTAACAAACTTATAGCAGCCATTGATATATTTTATATGGGATTGTTCGAGAAAAATATATCCACACCTTCTACAAGAACTAACCAAATTTTTTGACAGTTCACTATTTTTGACAGACGCCGGCGTAAACCCTTCCTCACGTGCCGTCGTTTATAAATTTAGTTACACTATTCTACACCAAAAAGCGCGCGAAATTTAAACTTAGAATTATTCTAAACCGTATTAGAAAAATATTTTTATATAATAATTTAATTAATAAAACATACTTCATGGAAATTTTATAATTTAACAAAATTATACAGTAAAATAATAGAGATCAAACAGGAAAACGTTGAGATGGGTGTAGCCAGGTGTAGCGTCCGCAAGATAAATAAATAATGAACAATCAGCAGACACCAAGAAAATAGACGTTTGTTTGCAGATGAGTACGATATATTCGGTGAATATATTGCTTGCAAGTTACGAAAACTTCGCAGTAATATTAGCATCTAATCAACGCAAAGCAAAGACGGGATTGCTGAAAGACATCGATGAAATCAAATTCTCAATAGTCAGAGACAACAAATGTTGGATTCTGATTGAACACACAATGTTTTATTTATAAAGTAGTAGTACGTTGATCTCAGCTTTAAAATTTGATTACATTTTTTAATGTAACAATAAGAAATTAGGAAATCAATCTTAATTATTAGATTTGTAATTTTTGTACACTATAATGATGAGTCATAATTTGAAAGTATAAAATTAATGATTATACATATGTAGATTTAAATGGAATGTAGTACGTTATGTGAAGCCTTTAAATGTTGCTTGACGTAACTCTTATCGATGAACTTTTTATCGCAAATATCACAAGAAAAGGGACGTTCTCCCGTGTGACTTCGTATGTGCTTTTGCAGTTTGTTATTAGCAAAATACGACTTCGGACATATGTGACAGAAGTACTTCTTCACTCGCTCGGGTATCTTCGCGTCTCCGATGCTGTGCGTCTTAGCCAGATGTATGTTTAAGGACTTCTGGTATTTGTACGTTTGGCTGCAGTGCTCGCATTTAAAGGATCTAACATTAGAATGCGATTCTATATGCTTAAGAAGAACGCTCCGATTGATGCACCGCCTCTCGCACAAATGGCAAGCATAGTTTCTTTCGCCAGTATGAGTTTTGGTATGAGTATCCAGATTGATCTTCAGCGGAAAACGACGATCGCAATGCGAGCACACGTACTTCCATTCCGATCGATCTATATGAACACATATCTTGTGTTTGTGCAGATCGCTGGAGGTGTTGAAAGCTTTCGGGCATTCCACGCATTTGTAAGCCCTCTTATTCGCGTGGATTTTTTCATGGTGATATAAATCGCTGGTAGTAATATAACCTTTTCCACAAAACGAACATATGTGTGGTCTGTTTCCGGAGTGGTACTTCTTGTGAGCGGACAGATACACAGCAGACGCAAACTTCTGTCCGCAAACGTCGCAATTATGTTTCTTCTCAGTGGCATGGACATTCTTCACGTGACGATTCAATAAGTATTTCGTCGAAAATTCCAGGCCGCAAGTTTCACAGCTATTTGCTACTTTCAACTTCTTGATATCATTCTTCTCTTCAACTTTACTGCAATCCACTTTATGTATCTCTAATTTTTTGCGCGTTGTCAATACACTGCTGCAGGTATCACAGCCATACTTTTTCTCATCATCTGCACTACTGTGAGTCTCTATGTGTGCAGTCAGGACTTCCTTTGATTTAAATCCCTCACCACAATGTATGCATATAAATTCATTTTCCACCCTTGGCTGCACATCTTCACTTTCTTGCAGCACATCTTGGCAATCTTCAGTATCACCCAAGGAATAGTTATACTCTGAAGATAACTGGGAATAAGACTTGATGACCTTCTTGCGAAATGTGTAATAAGCATCGAGTTCACTGGAACATTGTGAACAGATGAAGCATGATATGTCCCAATTCTATAAAAATATAAATTATTCAAAGCCAAACTAAATCCTTAATGCTAATACTTGCCAGCTCTGCTACACAAAACTCTAACTTATCCTTCCATTTCACCTGATCCAAGATAGTTTCTGTTTCAATGTTTACAATATTATCATGAGATAAACAGAGGAAACATATGTTCAAAGTATGTGTTTCTTGCATATTGCATACTAATTTATTTTAAGTGAAGGTTTACTTAAACACAAGTAATCGCGATTTCAATAATCTAATTAAAATGAATACAAAAATCAAGTATTTTCATTTGTTGTTGTTTACACCAATTTAGAGGTTATCTTATTCATAACCTATATTTTGAGTACACTACATTGATTGTCACTTAATACATTTAAACTAATTTTGAAAGAAGTTGTAAATGTACATGTCTGAGAGTATAATAAATTATTAAAAAAATTAAATATTCATAAAAGTAAATAAACGAACAATTGTTATAACAAAATAAAAGTAATTTATTTTAGTAATTCAAAAAGTAGTAAAGATGAGTACTGGGTTAGTGCCTAGTAAAAGTACAGTGTATATTTCTAATTTGCCATTTGATCTAAAGAACAATGATCTGCACAAACTCTTTGAGAAATATGGGAGAATCATCAAGTAAAACATGTTCTAGGTTATAATAAACATAATTAAAATAATGTTAATTTTAGAGTAACTGTCCTAAAGGACAAAACAACCAAGAGGAGTAAAGGTGTTGCTTTCATATTCTTCTTAAGCAAGGATGATGCCAAAAAATGTGCAGATGCTACCAATATGCAAGAGGTTTGTAGAAGATTCAATTGTATATCATACTATAAATATTAATCTCTTGTCTAGATGTTTGGTAGGACACTTAAAGCCAGTATAGCCAAAGATAATGGAAGGAGTGCTGAGTTTATCAAGAGAAAGGTTTGTTTAAGTTAAAGTTATTCAAATAATATACTAACTACAAAATTCAGAATTATCCAGACAAATCCAGTTGCTATGAATGTGGGGAGGAAGGCCACATGAGCTACAAGTGTACCAAGAACCTGCTGGGTTCCAGAGAACCACCACCAAAGAAGATCAAGAAGAAAAATCAAAACAAAACAAGCACTTCCAAAGTATACTTATATTTTGTAATAAGTAATATTAAAAAGTTTTATGTATTCTTTATTTTTTAGGAGCCAAAAAATTTGAATTACTTTGATTCAGATGATGAAACATATTATAATAAAACCAACAAAGTCAATGAGTCTGAGGAGGAAATTGAATCAGATAATGAAACTTTGAGTGCTGCCATTGCATTGGAGGTAAATGTTGAAAAAGTATATAATTTTAAATGATGTAAATTTATTTTGTTTTGCAGCAACAACGCATCGAATCTGAACAAAATAAGAGCATTTCTGGATCAAATGAAAATTTAACAAGGAAGAAAATCAAGAAGAGTTCCTATTTCAGTGATGAAGAAGAAGAAATTGAATAATTAAAATTAATTTATGTGATTATATCAACTTTCTTTCTTTCTGGATTTAATTCATTTCAATTCATTTGGTTGTAATTCGTTCAAAAATTAAAATTGACAAAAAATTAAAGCTCAAAAAAGCAGAGTTTTCACATTTTGTTGATTTTCTCCATAATTATAATAGATTCAATATAATTGATCCAAAACCGGTGGCAATCGCAAGCCCGACAACCCGTCTAACGAAATCCCGACTTTCAAAATCCCGGCTGGCTCAAAATCCCGACCATATCGAAATCCCGACAATGTTAAATTGCCGACAATGAAAATCCCGACTATATCGAAATCCCGACAGTGTTTTTTATTATTATAAATTTCTACAATAACATTTTTATGGTAGTCGGGATTTCAATAGACGGTCCTTCGGTTGTCGAGCTTGCGATATTGACCCATTTGGTTGTAATTCGCGTTCAAAGTTGAAAAAATGAAAAAATTAAGACTCGAAAAAGTTGTGTCTACATTTTATTGATTTTCTCGAAAATAGTAATAGATAGAATGGATTGTAAAGATGCATATGAAAGTTAGATATTTGGACAATGCAATATCTTAGGCGAGAATTTTATATAAATTCGACATTTCAAGTATGTATGTGTCTGGTTGCTGAGTTTATGGTGTTAAACAAGTTGAGCACATATCCGAAGAGTTGTGGATTTAAATATACCGCTCGAAATTTAGTACGGTAATTCACCGTTGGAGTTGTATACGTTGTTTACTAGGCACGAAAAACCCTAACCAACGTTCTCTAACTTCTCGCGTATCAGAGGTGTGTGCAACGATTCTGTGCGCACCGTTTTCAAATCTTGTAATATTAAGAAAATCGGTAAGTAAATCAATGGAAAACCCCTAAAGTATTAACAATTGTGATCACCGCAAGTTGTATTACATTGTATTTTCGCGAATCGTCAAAAAAAAATCGAACTTTAAAGTAATTGTGTTTTGTTTCTGTTTTAGGTTAAGTATGGCGCTTATCCGACCAGCAAACAAACCTAAAATGGTTAAAAAGAGGACGAAAGTCTTCATCAGGCATCAATCTGACCGTTACTCCAAGTTGAAGGTAAGTTTTCTTATATAAATGTTCATTACGAAAATTCCGAACATAACAATAATATTTTGAGTTGCATACATGTTACAATGTGGCAACTAGGAAATACGTTTCTAAATGATGGTCTATGGTAATTTGCGACTGAACTATAATGTCGACGCTTTTTTTAACTGATTACAAATTGACATACGAAGAAGTTGTCTGGATGTTGCTTTGATCAGATGTTTGACTGTCGATTTTGTTTTGCAGCGTAACTGGCGTAAACCCAAGGGTATTGACAACAGGGTGCGTAGGCGTTTCAAGGGCCAATACAAGATGCCCAACATTGGTTACGGTTCAGCCAAATTCACCAAACACATGTTGCCAAGTGGCTTCAGGAAAGTGCTTATAAACAATGTTAAGGTAAACACATTAATCACAATTATATAAATCACCTAATAGTAAAATAACTCATTTTCATAGAGTAGAGTTAGCTATGATGTTTTCTTTGGGTAATTTGCGACTGATAAATTATGCTGATACTTTTTTTAAAGATCTGAGCAACATGAAAATCATTGCTAATTTTTCAATGATTTATGTACTGGATATTTTATTAATTTGTTTGTTTATTACGTTTTACAGGAATTGGAAGTATTGATGATGCAAAACCGTAAATTCTGTGGTGAAATTGCTCATGCTGTCTCATCCAAGAAGCGCAAGGAAATCGTCGAGAGGGCTCAGCAGCTGTCGATCCGTATCACCAACGGACACGCACGCCTCCGCAGCCAAGAAAACGAATAAATATAACATTTATTTACTTTAAATAAAAGAAAACAAAAAGAAACTACTCACAACTTTTTATTTTTTCATTGAACCATTATGATTTGTGTGAAGAATCAAGAAATTATTGACATATTGAAAATAACGTAACGTTATAATTAGATAAAATACCGTTATTCAATAATTACAAAACTGAAATAATAGCATACATTAAGACGCAATTATCTTTTCGCCTGAAAACTTTGTTCAATATAACAAAATTGGTATTTTAGCAAAGGTGTTGAAGATATTAGAACTGACGTTTAAAAGTCAGAACTTTCTTTACATTATATTTGAATACATTTTCAGTTAAAAAAGATAAGATTATTAGCACTTGAAAACGCCTGCTTCCTTCAGACTAACACAAGCATAAAATAGTGCATAGTCAGAAATAATATTTGTATATAAAGATTTAAACCGAATAATGTATTCATAATTAAACATGATGAATGATAAATTACCACTACTAGATACCTAAGATTTGCTAGCGTAACTCGACTGAAGTGCTTTGATGGCCTGAGGATAAGCTTTGAACGTATTCAATTACTAACTACATTTGTCAGTTTCACTTTGCAACTGGCGAATCATCACGAGTTCATTCAACTTATGTGATGACAACACATGTTTACCTAACGATTTGTGAAATTATGAAGGAAATAATGAAGTTTTCGTAAATGTTTCTAATTAATTTAAAAGAATAAATATACATTAACAATATGAATCGGAAAGACTTAAGTTCAATAGCACTTTCACACCTTTTTTTTTTGTTTAAAATCTTTAAAATTGTAACGATATGCAAAATACATCATATAGGAAAATATGGTTATTGCCTGTCATAATGATAGTAGTAAATATTGTCATGTTTCTTTTCTATCTCGGTTAACTACGAAGTCCTTGAGCCGTGTTCGAAATGTATGAATGAATGCAATGTTAAAACTTGTCAATTTAGTTAGTTAACTAACAAGAGTGTAATTATATCATTTATAGTATGATCACTTATCAAAGTACTGTAAATTCTTACTTCAGTAAGCTGTGAAATCTTGAGATTTTATGACGTTAGTTTTCAGTTCGTGATATTTTTGTGAAAATTTTAGTATAAATTGAAATGAGTTTTTGGTTTGAGATTTCATATGTACAGAATAAATTTCCATTTTGGTTGGGCGTCAAATTATCTGACCAGTGCTTACGCATTAAGTAGTGATGAGGGTATCAACTTACTATAATAGATGCGCACAATAAAGTAATGATCAAAATTGGAGATCATGCGGGTTACATATTTTACTTTTATTTATAATTATGATCAAAAATTCTTATTTATTATAAACGAAATTAATAATAATTACTTATTAGGTACATAATTATATTAATATGAATATTTTTAAACATAGATTAAGACGTTATCAATGCTGTCATTGGAATGTGACATTTTTTTTTACGTTGAGTAATTATGAAAACTAAATATGTTGTACTACTTTCTAAATTACTTTTACAGGTCATGCAAAAAAAATTGAAATCTTAAAACAAATCCAACTTGAACGTGCGTAGTGTGTAACCAGCTTCAGATATGTATCAATATTATTGATTGGTATATAATAATAAATACTATATTAATTTGCATTTTAGTTAAGGAAATTAAAAATAAGAAATGGCAAATTTATAAAATTTAAGCTAACAACCAATAAATAAGACGTGAATCAATGAATATTTATTTCTGATTTATAAAGCAACCTGAAGATATAAGAATGTTGAGCGCTTGTGGCGGTGATTGGATGTTATTGATTTTTTTTCTTGTTGTTGTTGGATTGCTTTAAGTTAATTGAGATTGTTGATGATTTTATTGTTACGGTCGCATTGTTCTGAAAATGGTAAAAATGCAACTTAAAAACAATAAATAATAAATGGAAAGAAATGTGAGAGAGAGAGAAAGAGAGAGGGAGATCATGTGTATGGGAAAATAGTAGTTGTGCATGTATGTTTCACTGATGTATACAAATGTATACACTAACTATATCAGAGTGTAGAAGTGTTGAAGGAAGAAGCGATCTGAAGCGGGCGGCGTTGTTTTTGTTTCCTTTCCGGTGGCAAGCCCTGCCCTCTGATTGGTGTGTTTTTCGCGCGCGCTATTCCGATGGCCCTTGTTGAACGCCGACCCCTTTAGGAACGCCGCCGAACTTCATTCTTGTTTGTGCTTCAGTGGAGGTAAGTTCGGTTTTTAACCACAAATCTATTAACAACACACGCGAATTTAATTTTTTCCCCGTTCGCACGGTCCCCGTCGCGGCACACCGATTTTTTCGCGACGACCGGAATTTCGCGTGAACGGACGTTCGGTGCGCAAAAAAATCGCCGGCGCGTACTTTCAGAGATATCCGAGCTGACGGTTTCCGTTTCGACAGTTTTCGCCTGGCATGGCGGACGCCTGCCTCTGACCCAAGCCGATACGAACGTCTCACCGCAACTTCGATAATTATTTTCTCTATCTTCCCGCACTCTGGCGCTTCCGAATCCACCAGAATATCGAAGCAGATTTTTCCCCGCATCCGATAGACACCGTGGACCGCGTCTCCGACCGCCACCCACCGCGGAATTAAATCTGGGTGTTGTTATATATTTTAATATTGCATGCAGTTTCGAAAATGGCGCCACTTTTTCCATCTAAACAACAGAATCCCGCCGTTCAACCACCACCGAATCCAATATTTCAACCGCATCTCCACCATCCTAACGCAATATGTTTATTCATAACATTTTTTTTGTGTGTGTAATTTCCATTTCCTCACCCCGAACAAATTAAACGTTGCAGGGAATGCGTTTACAAATGGCGCCAAAAGCGTCGTTTGCTTGTAAACAACAGTGGGGGCATTTAAACAAGGACGCAGCTACGCGCATCATTCCCAATTTAATTTTCTAACGGTTATTTTTGTTTAACGTCGTCGTTACAATTGTTTTCCTTTCGATTTGTAAATTTTAGCTTCTTTTGTTTGTTGCGATTTGCATTTGTTTTTTTTTTCTTGTTGCAGTGTCTCTCATTCGTCTGTGCTTCACGCCGTTGATCTCAAAATTATTTTAAGTTTCTATATTTGTTTATTACAACAACAATGTCCGACGACGCTTCATCGACGAAACGCGGACGCAAGTCCAACGCCGAGAAAGCCGAGAAGGTCGACGCCAAGAAGCGCGGCAGGAAAGAGGTGAAGCCGGCTGAAAGCGGTGATAACGATGCCGACGGTCCTACGCCGGCGAAGAGGGGACGTGGTAGGCCTAGAGGATCCACCAAGAAGAAGGCCGTCGTAGCCAAACCCAAAGGCAAATCTACAGGTAATTGAAAACTATCATAATACCGTTCATATTAAAATGCAATTGCATTTCCTAATCTAGTATGAATCAATTATATTTAACTTAGCGCAATCCTATATGATGCATTGCATTCAGAAATCAAGTTATGAGCAAAACTTTTTAATTGGCGTTAAAAATTAAACTGCCCTCCTAACCACCTCCCCCTCAAGACACGCCCCTTCACTTTTTCGGATCGAGAGTTCATTTGGCGTAGGCAACCTGCACATCTCCATTTTACCCCCTACTCAGGTGCATTTAGAGCAAAGGTCGGCAACCTTAATTTCATTTTTAATTGCAATTATCCATACTTGACATATTGATTTTTTTGTATAATTGTCTATACAACATTATTAATTAAAAAAATATTTATTTGATGAAATCAATACTATAAAGAAATTACTAGACAATTCTGAATATAAATATTTTTTTTTATATAAATGTATTATTTAATTTATGGTTTACTGCATTAATAAGTAAACACAAAATTACTGAATGCAGATGGAAAACGTATGTAATCGAGATGCTACGTAAATGAAATGTAATTTAATATCAATATTGATTTTAAAGCTGAAATGTATTTAAAAACTTGTAATTTTTTTATTGGTCTAATATTAGAGCAGTGCATTGAGCTTATTATATCGTTGATACATATGTAATTGCTTGTTTGATTTATGTTATGAGTATACTTGGCATATATAGAATGTATATTAAAGGACTCATTGATAAGTAATAATGTTTACCGAGTCACGTTTATCTCGTGAGCAATAAAGAAACTGCTTCGAATATAAACTTCGATAAAAACAAGATGTTTATACAGAATCTATTTAACTCTGAATTATTATGAGTATTTAATGCAAATATTAATTTTATTTTGTAGGTCGTCGTGGCAGACCAAAGAAGGAGGAACCAAAAGACTCTGCGGACGAAGACGGCGAGGAGAACGATGTAAATGAAGACGAGGATGATTAAGTGTGTTCGTTTAAATATTTTTCAATACATAAAATAATAACAGCAGCAAGAGAAGAAGAATAACAAAAGGAAACAAACATTATTTTCGATATGATTGAAGGTCGCCGTTCTTTAATGACGAGTGTTCTTGAATCTCTTCGTGTGCCATCAGATACAAAATTCATTTATATATATTAAAAAAAAAACGAAACGAAACCAAACTGAATGCAAACGACATCGTCGCGACTTTTGATCATATCCACGATCATTTTATAATTATTACAAACAAAAAAAATAGTATATATATATATTGTAAGTTTAAAAAAATTGTGTGAATCATAATTTATAATTACTATAGGATTAAACAAAAAAAAAAGTATATAGTATTCTTTTTGTTTTCTGTCGATTTGGGGACCCAGAGCGAGTTTAAAAGGAAGAGAAGGAAAAAAAAACAACGTTTGTGTATTATTTGGTTTAAGTGTGTAAATTATCTTCAGATTCTCATTTTGTTACGTATGTGTAATATGTGAGTATATATAAATATATATGTACATTTAAACAGACATGTATTTTGTAAGAAAATTATAAAGAAATACAAGATTTAGAAAGTTTATATTTATAATATTCATTTTGAATTCTACCAAAATGAAGCGAGGAATAGGAAGATGATGATGATGATGGGACGCGCATAATACGATGTGTAAATTTAGAAATAAATTTATTTGTCAGTAGGAGGCACCGTTTGCTTGTTAACTGCAAACAATATTATTATTATTTATAAATATAATACAACAATCTATACAATTGTTATCGCATATTTTTTCCAAACTACAAATTCAGTCACATTATGTTTTCTTCCTGCTACTAATTATAAAGCTGATAATCCCATAAACTTCCATTTGTTTAATCTAGTTAGCTGTTACACTGAAACATACTACATCTATGCTTTTATTAGTTAATAAGTAGTGAAGCTCATTTGCATTCCTAATCAATGAGATTAGTCATTATAATAACTATATATTAACATCCAAATATACAAGTCTACTGACACATCTTCCGCAATTATTCAGTTGTTTTCTGTGTTGCGTAATTGCAGCATTTGCAATTGGAATTACGGTTTTCATCGCGTTTTAACAATGCAGGAACCCCACAGAAGCAAACAAAGCGAAGCTAGTTAAATCCCTGCACGTAATATGATTGTGCATCTGTTCATCTGCGCCCCCTAGATATGACCCCTCTCTACAGAAGAACCGGCTAAACTAGCTGCTGCATAGATTTTGATGACCGATCAATAAACGAATGCAGCTGGAATTGAAATTCCAACCAATAAATAAAACAAGCATATTAACGGACGCATTCACAAACTAATAGTAACTTTATTTATTTATTTTTTAAGAATGTTTACAGGAAATTTAGAATTGAAAAATATAAACTTATTTTGTTGGAATATAAAAGAAGTTGTCAATGCTGTCATGTATTGACAACTTCCGCGTACTTGTTACATAAATTATTATTTATTCAGTTTATCAGATCATTACAAAAGTATTTTGCTGATAAGAACTTGATGGCAAAATAATTACAAAATATATTGTCATTGAATTTGTAATAATAATATAATTATTTTTTTTACAAAGAGTTTAGCTTATAATTAATAAAACGGATATGTCAAACAAGGACGCTTGTATTATCATGTGTCAAGCTAAATTAAAAATCCTTTTTTATTCTCATCCAGAAGGCGAAAATTAACAAAATTTAATTAACAGAAATATGTTGAATTTAAAAAAAAACTTATTGAATTGAAGAAATTTATTGTCCAATGACCACAACATGACTTTACAATTTTAAGCATAATTGATAAACAGATATGTCAAACCATGATACATGGATGCTTGAATCATGTGTCAAGTAATATGTCAAAATTAAAAATCAATTTTCTTTCATTTGGAAGGCGAAATTTTACAAAATTTAAGTACAGTGAAACCTCGCTTTTCTCCATATAAATTAATGTAACATACGATAATGCGTTCCATTTTACGAGTCATTTTTCTTATAATTAATTTTGCTCGTTATGCGTTAGTTTCGGAAACTAAATGATATACAGAAAGATGTTAAATCTTGAATAATAACTGGGGTTTAAATTTCGGGTCGAAATGAACAAAATTATTGTCAAAATTAAAGTTTTCCTTGTACATGAAGTGATTATATCATTAAACTTCATAATTTTAAGCATCAATAAAACAGATATGTCAAATTATGATGAATGGATGCTTGTATCATGTGTCAAGCAACATGTCAAAAATAAACATCTTTTCATTTGGAATATACAGAAAAATGTTGAATCTTTAATAATAATTAGCATTTAAACTTCAAATCGAAATGAAGAAAATTACTGTCAAAATTAAAAAGTTTTTGTTTTGCAGGAAACGATGACAACATTAAACTATGTCAAACTATGATATATGGACGTTTCCATCATGTGTCAAGCAACATGTCAAAATTAAACATTTTTTTTTAAAAAATTTACAAAATTTAAATACATTACATTTTTGAATATAAATGATATACAGAAAGATGTTGAATCTTTAATAATAACTAGCGTTTAAGCTTCGGGTCGAAATGAAGAATATTACTGTCAAAATTAAAAAGTTTTCTTTTGCAGGAAGTGATGACAATATTAAACTATGTTAAACTGTGATACATGGACGTTTGCATCATGTGTCAAGCAACATGTCAAAATTAAACATCTTTTCGAAATTTTACAATATTTAAATACATTACATTTCTGAATGTAAATGATATACAGAAAGATGTTGAATCTTTAATAATAACTAGCGTTTAAACTTCGGGTCAAAATGAAGAAAATTACTATCAAAATTTAAAAAAAAATTGTTTTGCAGGAAGTGATGACAACATTAAACTATGTCAAACTATGATACATGGACGTTTGCATTATGTGTCAAGCAACATGTCAAAATTAAACAAATTTTCGAAATTTTACAAAATTTAAATACATTTCTTTTCTGTAAATGATAAACAGAAAGATGTTGAATCTTTAATAATAACTAGCGATTAAACTTCGAGTCGAAATGAAGAAAATTTCTGTCAAAAATTAAAAAGTTTTCCTTTTGCAGGAAGCGATGACAACATTAAACTATGTCAAACTATGATATATGGACGTTTGCATAATGCATCAAGCAACATGTCAAAATTAAATATCTTTTCGAAATTTTACAAAATTTAAATACATTACATTTCTGAATGTAAATGATATACAGAAAGATGTTGAATCTTTAATAATAACTAGCGTTTAAACTTCGAGTTGAAATGAAGAAAATTACTGTCAAAAATTAAAAAGTTTTCCTTTTGCAGGAAGCGATGACAACATTAAACTATGTCAAACTATGATACTTGGACGTTTGCATCATGTGTCAAGTAACATGTCAAAATTAAACTTTTTTTTTCAAAATTTTACAAAATTTAAATACATTACATTTTTGAATGTAAATGATATACAAAAAGATGTTGAATCTTCAATAATAACTTAGTGTTGAACGTTTGTGATTAGGATCGCGAAATGAAGTGATCAAAACATTGAACTTCACAACTTTAAGAAGTTTTTTTGTATGTTAATCTTAAGATTAATAACAAATAGTAATTTGTATATGGATAATTAATAAAAACTATTGAAAAAAAGCTATAGATCTTTCAACTAAATGATATATTTATGAAACATATGTACGATTTTCATCAAAGTTGTTGAAAAATTGAATTGTGGGTATTAATTATTTCAGAAACAAATTTAAAAAAAAAACAAAATGTTCTTATGTATTTGAAAATCATATCATTCTCCGGGCAAATCATCTTTCTGATTTATTTAAAGCTCGAGTAATTCTATTTTGGTGTTATCTGTAAAAAAAATGATACATGTTTCTCAGTTAATGATGCTTCAAGAAGAGTAAACATATCGATCGAAAAAAATAATTGTTGCATAATCTCGAGGGTTCTACTTGTAGGCCTGCATGTGCGAATCGAATTTTGATACTTTGCACTCAAAGAGATTCCTCCGCCGATCATCTCTATCAAACGACAAACACGCTGAGTCAAAACGAGCGATGATACAGTAAAAATGCTTAAATTAAGTAAACGTGATAAATACTCGTGTAATGCAATTAGCGAGAGCGTTTTCACAGTGGCTCCAAAAAGATTCGTAATCGTTTTTTCTTAACTTTGTTTAATAGATGACCAAGATTACTTCATCCTTTATGCACGTCAAAGATGAAATTGATGACTACTTAAGTGGATGGAATATTTCCGCAATGATTATTGAGCCGAACAAACGATTAGTATGCGATAGCTCTGATAAGATAATAGAGGATAAATACCAAAAAAAAAAAAACACAGGGAATGAAGAGGGAAGAATTACAATAAAAAGAGTAAATTTGTAGTTCGGTTGCCAAGTTATTTACTTATTTTTATCATCGTAATAATAGGAATTTAATGTGTGTGTGCATAGTAAAAATGATAACGAGTCGAGCGTATGCTACATAAGAGAGAGAGAGTGTTGTACACGAAACATTTTGAGGGTCACGACGGACTCGCAATACAACGTACCGTAATCACAACGTAACGCGTCTCGTACAAAATACAACTCCCACTCATTAAACACACAAGGAGGAAAAACAAATAAGGTTTTAATATATGATCGTGGATTACATTGTCTTAACGACGTGTTGCAGCAGAACAGACGCGGCGACCACCGAAGGAATGGGAATAGTGATGAAGGAAGAAGGAAGGACGTAGCTGCTTCTCTTGGTGAGGCGGAGTTTGCGAAGGAAGAACTGCGCGCGCGCTTTCTTGTTGTTCAAAAAGATCTCAGTGTTTGTAAGCGAGAGAAGTAAAGGAACTTGAGTTAGAATGAAGAAAGAAGGTTCGTCGTCTGTGGACGAGTCAGCCTCTTCGGCGGAGCGGGAGAACTTGACCGAGGTGAAGGAACCACCATCGAAGGAAGGGAAGACGGCGGCAGAAGCGCGGATCCTCGTCGACGATGATCTTTGCAACTCGAATCCCACGTTCAGCGCGTCCGCCAATCATAGCCAGATACCATACAAACTCACATGGAAGGACTCCATCAAACAGGTATGACTAGTTGTACGTTCGAACTGTTTCACGTACTGATAAAGTGAGGGTGGCTTTGGAAATTGTTTTCGTTTTTCAGACTGCAATGAATATTCAATGCGCTATCAGGAAATAATTATTCAAACTAGATATAAAGTACAACGCTTTAAACCTTACAATGATATAAGCAAGTTTCAAGTGAATTATTTAAAATGTAGTACATTCAATTTACCTACATAGATTCATTCTTATTTAAAATAACATTCTCAAATCTAGATATATTGACAGTAATTAAACGGTGTTTATATAAAATTGTATTATTTATAATTAGCTTTGAGTTGTGACTTGATGTTTCCTTTCTATAAAAGTTACTACGAGTTAGCAAAGTCATCTATCTAAGCAGGGTCGTATTTAGGCATGGTCTTTAAGTGCTGTTCCCTAGTAAAATCAAAAGATTCTTTTCTGCGGTCAAAATAATAAAAATAAACACAACTAATCCAAACTTAGATTAATTGAATTAACTATTGTCGTCGCGGAATCTCAATATGAAATTATTAAACTCAACTTGCTTTTTAATCATTTCATTGTGATAATTATAACGCTAAACTCTTAAGTATAATTAGAGTTGTGGTCGAGGAGTACGGTTTCATGAAAGGAATGAACATTAACTGATTTTACTTTGAATTATCCCTTGGATGATTGCTTTTGGTCTGATATTTTAAGTCTATAACATATATAGTCGTCACATTACAATTTCTGTAAATATTTTCAGATTCTGGCATGCTGCATGATCCACGCCGTCGTGATACAAGCAGGAATAAATATGTCTTTCAGTGCAATATTGCTGCCGCAGTTGGCGTCCGATGACAGCAAAATAGAAATAAACATTTCAGAGGCTTCGTGGATTGGTAAGAAGCACCGATATCATCGATATTGATCGACAATAAAAAGAAAGTATTTCATTGTTTTCAGCAAGTTTGGTGACGATCTCTTTGCCGTTCGGCTCGATATTCGTCGGTCCGTTGATGGACAGATTCGGAAGGAAGAAGATCGCTATAGCAACGACGGTACCTTTTGTCCTCTCCTGGTTGTTACATTACGGCGCCTACAACGTGTGGTACATCTATGTTGCCAGGGTGATAGCAGGATTCAGTTCCGGTCTGTCCACCGTGTGCCTCGTCTACGTTTCAGAGATGTGTCACGCCAATCTACGCGCGATGTTGCTCAGCTTGAACAGCGTCTTCGTGTCTTTCGGAATTCTCATCACATGCGCCTTAGGTAACTTATTACTAACTTTTAACTGAAGATAAACTACATTGTTGTTTTAGGAAGCTACCTGCATTGGAAGACCGTTTCTCTTATTTACACGGTGATCATATCGGCGACGTTCATTGGACTGTGGTTCATCCCCGAGAGCCCCCATTGGCTCTTATCGTTCAAATGTGATAATCTGGCTGCGGCCAAAACGCTGAAATGGCTTTACAGCGACGATCAAGTATGCATTGATTCTCTAATAATCTAATATGTTTTATAACTAAATAATAATTGCAGTTTTTCGAGCGCGAATTCAAGCGTTTGACGCAGAGACCAGATACAGTTTCCTCCCGTAGCTCCTCCAACGATAGGGCTCCTTTACTGAAGCTGCGCACCGGCTTCAGTGTGTATAAAGAGCCCACAGTTTACAAGCCGGTTATCATCCTCTGCATCTTATTCCTGCTGCAGCAATTGTCCGGCGCCTACGTGATCATATTCTACGCGGTGGATGTGTTCAAAGAGATTGGGGGACACTTCAAAGGAGGCATCGATGAGTACACCTGTTTGGTGCTGCTCGGCGCGATTCGCTTCATCATGTCCGTAATATCTGCTGTAATCTCCAGCAAAGTCGGCCGAAGAACTTTACTCTGTCTGTCGGCTTTGGGGATGTGCTTGTGCAGTCTAGTCGCCGGCTTGTATATGTACCTGAAAGAAGTGCCGCAAGAGTTGGAGAAGTTGCACATCTCCAACGAGAATGATGATAATATAACGTTAATCTGCGTGCTCGGTTACGTGTGCTTCAGTGCTCTTGGAGTTCTGGTCATTCCGTGGACCCTTATAGGAGAATTGCTTCCGGTCAGAGTTAAAGGGAAGCTGGGCGGTGTGATCGTCGCCTTGGCCTACGTATTTATGTTCGTCCTCGTGAAACTGTTCCCTTACATCCTGAAAGCCTTCAGGATAGAATTCATATTCTTTGTGATATCAATCGTCAATCTGGCTTGCATCTGTTTCGTCTTCTTTTGCCTACCGGAAACTTTGGGCAAGACGTTCAAAGATATCGAAAACTACTTTATAAAACGAGATTAATTTTATATAATATATATATTGATAATAAATAGCAGAAATTTAAGTAACAACGTTTTATAGCACCACTTAATAATAAACAAGTGGGAGACATCAAACAAACTATTAAGTAAATAAGACACTCACAGAATGACGACGCGAATAACACAATTAACCTCGATACCAAAGCCTTACCTAGATTAACATTATAATTATATGAATTTGTAAAAAAAAAGTAAATGCAATTTCAAATAGATAAAACCCAAAATATTATAATTTATTAATAGATGTCACTCTTTTACAAATAATACATTTATTTTAGCAGTATTAATAATAATTACATAAGCCATGGTCGTCTATATCACACAAATCCGGTTCAAAGATAACGAGTTCATAAATTTAAAAAATTCAAAGATTTAGTAAATACGCACTTTAACTGCTTCAATTAATTTATTTTAATATGTTACATCAACATGCTTGGTACAAGAATGTTGAAATGAAGTTGCGTAACATAAATTAATAACATCGATTCATATTTTCAAAATGTATTCATATTATAATATAAAATGCACTAAATAATTATGATAATTACATTATTATACGAGCCTTATCGTAATCACTTGTTTTCTTAGGTGTAAATTTAAAAAGGTTTGAGTCGTATGCAACCAAATCTTCATTACAATTAGAATAATATTTATAAACATTTAATAAAATTTAACACCAGATAAAATTTATTAAATAAATCCAATAAGTTTGTGTTTTATATATTTACTTTCTACTTATTAATTTAAAACATTTCTTTTACAACATTCAGATAGAATTTCAAATGAAAACATGTTATGTAAATAATACATATTATCATTATGAATCGAAATTGTAATTTACTTGATAAGCTTTAAAACTAATGTATTGCATTTAATTAATTATTTAAATTTGTTTAATATAAAGTCGGCTTATGGTATCCATCTTTGTTACTTAAGCGCTGCGACGCACGGAGCAAGAATGTTGCGTCGACAACCACCTGTCAGATAATCGGAAAGTTTGCGACTCAAAATGACAATCAGCTGAAAGTCTTGTGTAACTTTTTTTTTTCAAAATAAATTAAAAAAGGGAACCCCTCTTCGAGGGGGGCAAAAGCATTTATGTTTCCGCTGGTCCGTTTGCGTTTACTGTTTATATTTCGATATGTGTCACGTGCGTTGGTTATAATTTAAGGATCATGGACCAGTTCGCTGCAGATCTGTCCTTTCAAGCTGTACTCGGTAAGTAAATAAATGGTATTTGCCGTCAGTACAATATATGTCATTTGCCATTTGCTGTAAACTTCGTGTTTGGACGCTGTTATTGCTTATTGTTATTCCAATTGGATTCTGCACAAGCATCATTATTGTTTGTTTAATTATTTAAACTACCATATTCCATCTCCAATCCTACTTTTTTATATATATATTGTTGCTGTCCTATTTCGATGATTGCGTATCCTATTTTACTCTAAATACAATACGTAGAAAGGAAAATGAAATATAGTTAATCTCGGTTTTCAGAATTCGCTTATATTATTGTATATGCAAATAAACAAAATCAACTGTATCAGATTGTGCTTATGTTTTTTTATGCTTGTCAAATATGTTGTTACTTAGGTTTTAATTATTTAATGTATTTCATTAGGTTAGGTTTTATGTAATATATGTACTAATTAATAGATGTGTACATGATCTATATCCAGATGTAGTGTATATTAAAATGGCCTTTTCGAAGCCATCGTCCGCCCCATGCATTTATTCATTGTTGTATATAAATCGGCGTTTAATGCACATTTCGCAATTCAATAAAATATTGAGAAAATGTTATTAATTGGTTGGGAAAATCATCTTGGTTTAGCCTTGACGTTTCATCCAAGAAAACTTGATTCTTATTGTTTTATTACGATATAATTAATACGATTAATACTAATAATTAGGCGGAAAGACTTTGGTCGTTAGTCTTTTAGCCCAAATTATGGTTAATAAAAATAAGTAGTTGAGATTTGTACGCAACGAAAATAGTGAATCAATGAACTTCATTTTACTTTATTTAATTGTGTTTACATTACAAACATAATTGTATAGAATGGAACATCGCTTAACGAGTTTAATCCGTTCCAAAATTTCCGGATTTTTACTCGTATAGTGAAACAATTTTCTCCCTATGAACTAATGTAATATACGATAATGCGTTCTTACAATTTAATTTGCTCGTTAAGCGAGTTTAATCTGTTTCAAAATTTCCGAATTTTTACTCTTATAGTGAAACACAAATTTTAAAAATGATGTAGAAGACGCGTAATCCGGGACTTCTCTTCTCATCGTCACTCGTTATGCGAAACATTGCTCGTTAAGCGAGTCATTTTTCGTACAATTCATTTTGCTCGTTATTCGAGGTGTTCGTTCCACTGTATTATAGTTTTTATGAGTCGATTTTTGTAAATAAATGAAATTATTATAAAAAAAAACTTTAGATCAAATATTGAATCTCAATTTTAAGTTGATTTTTTACGTAAAGAAGGTGCGCGTCCTATGCTCATAACATAGGTAAATATCATATTACAAGGTACGCGACAACTGGGCGACTGACACTATAAGGCTTATATAGTATAAGCAAATATGTTTAAATTTTATTTGAAATTGTCAGTCGCCGAGTTGACCGTCGCCAAGTTGTCGCGTATCCCAAGTTACATGAATCTAAAACAGATGATGTATGATGTCATTTATATTATGTATTGTTTACGTCGTTGCTAAGGTAAAATATACGATTGTTATTAAACAATTAAAAGTAACTTTTTTTCTCATAGTAAAGAAAAGATTAAGTTTCTACGTCGTGATTTTTGCTTTTTACAAGTTTCAAAATAATTCATTTTAAAATTGTTAAATTTTAAACAAATGAAAAAAATAAATTGATTATATGCTTAAGAATTGTCAATATTGATATAACTAAGTTGAATTTTATGTGTATTTGAAAATTTGATTTATTTGAAAAACAAATGACGAATTAATTGAAGATTGATAAATTTGAACAAAAGATAATTAAATTGAATATATATTTAGTAAGTGACATAATTGAAATTGTTAAGTTGAATTTTGATTATTTTACTATTGAGGTGAAAATACAAATAAATGTCAAATTTAAACATATTGACAATTGATTTATTTGAAGAAACAAAAGACAAATTAATTTTGGAAAGTTAAATTTTAAACAAATGATAAATGTCAAATTTAAACAAATTGACATTTGATTTATTTGATAAACCAAAGACGAATAAAATGAAGTTTGTTAAATTTTAAACAAATTAAAAATAAATTGAATATTATTATTAATAAGTTTTTAATATTTAAATAATTAAGTTGAATATTGGACATTTACTAAAGGTGTGAAAATACAAATTGGCAATTGATTTATTTGAAAAAACGAAAGACGAATAAAATGAATATTGCTAAATTTTAAAGCAACGAATGAATTGAAATAATTAAGTTGGATTTTGGTTTTTTCTTTACAATCGAGTTGAAAATACAAATAAATGTCAAATTTGAACAAATTTACAATCAAAAGATGTATTAATTAGAAATTGTTAAATTTTAGCAAATTGAATATATGCTTAAGAAGTATTAATATAGAAATAATTAAGTTGAATCTTAGATATTTAATAAAAATAAATGTAAAATTTAAACAAATTGACATTTGATTTATTTGAAAAATAAAAGAGGAATACAATGAAGATTGTTAAATTTTAATCAAATGAAAAATAAATTGAAAATATCCTTAAGAAATGTCAATATTGAAATAATTATGTTGAAAATACAAATGAATATCAAATTTAAACAAATTTACAAAAGATAAATTAATTGGAAATTGTTAAATTTAAGCAAATAAATAATAAATTGAATTAAGTTGGATTTTGGATTTTTCTTTATTAACGAGTTGAAAATACAAATAATTGTCAAATTTAAACAAATTTACAATTGACTTATTTGGAAAACAAAAGACGAATTAATTTTATATTTTTAAGTTATAATAAATGCAAAACAATTTGAATATATTCTTAAGAATTATTAATTTTGAAATAATAAAGTTGAATTTTGGGTATTTATGAACATAAAAATAAACGTCAAATTTAAACAAATGAAAATAAATGTCAAATATATAAATGTCATTGAATATTGCTGTTTAATTTATAAGCGATGTATAAGATCGTATCTCGAAGGGATCGTTTAGTTTTTTTATATCAAAGTTTTAAATTGTCCGTGTAGAATGCGTGTCGAAACCAACAAACCGGAAAAAAGCTGCTATTAGAAGAATTAGCTCTGGCAGGTGTCACTCGATGAATCCGCGCTCACGCGTAACCACCCCTAAACTGCAATTTTAGTGCCCACCGTTCGAATAGCGGATGCTATGATAGCTATACGTAATCGATTCTATCGTTTCACAATTTACATTTTGAAATTATATGGCTGGACTTCAACTTCAACTTGGACGGCATCAAACCGGTTCCATTTTATCTCAAGGAGCTGCTGCACACATTATATACTAATTTATTGGCGATCTGCTCATTGAACGCCACTCGTTTCCGAGAAAAATCAAGTTGCGCTGGTGATGGTAAATCCGGGATAATAGAGAAACTGAGCCTAAGGTGTTCGTGTTCGAAGAAGTAACGATTGTATAAATCAATGGTAAAGTTATGAGTTTGCAGGTAGCTAGATTTCCTGGAGCATTTTGTTGTTTGTAAATGGTAACCATGGGACAACTTGGATATACATAAACAACAAAATGTACAGGTGGGCTTGCGGTATGTGTCCATTCGAGTGTAATGGATGCATTATGAGCAATTAGTCTCGGCCTGCCCCTAAATATAAATTGGTTTACGGCGGGAACAGGAAGACAGGTTCGAAGTGCCAACAACTGTTCGAACGTGCGCTATTCATCTCTCCACCCTCTCACAACAACGACAACCAAACCGACCACCTTTTTACTAAATTGCCGATGTGTCAGGAAGCGGAGAACAAAACCGAAACGGGAATGAACAATAATGAATTGGTGTTCGCATGTCATAAATTTGATAGTTAATATTTTCTAATGAAAAGCTTCAATTAAAAGCGAAGCGTAAAGTATCTATCAAAAGAAATCTCAATTAAAAATCGTTGCTCTTTTTATACAATGTATTATTCGTGTTATTTTCAACAAAGAGTTCAGTTACATTTAGGTATACAGATATATTTAATACAATCAATATATAATCGATTTACTAACTTTGTAGGTACATTTGCTTATATGAAATAATGTAAACTCATCATCAATCCTGTGGGAACAAAAACATTCCAAAATAACACATTTTTTGGTGCATATTTCAAGAGATTATATTGTTATATGTTTATTTAAAAAAAAAACAGAAATGCTTTGATAGTTAGCTCTTTTAGGGCCAATAAACATTTGTAAATAAATTATGAAATAAGTTTCAATAATTAAATTACTTTTATTTGAAAACATGATTTTCCTATGTTCTGGTTGTTCGAATTTCAAGTTGTATGAATCATGATCCTGTACAAACACATCGAAAGCTGAATTTCATAAAAAAAAAGGATAATGCTATCAATTCGGTGGGATTACAAAGGTGTTGTGTATTTTTATCTGCATTCAAACGATCAATTCAGATTGTGTTTCACTAAAACAATTCAAATCCTCACACATCTTTGGAAAGTGATGTTGCATCCCGCACCATAAGATTACCATTTATTTGGAAGTTTGCAAAATTCTTGGAATGGTAAAACTTTCAATAATTATGATGACCTGTAATCTCACTTGGTTCAATTATTTGCTGATAAGGACAAGCAGTTTTATGAACGTGGAATCATGAAGTTGCCAGAAACACGACGAAAGATGATCGGACAAAATGGAAAAAATATAATTGAATAACGTTCATTCTTTTTATACAAAAAAACGCTTTTATTTCACACTACTTGATTAATGAATTACGTAATTTGTATGTAATTACCTCTTCAAAATCACTTGACAACAAGACTAATTATTACAAATTGATCAATTGTTTAAATATCATTTAATTTCTTTCTTAATCCATCGTTAATATTACATTTTCGTGTATACCAACATAGAAATAAGAATTTTTACAATCTTTTAATATAAATTGAATATAAATTTGCTATTTGTTTCCTCTATTTTATTACTTGTATATTTTTGTTATGCAGTTGAGAAACTCTGGTCTCGATAAAATAAATAATTTGACAAAAGCTGAGGTGTGCGTTGTAATTTGTGTATAGAGTTGTTGATAGTAATAATTTATGACCAATTTCATAGCATATTTGGGCAGGTAGTTTTTCGAAAAGGACATCATTTTTTATGGTTGAGAAAGCGAAGGTAAAAACTCAAGATCTAAAGAAAACCGTTGTTAAATAAATTGTCAAACAGTTTTAATCTATTGAAAGTTTTTACTTGGTTTACTTCAAAACATATTTCGATTGAATATATATGAAATATATTAGTTGTATCATGTTTTTTTTAACTATTTGAATGAAATTAAAAAAAAAATCAGTTTAAAATCCTTTTTTGTAATAATAATCAACAACATTATTAAATTTGACGTACAAAATAAAACTATGAATAAATGACGTTGTTTCAAGTTATTTAAAGTTAAAATTAAATTGAAGGGGAACATAAATAACATTCGTAATCAATACTTCGATCGACTCACATATTCTAAAATGTATGTGAAATTAAGGGGTCGTTGTTTTGTTGTTTGTTTTTTTTTTCTTCTATCTTTTTATTCTAGTATTCAGCATATATATCAGCTTATATACTCGACGTAGGTAGAAGAGGAAAGTATAAATGTTGGATTTGCGTGAGTTTTGATTTATGTATAGTGATGACAAGCTTCGTTTGATCAATATTTGAACAAATCGGTGGAAACAAACTGGAAACTACCGAGCAACGCCACCTCATGAACTATTCGTGCCCAACGTTGTGATGCCAATTAAGTATGGTCTATGTATTAACCATAAATCGATTGTTCTGTTCGGTATATAAAAGAAAAGAAAAAAAAAGCAAATTGAATTAGTTTCATTCATGTTGTTGAATTTTTATGATGTTCATGCAAATACGAGAAACATGGGAATATGTTTGTTTCGTAGGTAATGCAGTATTAGATAACCTAATCGCGAACTCCATTTAGCTTTGTTTGCTCTGCGACGTAAGGCCCCACCAATCGGATTTTACAGATAGCGTTAGGCGTGTTATATTGGCCAATGGGCGGCGACACTCGAAACGCACCATTTTTTTTGTATGCTAAAGACATCAAAAAGCATCTTAACATTTCTTAATTATTTAAGAAAGGTTAATTAATTGTGATAAAAAAATATAAGCCTAGCAAGAAACAGTGTAATCTTTAATAATTTTTTTTTATAAAAATTCAATAGACATCATCAAATTATTCAACTTTTATTACAAAGAAAAAATAATAATTATGATGAAACTTTTTTCAATCATCATTGGAAAACAAAATGACGTTTAAGCTGTGAAAAATAGTGGACGCTGTTAAAGTTAATTTGATATATTTGATAAAAAAAAAGTATAGTTTTAATATTTTTCATCATAAATACTCGAAATTTACATTATTGACAATATAATGTAAAGCTAACTATATACTATAGTTTTTCTACCTAAATATAATCCAATATTGGATGAACGTTATATTTTTAACTAGTTGCGAATTGACATCTGTGATATTGATGCAAGATGACAGATGTCAGTTAAAATATATTATAAATAATTATAGTATGGTTAAAAGCGTTGTTATAAAAGTGATTAATTTGTAGCTAATGTTGTACAAAGTAAAGTAGAAAAATTGTAAATTTAATGTAAATTTTGTATTCTTTGTTTTCATTCTCATTCAATTTATAATATTTTTTACGAAAATTTAATCACAAAATAGTTTGAATTTAAATGTTCAAATACAAAGTTTGGCATCTCGGACTACTATACAAAATAAAGAAGAACTTTCCATATAATTATTTTAAAATAATAAAATCATACCTCGATAATAGAATGTTTCAGGTAAAAATAAAAGACGTATACATTGATTTATATCCAATAGAATCAGGGGTGCCGCAGGAAAGTGTTTTAGGATTACTGCTTTACCTTCTATAAACGGCAGATATTCCTGAAACTAACAATACTACGATTGCTTTCGCTGATGACACAGCAATCTTGGCTTCAGATGAGAATCCAGCAGTAGCATCCGAATATCTGCTGGAAAATTTTGATAAGCTACAAGAATGGCTTAAAAAATGGATAATAGCAGTTAACGAAATGAAATCCGTGCATATCACATTCACGCTAAAGAAAGACACCTGCCCAACTGTAAAACTTAATGGACAAGATCTGTCCAAAGTCAAATATCTAGGCATGCATCTAGAGTCTAGACAGATTCTAGACAGAAGACTCACCTGGAAAGATCACATTCAGGCTAAGAGGTAGCAATTAGAAATAAAGTTTAGAAAACTCTACTGGCTTCTAGGGAAAAGGTCGGAATTATCAGTGGAAAATAAATTACTTATATACAAAGTAATACTGAAACCAGTATGGACGTATTGTATCCAATTGTGGGGTGCAGCCAGTAAAACCAACATACAAATTATTCAAAGTTTCCAATCAAAATGCCTAAGAAATATTATTAGGGCTCCATGGTTTGTCAAGAATAAACAAATACACGAAGATCTTCATATAGATATGATTGAGTATACAATAGCAACATTTAGTAGTAGATATCAAGATAGACTGGAGTAACATACTAATGTTCTGGCTATTGGCTTATTCGACAACAGTGAAATCACAAACAGGCTGAAGCGTTGCAAACCATTAGATTTAGTAAATAGATTTAAGTAATTATTAATGTTCAAATCATCATAATGGTAACTATCCACCGGGAAAGATTATCCATTTAATGTCAACCGCGATCTTAAATTTACTCAATGTTTGACATTGATGAACAGATTGTGAATAAAATTATACGACATAAAAAAAATGTTCAAATTAAAGTTGATAATTACTTCGTCTTTCTGGAAAATGTGAAAATTAAAAGTAACACAGATGATAAGTTTTGACTTTAAGGATAAAAAGAAAAATACAAAACACTGATTGTTTAAAAATGTGCACATGGAAACAGAAAATGTAATTGTAATCAATACTACACAATTTCTACACAATTTACTCATTTTTTTTTCTAATAAAATTTATAGCCTTTGTGTCTTCAGATTATTGCACAATGTTTTACTAAATCGCGGTAATTTATTGAAATATCTAGTAGATTTTTTTTTCTGGAAAAACGATTGAAAGACTGTTTCTCTAAAGAATTATTCGATGACATTCATACATTTATCGTGCATTGTGTGGGCAATTTAAATGAAAATCCTCGGCTTTCTCTTGGATATTCCATTTTCTTCGCGTAGTATGAGCCAGACCAGACATACAGTCTATATAATCGCCGGGTCGGATACATAATGTACGGATCGCTTTACCAATAGTAAATGGTTTTGTTATGTGCATGCAAGAGTAACCATGGTAATTTGGGGTTGAAAGCGAGGTGGTGGTGGTGTATGGTCGCGGGTTGGCTGCCCCCCACACACTGCGACTTTCCTTCGTTTACTCAATACGCGAGTTAGAACACAATAATCAAGCTTATAAAGGTTCTATTTGATGCGAAAGATGGACACATGTTGGTAACAGGAGCGGAGGAGTGCGTTAATTATGTTCAAAGTTCAATTTGTCTCCAAGTGCGTGCATGCTAAGTAGTGCAAGTATAGATAGATAGTGTGTACAACAAAACTATGCGTGAAGTTTGAATGAAACGGAGGACACTTCTTTTGTTTTGTTTTTTGTAATATCGATGCCATCTCGATGATGATCATGATGATAAACACGTTGACGATCATCACAATCGAATGCTGACTATGCGTCCGTGTCCATTTCTTTGATAATTATGGAATACAATTGGACCCAGAACATGGACGAACGGCCAAACAGAAGTAACAGAGGTAGTACGATCATTTTGGACTTTAATATATTCTTGATTTCTGGACACTTTCTTAATATGGATTTGGCATCAATTGTGCGAAAAATGTTGCTTTTCATCAAATAGAAATGTTTGCTACGAGTGAAGGAACACCGTTCAATTTTCTTACTTTTTTGTTGTTGTAAATATGAACACGCGAAGAGTATTTAACGGTACGATAGGCTTTGATACGGTGGAGATTAGCTACTTTTACTTGCTCGTCGATTTTCTTTTCGTCTGCTCCCAACCAAAGTATTATTAATAAAACAACAATAATAAATAAATAAATAAGCGCTTTCTATTCGTATGATGTATCCATCCATTAATTCGGACAGGATACGGTGGACAATAGAGTCTCATGAATAACGACAAAAAATCTACGCTAAACGAATCCCTTCTGCCTAATGAATTACTTCCTTCCAAGTTTGTGGGTTGCTGGTAACAACAGGCCACCGTGGTGCTTTCCTTCGATCGTTATTCGTACACACACACACAGCTTTGATTTGTTTTGTCAATAAAAACTTTGTTATTTACTTTGTTGCCATGGATATGGTTAAATACCTAAATCTGCGGTTGCTAGTACATAGACGTATCTCACCCCCATTTTCACCCAATTCGCTGTCACTGTTTACAATTTTAGATTCATTCTTACTAACTTACCCCACTTATTATATCAATATTGAATACTGAATAATATTAAGTGAATCACATTTAAAAGAACGACTGACTTAAATTATCAAATTATTAAATGAATGATTGAAAATATATGTACACGTCGTACGTTGTAACAGCATACAGAAATGTAAATAACTTAATTTGAGAAAATTATAAGGAAATTGGTAATGAAACAATGTTTGTGGATTCAGATTCCAAAGTAAACAGTTTCATTGAAATTTTGCTAAGACGTAGTGTCAAGTATTCAAGATATACTTAAATATATTTGAACTTGAAGAAGTAATACTTTGATGGAAGCTTATAGTAAAGATTTTGGAGAATATCAACTTCAGAAATATGTGAAATTTTTTTCTTGTTTGGTATAGGACGCGGCGGTGATTTTGTCGGTGGTATAGACAACGAAGCGCTGGACTTTTCGCAGCTCGAAGCTTTCATCAACAGTGAAGGATCTCAGAGCAATGGCAACTACTTCGGAGATTCCCTGGGCGCAACCGGAAGCCAGCAGAACGCGTCCGGAAAACTGCTCAACGTCATCGTACAGAACAAGAGGATGGCCGGGTAAGCAGCAAAACGATCGTATGCAGATTTATGATGCATTAACGTGTGTGCTTCCGCGCAGCCATTCATTACCGGAATCTCCTCCCGATAGCAGTTCAGAGCATCCCTACAGCCCTCCGGACAATTGCGATGCGGCACTCTCCGCCGCCCCCGACGCCATCTACACCACCTTGGGTCAACCGATCTACAAGCAGAACATGCTCAATCCCATCATGAACGATGGTATTATACTTGGATCCCATATCGTGGTAGCCGAGCCCACCGGTCCTGGAGACCAGCAGCTCATGGAGACCGGCAATTTGATACATCAGGATGCGACGCGGATTCTCCTCAACTCCGACGATATGCTGACGGACGATCAAAACAGGAGTATGATGACCGCCAACAACGCTGCCGACGCTTACGATCGTCGCAATTCGGAGATTCTGTTGGTGAAGAACCAACAGACCGATGCAAATCTGATGCATTTAGGTTTCACCTCCAATTCCCTGGATATTCAGATTCCCCAACGTTTGGACAACTTGTGCGATAATAATGGTTTGGATAACATTCAGCAGGTCGTGTACACCAACTTGCAGAATGTCCCTAAAAAGCGAAAGCTCTCGCAAGATTTGACTGTCAAAAGCGAACCAGGTTAATATAATCATCGATGTTATAATAATAATATTTATTTTATTTTGTTGGAAAACATTTGTTTAGAGCATTGCACAACGAGTCAACTAAGCCCGTCAGCCAATATTAGCCCTTCTTTAGATGAAGACTACCCAGCATCTGAAACTTGCTTGTCCGACTCCCAATACCAATGTATCAGGTTTCAAGCATTCCAGCAGACAGCATGGCACGCCCTGTGCGATCAGAATTTAACGGAACTTCCGTCACCTCATTACAGGGTTGACGCAGACAAGGGTTTCAACTTCTCAAACGCCGACGACGCTTTCGTCTGCCAGAAGAAAAACCATTTCCAAGTAATACCCAAACATCAAGCAAACTTCAAATTTATCTTATACGATTTGATTTGTTCAGATAACATGCCACGTCCAATTGCTCGGAGACGCTCAATTCGTGAAGACATCCGACGGTTTCCAGAAAGTGTCCAGCTTTCATCTGCATTTTTACGGGGTGAAACATGATTGTCCGACCCAGACGATACGCGTGGAGCAGAGCCAGAGCGATAGAAGCAAAAAACCATTCCATCCAGTACTGTATGTCACATCTAACAAAGTCTCATCCTATTGAAGCTCACTTTAATAAATCTCTTGTGATTTCCAGAGTCGAGCTTATTAATTCGCAAGTGACGAAGGTGACGGTCGGTCGGCTGCACTTCAGCGAAACCACTTCGAACAACATGCGAAAGAAAGGAAAACCGAATCCGGAGCAGAGGTACTTCCAATTGGTCGTCGGTCTGCACGCGCACACAGCCCATGGCAATTTCCCAATCATCAGTCACGCAAGCCAGAAGATCATCGTGCGAGTAAGTCTAGAGCGTACATTAGCGTTAAATACTTTGCATCATGTTCATCTATGTTTGAACATTTTTGGTTCAGGCTTCGAATCCCGGACAATTCGAGAGCGACGTCGAACTCTGCTGGCAGAAGGGACAGACACAGGTTTGCCTACGCAAATTTTACCTTTGTTACAAATTATAGCAGTGTGTTTAGGATTCGATCTTCCACGCGGGGAAAGTCGGCGTGAACACGGATAGACCGGACGAATCGTTGGTGGTTCATGGTAACATCAAGATCACCGGACATATAGTGCAACCGAGCGATGTCCGCGCCAAAAAGAATATAGTCGAGTGCAATACGGCCGAGCAGCTGAGCAACGTTCAAAAGATGCGAGTGGTCAAGTGCGTTCAATTTTGTTAATTTTAAATGATTTAGGAAGATTAACAAAATGTCTTCTTACATTAGGTACGAGTACGATCCTGGATTTGCTAAGCAACTGAACAGGACTGGCGGATACTGCGACACGGGTGTTATAGCCCAGGAGATCGCAAAAATCTTACCTGAGGCCGTAAGTCCCGCAGGTAACTTAATCCTAGGAGACGGGACGGCTATAGATGATTTCTTGGTGGTCAACAAAGAAAGGATCTTCATGGAAAACATCGGTGCGGTCAAGGAGCTTTGCAAAGTCACGGATAACCTGGAGACCCGCATAGATCAACTCGAACGCATCAACAAACGCCTGAACAAATTCGGTTAGTCCGCGAATCAAAATTAATAATTTTTATAATAATAACCGTAAATTCGTTTAGGCAACAACATTAAATACAATTCGTACAATAAAAGCTCCAAGATGCACAACTGCAACATTCCAGACTCCGAGTCCATATTTTGTTCCAACAAATTCATACAAGTGGTCATCGTTGTACTTGTTTTGATCATGGCGTTCTGGTGAGTTATTCAAACACAATAATAATTCGCTCACTTATTGAGCTTACTTCTGATTACAGTTTGGCGACGATCACCGTGCTCTATCTCTTGCAAGCATCGCGACACAATCAATTGACCCAGGCCAGTTTGCAAGCCGTCCGACACGCGGTGACCACGCACAGTCCAAGTAAAATGAAACCAAGCACTTTGCAGACGTTCCAGCAGGTGCATACCACCCCCATGTATAAAGAGAACATCCACATAAGTGGATTAACTAAGCATCCGATGAACGGTCTCAGATCCAAGCAAGTCATAGGGAGACCGCCGGCCTGCAACAGCGTTGAAGACGAAATCGATCATCCGAACTTATGTCAGGTATATTAACGATACCTATTAAAACTATTAACACATCTTAATATTTTGCATTGAATAATGGCAGATTTACTGTTGCGTTCCTCCGAAACTGGACACCAACATCGTGGAAGCTTTGTACGGTGTGCAAAACGCGAGAAAAAACAAATCGGAGACGTTGTTGAATCTAGAAGAGAAAAACAGGCAAATCGGAAAATCTTTACATACAAATAATATAGACAAGCATCTGCAAAGACGCGACGCCGACTACTGGCACGACAAAGATAACAATTACGACACAGTCGGCGGTAACTAATCTCAGGTACTCAATTCGCAAACGACTTCACAAATAACTTTCAGATGAATTACACTTCACGATCATTATCCAAGGGAAATCCTTCAACACGACATTAACAGACGATTATCTGGACTCGCACAGTTCTAATGGAAATTATACCTACTACATCCAGATCTCGAAGTACATGCCGGATGAATACATCAACATCATATTTCAGTAAGAGTTTTAACTGGAGTCAAAGAATTAACTTTAAACTGTTTACAATTAATTGTAGATCTTCTCAAGCTCATTTGAAAGATATCGAGCATTGCAACAGTCACAAACAGACAGAGTGTCCAATGCAGTTCGAGGAGAAGAACTCGATGAGAAAAGTGAACGAAAATGTGCCCAGCCAGCAAATCAATTCGCAGAGCGTCAGCTTCGAGGTCGATTTGCATACACTGCATTCGAAACTCACCACTTATCGTGCATCACTAAAACAGAATCAGGTTTGTCTGAAATCTTACATTTTTTAGCTTTACAGATTTATTTAAATTGAATTTTCATTACATAAGATAGTTCTTTTAAAATATTGATAGGTAGGATTAGACTAAAAAATATCATTTAAGTTATCTAAGGAACAATTTAGATATGTGTATTGTGAATTTACAGAACAAATGCAAATTATCGACTACGAAAGTCGGCATCGAATTCACCGAATACAACTTCTTCTTCATCCGATACTGCGATGACTGACATTGGGAGTGCAACTCGACATCACGATACTACTCATCACGTTGCGGTGATTGGAATTGATAGAATAATTTCCCCCTTTCTCTACATACGAAAGAAACGTTTTCTTTCTTGTACAAAAATCATGACAAGTTTTATATTTTTTTTTTCTCTTTGACAACAAAAAAAAAACATGATGCAAAGTAAATAGGTAGTGATAATGCCCCCCCCACACACACAAACATGATACACGTACACACACAAATGATGTGCAATACGATGCAATTGATGTTCGATCTCAAGATCTAAACTGTATAATAATGGTAAAGAAAAAGTCGCCAATTGTATAATGATGATTCGACGCGAATCGGATGTACTTAAGATGTTGAAGTATAAATATAAATATAGTGTAATATCTTATAATATGTTATGGTGTAATAATATGAAAAATGATTATGAGAATATATATTTGTCCGTCCTATTTATTTCTTATCACAAGTCGAGATGTGGTATAGATTTGTATAAAATAAGATGTTCTGGTATGTACTATATAATAGATAAATATATATATATACATATAAATATAGTTTTGATTCATGAACAATATTAGATTTTAGCAGATTGTATTATTATTATAATTATATTGATTGATATTATAGAAATATGAACAAATTCCATTATGCAATTAGTGAATTTTAATTAACTGAACCATTATTTATTTTGTTTTTGCGTTATTTTATTTTCGTCTTGTGATTTGTGAGTTTATAAATATTAATATATATACAATATTGAAACAATTCTTTCATTTATTGCTTCTTCACTGACATTCTAATTAAACTTATAATCCCAAAATATAATTTTGATCAAATTTAAAACTGTTTTTACTAAGCTAAAATTATTCTGAATTCGAAACTCGGTAAACGAAAATTCTATCTAAAGATAAACAAATCGATAAATTCAATTCTAGGTGTCGTTTGATGATACTGTTAATAGAAATACTAAGGCAGATTCACATGCATTGTTATATAAACAATGTAAAAATAGAAACATGTTTATTTAAACAAATTTTTACTGCTAAATACTTGATTACAATTGACTACATTTATTTTTTTTTTTCCTTCCAATTATAAACAGATTAAATTTCAATTATTAGTATGTAATTTAAGAAGCTTTGGCGGTTTAAATAAAGCAAATGAAAACAATAACAAACATGTTACGTGACTTAAGTCTTGTATGCTTGTAATTACATGAAAATTGCTCATCAGTTCTTGATACATATATAACATGTTTGCAAATGGTAATACCTAGCTGTTAGACGGGTTGCAACTTCTGAAAAGATTACATTTAAATAGTTATAACAATAACTCCAAACGTATGTATCTAATATTAAATTTAATATATATTTATTTTTCTAATATTAAAGATTTTTAAGGGTTGATTATTCGATTAATTTTCAATATACTGAAGTTAGTGCCGGGTGGTAAATAAAAAAATAGATCGCAAAACAAAATGGTTGAAACTAAGTCTTTCTGATGGTTGCGGAGTTAGGATTGGCGAAGTTTTGTTCTGTGCGGTGCGATGTTTCGAGATGTGAGCTAAACTAAGCAACATTAAATAGTGTACGACAGTGCAGGAAGGTAGTAACGTTATCTTGGAGCGTCATAGGGAATAACATCGATGTGTTGTAATTCAATTTCGAGAAATATCCTTAATGAAAACAGTTACGTGCATTGTATGTCAACAATAATGGCTGTGTCTACTTGAACGAAATCCACAAAACTTTATCAATCAATCATAATTTGAAGCTGCAATCACCGAAATAACTGGGAAGCACTTGTTTTTCAACCGAATTCAGTCAAATCGCTGTAATCATGGCAGAGCCCAATTCGTCCAAACCCAGGCAAGTTTGTGTTATTATATTATACATTTTTTTTGGTAATAACAAAGTGATATTTGGTGTTCCAGGATAATGGTTTTTCGGCCAACCTGGGAAGAGTTCAAAGATTTTTCCAAATACATTCAACACATGGAATCTCACGGTGCACACAAAGCAGGTCTAGCCAAGGTAATTTGATTAATACAAGATTTAATTAATAGTGTTGTCATGGCAATGAATTATAAGGATCATTAATTACTGTAATATTTTTGACCATTTCAGGTGATTCCACCACAGGAATGGGTTCCCAGGAAGTCTGGATACAATTTGGATGATCTGAATCTGACAATACCAGCACCTATTTGCCAAGTAGTCACAGGGAAACAGGGTCTATATCAACAGATAAATATACAAAAGAAATCAATGACAGTTCAACAATACAGGGATTTGGCTAATTCAGATAGATACAATACTCCCAGGCATTTTGACTATGAGGATCTAGAAAGAAAATACTGGAAGAACATCACCTATGTTGCACCCATCTATGGAGCGGATGTTTCTGGTAGTCTTACAGATCCTGACGTTGATGTAAGATTTTTGAAAGTCTTGTCTGAATGAAATAAGAAATTATCTAATTCTTTGTAGGAATGGAACATAAATCGATTGGGAACAATTTTGGATCTAGTCAATGAAGATTACGGTATTTCAATTGAAGGTGTAAATACAGCATATTTATATTTTGGTATGTGGAAGACAACATTTGCATGGCACACTGAAGACATGGATCTATATTCTATAAATTATTTGCATTTTGGTGCACCAAAAACTTGGTAAGATTTTAATATAATTAACAAATCCTAACAAATTTAATCTATTTTTTTTTTCATCTAAATCTTTAGGTATTCTATACCACCAGAACATGGAAGAAGGCTTGAACGTTTGGCCAATGGTTTCTTTCCATCAAGTTATCAATCTTGCCAGGCCTTCCTTAGGCACAAAATGACCCTTATATCACCACAAGTATTAAAACAATATTCAATTCCTTATAATAAGGTAAGTTATTTTTATTTAATGACTATAAATTGCATTTATAAATCTCCGACTACTGTAGATTACTCAAGAAGAAGGCGAAATTATGATAACATTTCCGTATGGTTATCATGCCGGTTTTAACCATGGTTTCAACTGCGCTGAATCAACAAATTTTGCCGCTCCTCGTTGGGTTGAATACGGCAAACGGGCAACACAGTGTACATGCAGTAAAGATATGGTGAAAATATCTATGGATACGTTTGTTAAAAGATTTCAACCAGAAAAGTAATTGTAACATATAGAGTATTTTTCATATCTATTAATTACCTTTTTTTATATTATGATTAGGTACGAGAAATGGTTGCAAGGTTGTGATATTGGACCACATCCGGAGGAACCAAACAGACAAGTTGCAGCGCCCCATCCAATGCCTCAAGACATTTTATGCAACAAAAATAATCCCGAATTACCGAGCAGTTTCACATTACCAAAACGCAGCATGGCAGGACGAAAGAGCAAATCTTCGTTTACAGAACAGCAGTATGTCTTTATTTGTCTTATTTAACCAATGTCCTAACTAATTTATTTGCAGAGATTTCTCAATGACTGATTTTCCTAGAGATTTACAAATGCAATTAATAGAGGAAGATATGGCTAGTGCTGAAGACATAGTTCCTGATGAACAGCAAATGGAAGTGTTGGAAGATATTTGGTTAAAAGCTGGGGAAATTGGTAAGAATTATGAACTAATCAGATGGATTGAAATATAATATGTGTCAATTTAAAGATGTTGAAGATGCTACCATGTTAGACGAAGGATACAAAGTTGGAGGACACAGAAAGAAACGGCGCAGCAAAGATAATAAAACACCAAGAAAACGCACTCCGAAGAAGAAAACGAAGCCAGTGATTCCCGGAATTCCATTTTCCACAAATTCGGCTTTGGACGAAATCACCGCTAGTGGATTATTTGCACCGTGCTCCTCGAATCAAACAAAAAAAGTGTGCGGTCCAATTGTGGCTCCAATTTCTGGAGTAAGGGGTGTGATTTCAGTGAATTCTTCAGTAAAACAAGAACCATCGAATAGTGTCGACGAAGATATCTCAAATTCATTTGATCGAATAATACGTGAAGCTACCATCGAACATGAAAGGACCCTTCAAGTGTCTGAGAGGGAAAGGATGCTTAATGCTAAAGTCAAGATCTTTAAAGCTGAGCCAGAAAAGGTGAAAATTGAGACGTTTTCTGATGTTTCTGCGGATTTCATATCAAAAATGGGCGTCGAAGTAAAACACGAAGCAGCTATAAAAAAGAAGCCGCGGAAGAGTACACATCCGAAGAATATAAAGGATATGACTGTCAGGAGTTTAGATTGTGGAAATTTTATAAAGACTGTGGAAAGGATGCCCACTTTAAAAGTACAAACTGTGACTGAGCCATTTATAGAACATGAAAGCATGCCTACTTTGGACCCGCAGAGAGCAAACACTGAACGTCTTCTGCGAGCCATCAGTAGTGGTCAATATACTATTGTACCTTCACATGGCGACGCTCAAATACGTATTAAAAGAGAAGATGCAGCTCAGACAATAACGACACCAGCCGTTAATACGAATGTTGTGCAATTGGTAAAAGCTCCACAATCGAACCAGTTGCCATCAGACAATGAAATGATTATTTCTAAGTATTTGAACAACCCACAGAAAAATAATTTGCATATTGTTCAGACAAGTCCAGCCATGGTTAATCAGATTAAGCAAAAAATAACTGAACAAATTAAAACCAATGCCATTCATTTGCACCAAACTGTGCGTCCACAAGTAACTCAACTGTTGAATCAACAAGCTCCCGAGAATCGTATAATAATTGGTGGTACAGAAAAGGCAGTTTACATGGTCGACAATAAAACCCTGATGTATAATTTACCAAAAGCCAACCAGGTAGTATTACCCTCAACTCAACAATCATCTACAAGTGAAACGAATCCAGTGAACTATAATAAATACTATACCATCAATTCTGTGCCAGCTGCAACGCCGATAACGGAAGCACAGGACCGTTTTTACCCGATGACCTACAAGCCCATAAGCTTAGAAAAAGATGCGGAAATGTCCCCGGTGGCTGACTGGAAGCAAGATTTGAAGAAGCAACCCTGCGGCCAAAAGATCAACATAGGCGAGATTACAGTTACGAAACTGGACAAAGCACAGACGTCCAATGAAACAACACGTAAACCAAATGTAACCAGACAACCCGCAGATAAAAAGCATATATTAGTTGTGAATAACAATGATATTAAACCAAAGATAACAAAGTTTAACACTGAGAGAACTCTTCAGAAAATAAACGAAGATATGAAGTATGCAGGTATTAAGCAAAAAGGTGCAATTAATGGTATGGATCAAGAAAATTTGTTGAAAGTCAAAACACCAGTTCAGATCAATGCTGGACAGGAATTAAAAATGGCGAATGAGTGCAATTACAATTCTTTTCTGATTAAGCAAAACAAGACTGATAGTGAAACTAAGTTCAATCTACTTACAGTTAGTAATCTGAAATTGGATAAGGAAAATAATTTAGAAACTGACTTAAATGAGATACATCACAAGGGCAAAGGGTGTTTGCTTGAATGCAATGAAGACACAGATAAAGATAATATTGAAGCAAATTGTGAAAGTAAAATGGAAGGAGCAACAATTCGTTCAGGTATCAAGAGATATAGCTCTGGTAAACCAGTAATGGACGAAGACAATATTAATCATGATGAAGCTGATGAGAAAGTAAAAATGGAATATAGCGATGTCGCCTGCGACAATGATGATTCGTTTGTGACTTCAAAAACTTCTCAGTCAATAAATGAATCATTTTCGTCTGAGACAAATTCTTCTTTAGAAAACAAATCTTTCAATAACTCAATGGACACTAGCAAAACTAGCAATTCAATTGTTAAAACGATACAATTGAATTTGGCTGTATTCGAGGTACTAAACCGTGAGATTATGGATGACAATTCAGAGTTGAGCTCATCCGAGGATAGTGTTGATGAAGATTTTCTTCACAATGATAACCAGTATCTCTTCAAAGGCAGCGCCAGTGATTTGAATAATTACACAAATATGGAAGGCATCACTTGTAAATTACTCAACTTCTTAAAATCGGTTCCGGGTGAAAAGATCGATCGGAACGCTATTAAGCAGTATCTGGAAGGAACGGGACTAATCTTATTTAAGAACGACAAGGGGTTGTGGGATGTTCGAAGTGATGAACTATATCTTTCCGACAGTTGTGAATTGAATTCAGCGAAGCGCCAGAAAGTAAATAAAATAAACGGTTTACTGAAGAAAGTCAAGACATTGACTCCATACAAAGCGATCGTGCGTCTTTCGGATTGTATGCTGAATGTTGCGAAACAAGATAAAAGCAGACTGTTAGCCCAATTACAGAGTCAATCAGATGAGGATGACGAGGACGACAATAAGGTAATAATAGTAATTGATAAAATTTTCTAAAAGTAATAAATTTAAATAATTTTTCAGTTATTAAGCGAGTTTGAAAAGAAGCGAGTGCTGGAGGAGGTTTGGGCTCGTAGGAACGATGGAGCATTTTATAGAGCTGTGATATTGGAGAAATATAAGGAATGCCGGTGTGTGGTGTTTATAGAATCTGCCGGAAGTATAATCATAGATGTGGCGGTAAGTGACATCCGCTCAATAAATGACAGCGAAAAGGCAGTCATGACGGGCGATCGAATAATATTGACACGGAACAACGAACAACAGGAAGGCGTGTTGTTGAAGAAAACTAAACATTATTTGTATAAAGTATGCACACAACATTAGTTACCACAATATTCACATTTGCTAATCAAATATGTAATTCTAGGTGAAGTATCAAGACGGACAAATAGCCGTAGTAAAGAGGAGTTGTGTATTTACGAAGGATTCATCGTTCGCTAAGAAAATAGCTAGTAAAATTAGGTAAGATTTTACTAACATCGAAATATTGATTATAAAACATTATTTTTTTTTTCCAGAGATAAACCCACTTAAGTAACTGGATATCGTTTATTGTTTTACATAAATTATTTATTTCATTTAGCGTTTAAGACTGATCAGAGTGTTATAATTTAATGACTTTTTAACTTTATTCCGTTCATTTTTTTTTTAATTTATATGATTCGTTGATTCTATTGGAATCCTATTGTTTCTAAAAAAAAAACACATCTTTTATTATTAATAATATTTTGCAAATTGTGATGATTAAATTTAGTATCTATGTAGAGAATATGTTCGAAGTACAAATTATCGCAATACTAAATACTAAACGACGTCTCGTTATCACCGTCATTAGTGGCGAATCGTTAGTTTCAGTCTTCGCAAAATTTGTACTCTTTCTATCATTTCTGTTGAACATTTTCGTTGTACAATCATTTTATGTATATATACAGGAAAATAATAGATTATTTGACGTGTCCCCCAGTTATTTATTCGCTAGACACTGCACAATATCATTTACCGTATTGTATAAGGTATAATGTGTTTGGATGAAACAACACAGTATGTAAGTTAGGTTTCTCAAAGCGCATTTAGCATACACTGAAAATCGATGTTAATGATAAACAAACAACAACAACAACAAAAAAAGATTTACAAGATATTTGTATATATGTGAATAATGTATTAATTATAAATAATATAATTATGAACTATGGAAATATTCTTCAGCTTTTCTTCCGTGACAATCCGTTGTGGCTCTTTCTGCGCCCATGTCCAGGAGAACCCGGTAAGCAGCCATCAGGTTCTTTCTGGCGGCGCAATGAAGAGCAGTGTAGCCTTCCGAACTGCGCGAATCTACGTTCACTCCAAGTTCAAGTATGGTTCTAATGAAATCCAAATCTCCTTTGCTCGCTGCTAGATGGAGAGCATTGAAACCAACTGAATTCTTTGCTCCGATTTCGCCGTCGCTTTCTAAAATGTTCTTGAATACTTGATAATTACCACCGAGAACGCTCTCGTGCAGAGGGGTATTGCCGCAATTATCCGTCGCGTTCACCTGCGACGAATCCTCCTTTAGTAAATATTGCAAGACCTCTTGGTTATTATGCAATGCGGACACATGAGCGCCACTTCTGCCGTTTTTCGTCCTCAGCGTTAAATTTAAACCTCGCGAATGGAGATATTTCAGGTTGTTCAGAGAACCTTCGCGCGCTAATAAATGAAGACACGTCCATCCATCTTTATTGGCATAGTTAACGGCAGCGCCATTCTCTGATAATGCTTTAATCAGGTCCAGGTTTGGCTTCTTCGTGCATGCCAACATCAATGGCGTCCAATCCGCCTTCTTCAGCGAGTTAACATTTGCTCCGTGTTCTATCAATATCGTTGCCGCTTCCAGTTGCCCGAACTGAGCTGCTTCATGCAGAGCCGTCTTATTGTCATCGTTAGTTGCATCCACTGCAGATGAATTAAACCTAATCAAGAGACGTTTAATTACCTCTGCATGTCCGTACCTAGAAGCTACATGTAATGCAGTATCTCCTGTATTCTTGTATTGCAGATCCTTCCATTCCACTTTATCTAAATCCAGGAGATTATCCCAGATTCCTGTGTGGCAACTCTTCAATACTTTCTTCGGCTGATCCGCCAGTTTTAAGCTTTCCACGGGATCCAACATAACCTAATATAATTACTTCTACAGAATTTTGTTATGTGGGATGCGGCAGACGATTATGGAAATCGATTTTCAAGGGCACAACTCTCTTGGAGCAATTCTTAGTTTAGCATCATAAGATTTAATATATTTATAATTATAAAATCGAGCCCTGACCATAATAAAAAACATGTTATATACAATATTTTAAAGTATTTAAATGATACTCATCACTCTGTTAATACAAATATTTGTATTATGAACAGTAATATTCATACAGAAATAATAAATATATAAAATATTCTATTTCTGAGATCTTGCAGCAAATTAAAATAAATCCGTATAAATACTAATCATTATTACAATAATTTAAACAAAACAGTTGGAAATTATTTATAAATATTAATTGGGCTTCTTTTGAAAATATAACATGTAAATAATGATAGTTGATGATAGAATGACATTATGTAGACATTATAACTGTTATTTATGTGAAATATGTTTTGCTCAGACTTTTATTGTTAATTGAATATACACATAAAATGAAAATTATTTATATTTTCCGGGAAGAACAGTCGCTTTCTAAATTTTCCGCCAGCGTTACGACTTCTAAATGAAGTTTCTAATAGTTGTTTCAATAAAAGGATTGTTAATAATGGCAAACATGTTTTCCTTTAATTGTTTGGTAATTAGCATTAATAACAATCGACATGGTGTTCGTTTGAGCGCATGCGCTATTTACATTATGCTAATAAATAAAAACAAACATATGTTTGTAATAGGATATAAACAATGAATTATAACAAAATTGTGAGAATTTAAATTTGGCGCCATCCGCTGTCACTGTCAAAATAGGGTCACGTGGGGTTGCATAGCAGTTCATAATACGCGTTCGGCTACGTTCGGGTCCCTTTCGATGATCGCACGAAAATGGTTTTCTTCGGTTCAGAGTTGAATCGTGAGAAAAGTGTCCCCCTCTAACTGGATCGAGGTTAATTTCGCTTCGCTGCTGAAAAATTGTACAAGGATTCAAATAAAAATGTAAAGCGAAAACAGTAAAAGCATTTGCGTGGGTAAAATTGTGAAGAGCGTCGCGGATTCAATAAATTTTTAATTGATGATTATTGCTCGGTTCGGTGTACGATCAGGCTCGCGTGTTTTCTTGAAGATTTCCTGAGGAAGGAGCATCATTTTAGTTATCCTGTTTAATAGACGTGCTAGAACGTTTAACGAAGATGGTCAGAGGTGAGTTTTTCGGTCTTATCGTTTTTTCGCGTGCAGATGCATCCAAAAGCGATCAAGAATCCTTCCAAGATTAATTCATTTTTTTCATTTGCAAACGGCAATTGTTTTGTTTGATATTTTGTACGCCATATTGTTTGCAGACGCGATGCTTTACATAACCTCGAAACGATCGTTCAAATTCTAAACAGAAATATTTGATTTTTACAGGAAGGAGAGTCAGGGCTGTGATAGCGTGCAGCGACGGCAGTGATTGCTGTTCACCGCTTCCGAAACGCAAAGTGAAACTGCAGAGCAAGTTTGCCCATTCAGTTCTTAGCCCAGTGAATAAGAAAAATCAAATCATTTCTCAGTTCTTTCAGGTAAACTATACGCAAATCATTAATTACATAAGTAACTAATTAACTCATACCATTTCTTGTAGGCTGTTGAAGTGGATATTGATGATGCCGTTTGTGATTTAGAGGTGTCCAGTTTCGACAATAGGAACAATATATGCATCGTTGATTCTGATATACCTAGTGATGGAATCAATGACTTAGATGACAAGGAAAAGGAGGAATTCAAAGGTAACAGCACATTTATTAACAAAGTTTATTTGCAATTTTGATCTCATTACTAATTTCTTCTATCTCATCGTCGATGATCTGAATCCAGGACATTGCTTGATGCACATCTCCTCAGGTGGGCAACTTTTAAAAAAAAAATTAGAGAAATTATTTAAATTACTAACCAGAAGTACTGAACCGACTTTGCTAGATCCGTCCCGACCTTCTTATCCATACTCTCAAAGAGTTCGTTAAAATCTTTCTGGACTGCATTCAGAAGCACTCCAGAGCTCTCCACCAATTTATTGTAGTAATCTTCTGCTTCAGCAATGGCTTCATTATATCGATCCCTGGCAACTATTCGCTGTGCTAAGCTCTTCGAAATCTACAACACATTTCTTTACTACCTAAATTCATCATAAACTTTAAGCACTGTACAATATTTATTTTGTAAGCTAGCCTTTCCATTTCTGTATTTAGCAGAGCCTTCTCCTCTTCCTGCTTCCTAATGGTGTGGATGACCTCATCTCTTTGTCTCTTCAGCTCTTGAATGTACGAGATAATCTTGTCATTATTAGTTTTTAAAGCGTCGGCCCGCAGTTTGTCGCACATCCCACGTGCAATTTTGAAATGTTTGAAAACTGGCGCGATGCGTTTCCAATGGGTTTTTCCTATCCGCGAACTATCTTCTGAATTCTTTTTCGCGTGTCATTTTTTGACAAACCGTCACAATTTTGTTTCAATTATTTTCGATTTCATCCGCTAGCATAAACTGACATTAAAAATATGCAATTAACTAAAATAACATTAAAATAAGCGTAAATATTTAAACAATTATTTAATGCTGTCAACACACTTATCTTAAATGTTATATAATAGTTAATTGTTACATTAGGAGATTTGACGTTCTTTGTAGAATGCAGTTTAATTAAACTGCATTATAGTTACACGTATATAGATTTTATATGTTTGAAATGGTTACAGAGATATTGGCGACTCCGTTGGGTAAGAATGGCCCCGCTGATTTGGATATACTGTCGCCGGCAACACCACATAGGATTGAGTTGAAGGATGAGCAAGAGGACAAAGTGAAAAATGAAGCCAAAATTGTACAAGAGAAAATCGAAAAAAAGATTATCATAGCACCCAGAGCGAGACGGAGGTATTACCATTAATTTCAGGTCTAATGTACAATAGATTTCATTATGTGAATTTCAGGTTGAATGCTAATAATGCGGTAAATCAACAACCACCCGCGGCGAAACCCACTATCAAAGGAAACAACAATGAGACGAGTCATAAACTCACAGAGTATTTCCCAGTTAGAAGATCCGTGCGAAAAACTAATAAAATTGCTTTAGAGGAGAAACAGCGCACGCTTGAACAAAATTTAAGGAAAGGCATCGAACAAGGATTAAGGGTGTGTATGCATTATATCTCACTACGATTAAATCATTAAAACAAACATGCACGGAATTTAATCGTTTAAATTCTTTCATTCAAATATTGCTTCTGATTTATCAAATTATAACATTTTTTTTTGTAATTTCTTTTGATATGTCAGTTTTGATAGAACCAATCTTAATTTACAAAATATATTGTTCATCTCTATGATAAATAGTCTAATTATCATTCATCTTTATTTTTGCTCTTCAAAATATTCTCTCTCTCTTCAGTCAATTAAATATTATATGTTGTTAGATTCTTTGTGGCCCAAAAGCCAAGATGGGTTCCTTTTTTTGATGTAGACGTTCTATTGATTGGCAAAAGACCTTTTCTTGCCTTGGACAATCTACTTCTAAGAAACCTGGTATAGTTACAAAACATATTGTGAAATATTAATCCTTCAAGTCAAATATACCAGATGCATTTTTCATTGTTTGCAATTTTGAAAAGTTTTCTACTTTTATAAATTCTATTGTGTATGCGAAATTATTATTTTATATATACTGGTTTATTCCGAAAAGTTCATAAGACGGTTTTCAAATTTATTACTACGATAACGGTGATTTTTTTATTCAATAATTCGTATTTGTTTGCATAATAACTCATATTATATATTTTTGTTTCATTGTTTAGATACGAAATTTCGAAGGAAAGGGTAGAGGTGTTGTTGCAAACAAGATGTTCCAGCGCGGTGATTTTGTTGTCGAATACTCCGGAGATCTTATTGATACTGCCGAGGCCAAGAGGAGAGAGGTTAAATACGCCCAGGATCAAAACACAGGTTGTTATATGTATTACTTCAAACACAAGAGTCAACAGTATTGGTAAGAATTGCTGTTTTTGATAACATTTCTTTGAGTAATTAAAATATGTTTTACTCGTTTTTGCAGCATCGATGCGACAGCGGAAACTGGTCGTTTGGGTCGTCTGGTGAACCACTCTCGAAATGGCAACTTGGTCACTAGAACAATCGACGTTGATGGATTGCCGCGCTTAGTGTTAGTCGCAAAAGACACAATCGAGATTGGCAATGAAGTGACTTACGATTACGGTGACAGATCGAAAGAGTCTCTTAGGTATCATCCTTGGTTAGCGTACTAAGCTGAGTATTGCACTGAATATAACTAAATAAATTTCCTTTATATGTACAAGACAATTATTTGACCAAAGTTTAATTACGTTACTCATTTTAATTAATTTTTTTTTTTGGATCGTATTACAGTTAAAAGTTTAGCAAGTATTTTTTTTGGCGTACATTCTTATTGATTAACGCGACTTAAAAAACAAAGCAAATAATATTCACTGCCCTTTGTATTAATTACTTTTCAAAAAATAAGTTACTTGGTGACACGGTTTCTGACCTTTTATTATTATTTAAACGTTAAGTTATTCCCTAAGTTTCTGTAATTTATTTATATTTATTAAAATACCCTGCAACAAATGTGTATATATTATATAAAGACGAGATGTTTATGTTTTAGTATTCTCTTTAGATTTACGCACGTGTACTGTTTTTTAGTTCCGTCTTAAATAAATTTTAAATTTGTTGGTAATATGTAAACGAGATTGTGATTTAAACGGTATAATAATAATTAATCTTGTTACAATTTTAAATCAATTTGAATATATCTATATTAAATAAATAGAAAGCAAGTTGCTGGTATCATTATTTTGATTTATTCCTACCGAAGTAAATAACATATTTAAAGTATAAAAGAAGAAGAAGCGATTTAAACTTCGTATGAATCCTTAGCATACGAAAGGAAATATTCAATTTTCTTCAGCACCTTCTTGAGATCAGGATTGCTGACGTTTTCTAGAGGAGTCACTTGATGTTCTGTAAACTTCTTGTAGAATTCTCCGTTGCTTGCACCGGCCGCACTTTCGTGCGTCACAGCTTTTTCGAATATAGCATGTATTTCGGATAGGGCGCACATCAAATAGTATTTTCTTTCAGTGGAGTGTGGTCCTCCAAGGATGCTTTGAACGTCTGGTTTTATATGCTCGATGTTCTCTTCATCAGTCATGATAACCAATTCAGGCTAAAACAATCAAAATACATTAATTTTCCCACCAAAAACAACATTTTCTTTGTGCTTCTTCTTACCCTAGAACACTCCATGATAACGGAATTTATGGCCAAGTTGAAGCAATCGAAATTTTCGTTCTTTCGTACATTCAATGATAAATTAAATATGAAACTAGAGCTTTCCTTTGGGAAATCCATGTGGTCACCATTAAAATATCTCACGATGAAAACGTAAGCCGCGAGAATGTTCATCATGTTAAACTGCACACAGTCTGCAGGTGGCTTTGACTGCAATTCAATTGTTAATTATCAAAAATCTGAACTGCTCTATAATTAATTATCTCACTGTAAGTTGTGAAAACTGCTTTATGTCTGTTAATATTTTTGGGCATTTGCATTTGTGCGCTTCCAGCTCCTCCAAATCTATAATTCTCTTATCGCAAACATATTCCCACCAAGGTGTCCACATGGGAATATATTGGCTTACATCACCAGACCTAAAAGAAAAACAGTTTAAAATTTCTTAAATTACAAAAAGAAAAAGCAACTTACATTAAGAATGCTTCAAATTCCTGTTTCTCATCATTATTCAAAGTCTGCCACACATCCTCTGAATTATCCAAACACACTCCAGCCAATCTCTCTTCCAGTGACTTATACATGCTATTCAATTCATCATCAGAATCAAGTGTTTCTTCTAAATCAGAGTAATCATCATCATCATCTTCAACATTATCAGAATTCCTTGAATTATCATCATCTTTAATTCCATTTTGTGCATGGAACCTTTCTAAGATTTCCATCATCTTTGCTTTCGAGTCTTTATCTGAAGTAGCCCCAAGTTGTTCCATGACAGAATCTTTGTAGAAATTCTCTGAACATTCCAGATGCCCCTCTGACTGGTAGCAAGCCAATGAGCAGTACTGGATGTTGCATTTCGGACAGGAATATTTGCTGATACCATTGTTACATCTAAACACAACAATGTTATTTTTGTTTATATTATCATAACCAATGTAACTTACATGTTGCAGGTGTTTTCTTCAGTTAATTCAACTATTTTAAGAGATGACATCGTTTGCGATCTGCACTAAACGATTGACACTATAATTATAAGAATTCCTCTCAGAATTTTGATGCGAATTGATTATTTTGATCAAAAAGAAAATTATTGGATATAACCGCTTTTGCAAATACAACATATGACATCCACAGCAATGAAGTTAAATCAAGAAAGCGCAGTTGTCAATGTACAAATTTACTTTATTAAATTCCAAAGTTTAAGAAAACAATCTTGTTATTTCAGAGAATTTAGACTTATAGTTAAGTTTATTAAATACGTAAATGATCAATAACGATATATTATTTAATTACATTTATTACCTATATAATAAAAGGTAAATTATCAATCAAATGTGTAATGAACTCTCCTATAATGTGAGTAATTTGTATAACGTTAAATAAAAATAGTTATGAGATTACCGCGTTATATAACAACATACTATACAATAATATTATTAAATTTGTCATCATGGCGTACTTTTAAATGTCAGATTCACCACTAGATGGAACTACATATTTAATTTGAAATGTAAATGTTACGTTTGGAGAAACGGACGATTATGATTGAAGAGCACAAAGTTCATTTTGGAATAAATTTAAAGACGAAAGTCCTTTTTCAGTTTTCTGGTGCTTCAGGAAACTCCGAAATTTTTGATACAAAAAGCTTAATAAATGGTTGCATTAAAAACTTATAACTTGAAAAGTATTTAACTTTTTTGAACTTTTATTTTTGCATATGAAGCGTTCATTTATTGCACAATTTTTGATTTAAAAAAAGTTAGGAATAGTTAATAAATGGCTGAGTTATAAAGTTTTTTTTCTTTATAACTCGAAAAGTATTCAACTTTTTTAAACTTTTATTTTTTCATATGAAGCATACATTTATTGTGTATTATTATCTCTTTCGTGCAAATCGAATTGACAATTATTTAATTTTAAGTGAATTGTGTTTAGCGTCAAAATGTTCGAACTACAACCTTTGATATATTGAATATAGATGGCGTTGTCACTACAACCACGGATGTGCAGGCAACCAAACATACATATGACTTGGGCATTTCACGGATGGGAAAATAGCGTATTAGCAAATGGCCTGTATTTTCTCAACCACCAGCTTCCAGAAGAATATTGGATATGAATGTTGATCTTGAATATACGTAGATTGAAATGTACATAAATATAAGTTTGCAGCTGCTATGGCTTCTTCATAATTAATTAACAAACTTTGTCATTTGAGAGACGACAGTTGGAAAATTAACGTCTTCGAATTTCGTTGGTGTTACTTTTGATTGACTTCAATTGCTCATGTCTTATACTCAAATTAAAGCTGAAAGTGTCATCTATCTAACGAGCCCACTATCAGCTTTGTACTGTTATCCATACGTCTGATATGAGCTGTCAAATGTGTTGATGCTGAAAATGCATCATTTTAATAATAATAATGTATTTTAGGAATTTGTCACCGCCTTCAGAAACAAAAAAATTGTTAACAGTTTTTCAATAAACATTATATAATAGTTATGAATTTGCGGAAGTTAATAATATATGACTAAAAATACTTGCTTTTGTTTAAATATTGAATACATGTACACTCGTTAATATTCAGTTTGCATTAAAAAAATATATATAAAGTTAGTAAAGTCATAAGTTATATAATACATTATTCTTCTATAAATCTATAATAAAACAAAATTTGGCGAATAAATCATGTATTTAATTGTACAATAAATGTGTTTATTATTAAATCTACAATTTGCAATTTTCAACTTGTTAATTGTGCATTGAATGCATGTATGACGTTATGCAAACATTGTCGGTATGGAATGAATGGTTTATGATCACGATTGCGTGATTATTACCATCATCATCGTTTAAAAGAAGACACGCCCTGGGTCTTCGTCGCCGCTGCAGTTCACTGGTGAATTGTGAGATGAACTTTCTCTTCGGCCGCAAGAGCCGTGTGCTATTGGCACATTTTACGCAATCGACAGGATAAACAATCAAATAACAAACAAAAAAAATATAACATTGTGACATTACAGTTTACAGACTAAGCCCATCAAGATGTTGGAAAATTCAACTCACATTTGCATTTCCATTTCATCGAATTTTAAACCTGTTTGCGTTTATCCTATAGGTTTTTGCGTAATCGCGAAGCAACGATTTACGAAGTCGAATTGAAGATGTTTGATAAATTTTTAGATTTTCTGGATGCCTACTGCTGCTGCACGCGATTTGAAATATCTCCAGTTTGTGAGCGCACCTGCCCGTACGTTTATTATGGTAATATGCATACTCACACACACGGTTTACATTACCTTCGAGTATGTCCCATTAAACAAAACCGAGAGTAAAAGTCCCACTTCTCGCAGTGCTTTGTTGTCTTGATCAACGGTGAGTTCTACCCTACTTTAAATATTATTACACTAGATTCATTGATCAATCAATTTCATTGAATTACGAATTACAATTATCATTTCCAATTCACACACATTTCAATTACAAAAAAAATACATACATTGCAAAAGAAATTAAAATCCTAACAAGTAATGTTGAGATTTATTTTGAAAATTATCGAATTTGCATCTAATTTTAAACGATTTTTGTCATCTTTATATTCGCACTATCACTTATATAAGAAAGTGTTAAATGCATTCCCGGAAAACAAACTCAAAGAAAATATACTGCTTACGTTCTTCAGTATTTATTTTATAAACTAATAGAAATAACTCAAATTTAAGATCCAAAATGTAATATTAAAATTCAAAGGTCTATTGACCTTTTAGTCCTTTATTTTATTATTTATAATTAGTTTAAGTTTATATTGTCAGAAATAACTGTTTATAACATTTCTATTATATAAGTGCTGATAATTGTATTATTTATTAAATAATTATAACAACATTTATTGTAATAACAATAAAATTACATAGATAATAACAATAAAAAAATGTAATAAAGACATTCTATTTAGAAATCTGAAATATTTTGACCAAAGTCTTTTTGTTATTTTTTATGCGCGAGACAAAAAGAAAACCAACTTTTGGAATAATTTATTGTAAATGGAGAATTATTAGTAAAACGGTCATGTTTTAAGTATTGTTATTTTTGTATATTGACCTAGCTTTCGTATTTATGAAATTCATGGAAAGTCGACTTCGATTCATCATTAAATGCATTATTAATGGCAATTATTAACCGAATTATATTTGGCAACAGACAGAATTTCTTTGAAATTTATTTACACAATTTTAAATGTAATTTAAATTAGTGAAATGTATATACTAATTGCAATATATTAATGTTACGTCGTATCTAGTGAGAGGTTTATCTCGAAATTATTTAGTGATATTTAAATTGAAACGATGTAATAGAAAAGTTCGCACTAAAGTGATGTAATTTGTTTTTTTTTTGTGTGAAAACAGTTGCATTAATGTGCAGAAAATGCAATAGAAAATGATAGAAATTAAAATTTAAGTCTGCTTTGTTTTACTTTTTAGTAATGTTAATCACGATCAAAGAACTCAATTTAAACAAGATTCTTTTATGCATTGTCCATAAAAACTTACACAATTGCATCAAATTATTTGAGATAATCATTCAATGTTTTCATTGATGCTGATATTCTAAAATATATTAAATTAAATGTTTTCATCAAAATTGGTCTCAAAATGAGCGAATCTTTGAATTTCTATATTAATTATAATAATACACATAGTCATTGGACAACTGTGAATGTGACAACTTGTCAATGTCAAACATTTTTTTGAATACGACATTAACGTCAAAATGTATCTCAAACAGAGCGAATCCTTGAATTTCTATATTCATTATTCGATATCGCAATGTTATATTCAAAATACACATAGTTATTGCACCATGAATTGTTAAATTGTTATTTTCTGCTTGAATGTAACAACATGTCAATGTAAAACAATATTTTTTAAACGTCATTAACGTCAAAATTTTGCTTTCAAAGATAGCGAATCTTTGAATATGAGGAATCAAATAAAAAAAAGAAACGAAATTAATTACTTTTTTTATGATCTTTATATTTGTACTTTCACTGATGCAAAAGTGCTAAGTGATAAATGCATTTCTGGAAAACAAACAAAATACTGTTTGCGTTCTGCGGTTAACTTATAAACAAATATAAGTACACTTGGTTCTCTTTTTATGCGGTAGATACGTTCCACAGGAAAACGCATAAAAATAAATCGTACAAAAAAAGGACTAGACACACGAATAAAAATAAAGGATACGTTCCAAATTTTTTTTAAAACCGCATAAAACTAAATCAATCAATGAATATACCGAAAATCGCATAAAAAAGGGTTTATTAAATTTCAGAAAAATAATTAGTCTTACTATATTCTTTCTGAAATGTTTATTCATAATTTTATAAAAACGTTAACACCATCTTAACATATTCCTTCTAAATTTTACAAAAAAAAAAATACAGAATATTGTTATGAAAGTTAATCTTTCTTCACATTTTTTTCTTTAGAATTATCGTCGCTATATGAGAGTGTTCGGCATAATTTGCGAACTGGTTCGAAATTACTTTCATCACTAGAAGAGATAGTCAGCATATCAGATCTATGTCCTGAAGATAATGATTCTTCACAAGTAAAATTAGTCTCATGTCTTCGCATGTTGATTTTTTCCCATAATCAGTGATTAAACTTTGCAATGGCTTTGCTATTTTTCTGATGTACAGAAATGCAATTCTGAAGCTCGCGTTGTAACTTGAATGCTCGTTCAGAATTATCATCTTTTTCGATGAAATGGTTTGCCAATTTGTGTCAAAACGTGTCAAAATGGCCTAAAATAGTAATTTAAAAAAAATGCTTCTTGAAATAAAAACCGCATAACTTCAAAACCGCATAAAAAGAGGACCGAGTGTAATTCAATACTCCAATCGTGTTAGAAAGAAATCGTGTTGCAAAACGATCGTGTTATGCGACAAATAGTATCATTATTTATCACTGATATATAAGTGCTTAATTAAATATTTCAATTATTTAATCGTGTTACAATGAAACCGTGTTATAGGAAGATATTAATTGTAAATTATTTCATTACATTAAGAATGAATGTTCTTTTTTTCAAGAAACTTTCGTTTATTTATCTTAATTAAATATGAAGTAATTGTAATGTTTAGTTTTGAGTTCAAATATTTATAATGCTGATAGGTTTTTACTTTTTTCACAATCCGACTTTCCGTTAAAATCCGTTAAAATGTGGAGATTGTTAATTTAGAAATTAAACTCTTGGTTCAAATAATGATGGTGTTACATAACAATCTTTTAATTTTAATAACCGATTTTCGAGAAACAAATTTATCATAATCACGACTTGAGAATTGCGTGTTTATTCTGTTCGCTTTGGTGTATGTTTTTTTTTTCGGCATTTCGCTCTCACCTCTGCGTTAATTCATATCAAATCTAATTGCAGAACGGCGTGCGTGCGACCTTCGTGTCTATTTCTTAACGCAAATTTCGCAATCGTTCGAATCGCAGATTCGCAGGAATTCGTAAAATCGATCGAAATTGAGATCGGGCGCGTTCACAGATCGCACAATTCCCGGGCCATAAAATACGCCTCGCGAAATTCGCGCCTGCGGTTGCGCAACGGTTCTCTCTGTGTGTGTCTGTTTGACTATATACACATAAAACGTGTGCGTTGTTACGAGTTTATCGATTGCAGGAGGATTCTGCACGAAAATACTGTTGTGACTGAGTCGCAGCCACAAATGTTTCGCAAATATTGCGTGCGTTCAGGAAGTTGAGCGTTCGCAAGAAATCTTCCTAATTAGTCGGTTCTGTTTCTATGGATTTGCCATGGTCGATGACAGAGGACAGACGACGAGAGGCGAAACTAACAGCAGTAAATTATGTCGTAACTGTCGAGAATGGAAAACGTGCATTTCTCGTGCGTTTTCCGATCTTCGTTTCGGAATTAGTGTAATTACCATTCGCTCATTATATGGTATTATCCATAAATCGTTCTATTTTTGCTGTCGAAGCAATGTCAAACTCGTCGTCTTTCACTGCGATTTAATTCGCTTCAAACTAAACGAATCTTCATTATTCGATGTCAAAACATCATCTTTCATTGCATCCTGCGATTTAATTCGCTTCAATTTGTTCACAAACTAATCAAATCTTTGATATAATCAAAATATATATAGTTCTTGCACCATTGCAATTCGTAGTTTGAATGTCAACAAAAAAAACGTTATTAACGTCCATATTGGTCTCAAACTGAGAATTATGAAAATAGACATAATTATTGCATCATGAATTGTTAAACTGTCATTTTCACTTTGCTGCTTAAATGTCACATCCTGTCAATGTCAAACTTACGTTCATAATGCCAATAACGTCAAAATTGGTCTCAAACTGAACAAATCTTTGAATTTATTGAACCATTATCACAAAGTTATTGAACCATTAATTATTAAGATTTTATTTTGCATTTTGCTTGAATGTCACAATTTGTCAATGTCATCTTGTTTTCAATACGTCATTAAGGTCAAAATTGGACTCAAACTGATCGATTTTTTGAATTTCAACATTCATAATTCGATATTGTTTTGATATAAACAAAATGCTCATAGTTATTACACCATTAATTGTAAAACTATAATTTGAATTTCGCTGCTTAAATTTCACAACTTGTCAATGTCAAAATTTAGGCGAAACTTTGAATTTCTATATCTATTATTAGATATTGCTTTGATGTAATGAAAATAGACATAATTAATCCATCATGAATTGTTAAACTGTCATTTGCAATGTAACAACTTGTCTATATCAAATATTTTTTAATTTCTAGATTAATTATTCGATATCGCAATGTTATAATCAAAATAGTACATCTAGTTATTGCATCATGGATTGCTAAATTGTCATTTGCAATGTAACAACTTCTCAATGTCAAACATTTTGGGCGAATCTCTGAAAACTGTCATTTGCATTTTGCTGCTTAAATGTCACATCTTGTCAATGTCAAACTTACGTTCAAAACGCTAATAACGTCAAAATTGGTCTCTAACTGAGCGAAACTTTAAATTTCAACATGTATTATTAGATATTGCATATATATAATGAAAATATACATACTTAATGCATCATGAATTGTTAAACTGTAATTTGCAATGTAACAACTTCTCAATGTCAAAATTTGGGCGAATCTCTGTAAACTGTCATTTTCATTTTGCTGCTTAAATGTCACATCTTGTCAATATCAAACATATGTTCAAAACGCCAATAACGTCAAAATCGGTCTCAAACAGAGCGAAACTTTGAATTTCAACATTTATCATTAGATATTGCATTGATATAATGAAAAGAGACATAATTAATCCATCATGAATTGTTAAACTGTCATTTGCAATGTAACAACTTCTCAATGTCAAACTTCGGGCGAATATCTGCAAACTGTCATTTGCATTTTGCTGCTTAAATGTCACATATTGTCAATGTCAAACTTATGTTCAAAACGCCAATAATGTCAAAATCGGTCTCAAACTGAGCGAAACTTTGAATTTATACATTTATTATTAGATATTGAATTGATATAATCAATATAGACATAATTATTGCATCATGGATTGTTAAACTGTCATTTGCAATGTAACAACTTTTTAATGTCAAACTTTGGGCGAATATCTGCAAACTGTCATTTGCATTTTGCTGCTTAAATGTCACATATTGTCAATGTCAAACTTACGTTCATAATGCCAATAACGTCAAAATTAGTCTCAAACTGAACAAATCTTTCAATTTATACATGTATTATTCCATATCAAATTCGTTATAATCAAAATACACATAGTTATTGAACCATTAATTATTAAGATTTTATTTTGTATTTTGCTTGAATGTCACAATTTGTCAATGTCATCTTGTTTTCAATACGTCATTAAGGTCCATATTGGTCTCAAACAGATCGAATTTTTGAAATTGAAAATTCATTATTCGATATCGTTTTGATATAAACAAAATGCTCATAGTTAATACGCCATTATTTGTTAAACTATAATTTGAATTTTGCTGCTTGAATTTCACAACTTGTCAATGTCAAACTTTAAGACAAACTTTGAATGTGTATATTTATTATTAGATATTGCATTGATATAATGAAAATCGACATATTTAATTCATCATGAATTGTCAAACTGTCATTTGCATTTTGCTGCTTAAATGTCACAACTTGTCAATGTCAAAATTCTGTTCAAAACGCCAATAGCGTTAACGTGAAAAATTGTCTCAAATTGAACAAATCTTTGAATTTCTACATGTATTATTCCATATCGAATTTGTTATAATCAAAATACACAATTATCGCACTATTACTTATTAAGATTTTATTTTGCATTTCGCTCGAATGTCATAATTTGTTAATGTCAAACTTTTTATCAATACGTCATTAAAGTCAAAATTGGTCTCAAACTGATCGAATTTTTGAATTTCAACATTCAACATTCATTATTCAATATCGTATAGATATAATCAAATTGCTCATAGTTATTACACCATTCATTGTTAAACTATCATTTGAATTTGACAACTTGTCAATATCAAACATTTTTTTCAATGCATCATTAAAGTCAAAACTGAGCAAATATTTCAATTTTTAAATTCATTCTTCAATATTGCATTATTATAATCAATAAAATTATTATTGCACCATTAAGTGTTAAGTTTTAGTATTACATTTAACTACTTGAATCCCATTTGCAATATTTAAACAAAAATACTCACAGTTGTTGCACCATTAATTGCTATGTATTGCATTTAGCAGCTCAATTCTCATCAGAAAATTTACATTTTTTATTTCTCATTTCAACAATTTAGAACGTTTATGTAATTTAAAAGTTTTCTTAACAAAGTATGCTAATATTATCTTCTAAATCTGGGATTCCCAATATGTTTGCTTTTCGCTCTACTTAGAGCTTCTGACAGATGTGTAATGTATATGAAAATGGGAGCGATAATGCAATTATAGTCATTTTGTATCAATTTGTTATGTAATTTTTAAGTAAATTTAAACATTTGACAGTATCAACAACTTAAAATTAGTGTCTAATTTCGGTATTACATATGAGTAGATATTATAAATACTAAATTTTATGATTTACTTTGTTTGACAATAAATATTAATTCACAAAGAAATATTTCTTAAACGATTTTTTGTTATAATTTTGAAAATCCAGAGAATTGTGATTGTGAAAATTGAAATTTGTGTATACTAAAAAGTTTATATCTTTTAGTTTGAGTACTAAATTAAAGATGATGCAATTTTTTTTATATTCACACACAAATAACAACAATATTAACGGTTTTATTATTGAAACATGTTAATTAGTATTTAGATAACATAAAAAGAGAAAAAAAAAACTATATTCAATTCATAACATAATAACAGTTTAAAATTAAAGCCTGCTTGATATATTTGGAAATTACGAATGGACCGGAAAGGCCAGACATGCAAATCGATCAGTGCGTGCAACGTGTCGGCCCAGTCAAAACAACGGGGAGTATTCAAATCAAACGCAGTAAATATTCAATTTCAGCTTTAATTATTTTGTATTACACAAATGTGTGACGCAGCTCAGTTTTTAAACCCCATTTTTTTTTTGAAAAGTAGGAAACAAAGAAAAGCGTTGTTTATATTAACCGTGTTTTTTTTCAATTATCCGTGCTTAACGTTTCCGAATTACCACGGATAATCGACGTTTCACTGTATGTTGAAAATATTTCATTATAAATTCATTCAGTCTCAGTTACAAAACTTAATTGTTGTTGCAGTGAAATAATTTGCATATTCAATTTATGAAGTTTTTCTGTGAATATTGCATTTCAATGAATTTAATCCTAGACGAGGTAGCAAATAGAAAGCATTGCATAGATTCTAGTTTCTCTCGTATTACAAATTATTGAAAGATCTAACATTACTTTCCATATAGGCCGTTGCATAACTAATCTTAGCTTAATACAAGTTTAATATTAAAATTATATATTTTTTATAAATAAACATAAACAAAATTCATGAAGTTTATTTTATAAACAAAATATAAAATTTGAAGGTCTGAATATTTTTTATGCTCTTTTACCTTATTTGCGCCGCAATCGAAGGACGCCATGACATTTCAGTGCGTAAAAGTGGATACGCACCGTAGCTTGTCTGTTATAACTTTACAAGTACGTGATTTGACTCGTTACTTGTCATTTAACGTGTATGTTTTTTTTATGTGGAGTTGTTGTTTAATAAATGTATGCTTTTGTTTTTGTAATTTTATATTTTGAATAAATGAAAAAGTAAAAAACTTGTTTTTTTATCTAGATGTTTAAGAACTGAAGTTATTTTGACTCAATATTTTCTTTTAAATGAGATTTTATTTTTGACTTAAATGTCATAACTTGTCAATGTCAAACTTTCTTTTCAATATGACATTAACATCAAAGTTGGTTTTAAGATGTTAAAGAACGAAAGTTGAAAATCTATTTTACACTGATTTTTTTTTTAATTAGAATTAAATTATTTTTTGTATTATAATGTTAAAATAACCAAAGATGAAAATGTATGTTTCTAATTTTTATAAAATTAAAATTAAATAGATTTTGACAATGATTTGACAATGATTTAATGGGAATTGAAAAAACAACGAATGTTAAATTAGTTTTGTCTTAAGATTTTAACAAAAAACCAAAAATAAAAACTTATTTGATTGATAAAAGTTGATAAAAGAAATCAATCTGAAAATGAATTTTTTTTTGTGTTAAATTTGTTTAAGAACGAAAGTTTTAAACTTAACTGAATCTAATTATTATTATAAAAATATCATTAAATTATGTTTTATGTTTAAGATGTTTGACCGAGTCATGGATGTGTACAAAGGAAAGCACATTTTCATAACGGGCGGCACCGGTTTCATGGGAAAAGTGCTCATCGAGAAGCTCCTCCGTTCGTGTCCACAAATATCTGCGATTTACCTCTTGGTCAGAGCAAAACGCGGAAAGGAGCCGAAACAGAGGTTGCAGGACTTCATAAAAACGCCTGTAAGTCTGAAACACTTTCATCCCAATAGACTATTTATCAACATTCATTGACTACAGCTCTTCGCAGCATTGCAAAACGATCCCAAAAGCGATGAGCTCTTCGGCAAGTTGCATTGCATGGAAGGAGATCTGATGCTGGAGAATCTGAACCTATCCAACGATGATTACCAGTTGCTTTGCGAGAACGTCGACGTCGTCTTCCACATGGCAGCGAACGTTCGCTTCGATCAACCACTTAAAACTGCCCTCAATCTGAACACGGGAGGGACGTTGCGCTGCCTTCAGATGGCCTCCAATTTGCGTAATCTGAAAGCCTTCGTGCACGTCTCCACTTCCTACTGCCATTGCGATCAGACCGTACTTGAGGAAAAAGTCTACAAAGCGCCGCACGATCCAAGGTTGAACGAAACAACACCCAATTGAAATTGTTTTATCCTTAAGTTTTGACCATATTTGCAGGAGAATGCTCGATTTGGTATCGTGGATGGATGAGGAACTTATAGAATTGTTAGCACCTAAACTCTTGCAGAATTCCCCGAACACCTACGCCTATACTAAGTGTTTGACGGAGCAATTGGTTTCTGAGTATGCGAAGATCTTACCGATCGCTATTGCTAGACCTAGTATAGGTAATTGTAGTTAATTAATTTTGTCGATGTAGTTTAGTTAATTAAATTTCTTTCAGTTACTGCGTGCTTCAAAGATCCGATTCCTGGTTGGGTGGATAACTTCAATGGACCGACTGGTTTATTGATCGGCGCTGGGAAAGGCGTAATAAGGACAATGCATTGCGATCCCAATTTACCCACTGATTTGATCCCCGTTGACATGGCAATAAATGGCCTCATACTCATCGCCAAGGAGCTGCTGGAAAATAGACCAATTAATCAGGAGCCCCTTGTAATCCATCTAACTTCCGGAAAGGTAATAAACAGAAGAATGATTTAGACCAGGGGTAACCAAACTTTTTGGTGCGCGACCCCTTTTGTATTTAATAATTTAAAATTTCCCCCTCTTTGAGAATCATTGATTTAGACTATAGGAGAGGAACGCTGAATTTGGACAATCTAAACATTTTTTTAATGTAAAAAGTTAAGAAATGTTTTATGGTAAAAGAAGACTGTGAACGATGGTGAAAACAATGAAATTAAATTATAAAGTATATTTTGGTTTAATCAACGAAATGACTTAATTTTAGTTATATTAAATACAATTTAAGCAGACTTATTTTTCGTATTCGCTTCAGTTTATCTGAAGAATAAAAACAATTATCTAATATTTCATGAAAAATAATAATTAGCTTCTTTATATCCCATTTTGATGATTATTTTACTTTCTTGATTTCATCTCTTTTGATTTATAGTAATTACCTGTTTTTACAAATAACTTCTCGAAGTGACAGCTGGCATCTGTCATCAAAACGTCATTTTTTTATATTTTTTATAATATAAACAATTGAGAAGGGCTTCTTTATAAAATAGTCCTTATAGTCTTATTATAGTCTTATTTTTCGTATTCATTTCAGTTTATCTGAAGAATAAAAACAATTATCTATTATTTCATGCAAAATGATGATTATTTTACTTTCTTGATTTCATCTCTTTTGATTTATAGTAATTACCTGTTTTTACAAATAACTTCTGTTTTTTTCTTCAATTAGATAACTTCAATTTAGGCAACTGTGGTTCAAAATTAGGCAACTTAATTAACTCAAACTTTGGACTATTTTATAAAGAAACGTTTCTCAACTCAATTGTTTATATTATAAAAAAAATTAAAAAATGACGCTTTGATGACAGATGACAGCTGTCACTTCGATTCATCAAATATTTACCGCAACACATAGGTTGAGAAACGCTGTTGTGAAGGATCACTTTTGGCAAATAATAGCAACATTTTTTTTTATAAATATTCAATAATAATGTATCACAAATCACAGTAAGAAGTCCGTCTATGAGTCGGAGTACATGAATTTGACGAAAGGCTAATAATATTGTTGATGTTCACCAGAAAGTGAATTACATACTTTTCATCTAAATCTACATCACATTTCCTGTTATTACGTGCAGAGAGCTGTGATTTTGTTCGTGTTTCAAAGTATTCAAACACTTAAAAATTTAATGTTCCAATATATTATTTAAAACTGATTGAATATTTTATATTTAGGATAATCAAATTACGTGGGGAGATGCAGTGGAAACGGGCAGAAAACACTTCTACGAAAACCCGTTCAGCGTGTGCCTTTGGTACCCCGGAGGAAGCATAAAATCCAACTATATCCTCCACATGATCTGCGTATTGTTATTCCACATGATCCCTGCATATTTCGTCGATTTTATACTCATCTTAACACGCGGAAAACCATTGTAAGTTTATGCACATTTTAATTGAAAGTATTTACTGGTCTTCTGTTTTAGCTTGGTGCGAACTCAGAAGCGTATCCAGAGCGGTTTGGAGATTTTACAATATTACACGGTGAGACCTTGGTACTTCAAGAACGAAGGTCTGAAACGGTTGTCTGGTAAATTGAGCACCAAAGATCGAGCCGAGTTCTACGTGGATTTCTTCGAGATCGATTGGGACAAATACATTCTTAATTCGGTCCTCGGTGCTAGACTGTTCTGCGTCAAAGAGACCATCGATACTCTACCCAAGGCTAGAAAACTGCTGAAAAGGTATTTATTAATAAATCATTCTATTAATAATAAATCTATAATTTCATTTTAGATTGTATTACTTGGATATGACGAAGAATTTCGTGCTTCTCGCTCTAGTCGTATGGTTTCTAGCATCATGGTCGTCGTGGATAATCAAGTATACTGAACTTGTTAATATTTTTTGAAACTATTTTCAGTCATTGTTTGCAATTGTTAAATTATTTAATATTAACAGTCTACTTGATGAGCAAATTAAAAAAAAGTATATTTTGTTATAATTAACTTAATTATACTAATTTAAATAAAAGTTAAGACTTTGTAACATAAATGGATTAATAATCATTACATTTATAAAAAAAAGCATTAAATTTGACCTAATAGTTATAGTCATTCTTTTGTAATATTTTTGTAAAATTTTAGTTTATTTAGATTTTAATGTTTCTTTTTGATAGAAATAAAAGCGAATATATTTTTATGTTATCCAATATTTATTGTATAATCAAAAAATATAGTTTTTCTTGGCACAAAACAAATTCCTGAACAGCATTACCTCGCACAGTGCGGCTTCGATCAGTCCGAATTCACTATAGTCCGGTTTAAAAACAAACTAAATTTTAATTGTACAAAATTTTAAAATATTATTTAATTCCTTCAGTTAGAAATGAATTATTTTACTGCAAGATCAATAATTTTTAGACTGTACTAAATTAAGTAACAATTATAACTTTGTGAAGTACGCATATTTAACTACAATTTACTATAATTATCCCTAATTAAATCATTTGTAAAATTTGATTAAATTGGGAATACAAGTAGTTTCCTAAATGGGACCGTTGAAATATATATTTTATTTTTTGGAAAAATTCGGAAATAAACTTTCTCGTGAAATCAAAAATTAATTTCTGTTTCATTGCAATTAAGTTAGTATTAAAACTTAATTGCTTAAATTTGTTTATTTTTTCCACTTTGAAAATTCAAAATTTGCAACTTGAACACGACTTATATAGATTTTAACAAACTCATCCATCATATTAATATTGAATAAAAGTAAGTGAAATGTAATAAAAACTAAGATTTTTTTTATTTCATTATGTTCATATACGCAGACTTTTTAGTGAAATAAAGAAATATTCTATACTGTGAATCAAAGAAATCTGAAACGTTATTTAACTGGTCAAATTTTGAGAACATCTGCTTTGAAGTACGGAAATTGCATCATTTCTTTGGTAACGAATTTCGTAACGAATCAACCCTTGCTAAAAAACGAAATTTACATAACTAGTCAGTGAATAGATGTGAAAAAAGAATACAAATAAGCCGGTATTCCACGGCGTATACAGCTGGACCTTTTTTGTTCTTTTTCTTCATTCTTCTTGCATTTGACAAGCAGCAATTACGTCCAAGTGGTTTAAAAAGAGGGACAAATAGTATCGAGTTTCAACCCGTTTTTTTTTTCTACCTTTGACGATACGTTTCTTTTCTGGTATGTAATTAAATTGAAGAGGAAAATTAAGTTCATTAGTGCGCTGAGAAATGGAGCAAGCGAGCGCCACATTTTTTTTTGTACTTTGTACGTCAACGGTTGCAATTCCCGGGGCTTCCGCGAATTCCGTTTTTGTTCTTTTGCGCGTTGGCGTTCGGATGTATCCCGGGCGACCTATGACCTAGTTTCAAAAAAAGTCATCTTTGAGCTGGAGGATGTGGATTTTCCGAAGGGCCAACAATTTTGTTGATGTTCTTAGCTTGTCCCGCGTGCCGTTTCCATTTTCCCGAAACGAATTGAAGATGGGAGAGTCGACATTGCACAATGTGGCGTAATAATTTCCCCGTTGCGCAATCCGGAAAATCAATCGATAGTGGTACAGGAGAGAACCCAGCATCCAGAAAAGGATGGCCCCCGTTGCTGGCGGATCACGCAGACACGCTCCATCCTTGTCGGCCAGGTGCACTCGAACGGGTTTCACCGCTTCGGACGTAGCCTAGGTTCTCTCAGTCGTCGCCGCCCTGGATAGCAGCAACTCCGCATCCGGGGGTTGCTCGGATGCTGCGTTGAGTGGTAGGGATGCTGCGGAGGATCAATAACGGGCAGGATCTGCGAAATCCTGTTCAGTCCAATGCTGAATCTGCCAGACGGTGGACGTGCTTTGAGTGTGGTCAGCAGCCACTGAGCCTAAGATGAGAACAGGAGGGCACCATCCGGATGCTACCGTAGCATCCCCCTCGTCCAATCGCCGCATTTTTTATTTCAATTAAAAACGCATCCGACACCGCCGCCGCCAACAACCACCGCCACCCCATTTTTTCACCATGATCCCTTTACGCTTTGCTGCGGGGTACATCAAAGGGATCATCTACATTTATTTATGGTACTCCAGCATTTTATTTGGTAAGTTACCCATCAAATAAGAACAATATGAAAGATTAAATATGAATAAGTTCATCTCATTTCATTTAATTCTTCTACCCTGTATACGATCAATAAAAAATATACATATGTAATCGATGAAAAATCAATTTTCATTAATTATTTTCAATCAATTTGAATTTCTTAAACAATATATGTCAATATAATATGTCACTCTTTGAAGTTTCTCTTAAATGTCAACAACATACATAATTTATCATATCAATAAAGAAATTCTACGATTTACCATAGGTAATTTGATTATTTTTTATAATCCCTCCGTTGTCGGAGGGATCCACCCAATATACAGGGTGATTTATATGATATTCTTACAGCACATGCGCAATAACTTAAATGGTTTATATGCAACTTAATATGCACATATTGATTTACATAATATTTATATACCTAATACTAGCATTACGCAAATATTTTATTTAGTTACGCAATACTTGACAAATATTGCGTAGCAAGAAATCGAATTTACTTTATAATATACACCTATCCCCCGTTTTACACATTTTCACTTTTACACTGTATAAATAAAAAATTTAAAAGAATATTTTTTGCATACTTTTCGATTTACACGGTTTTACATTCAAAAAGATTCTATTTCGGTTTACACGTTTTTCTCGGGAACCTATCTACCGTGTAAATCGGGGGATAGATGAACTTGTACTAACAGTTTACAAGTATTTTATGACAACTTACGCGATACTTGCCAAGTAATGCGTTGCAAGTAATCGAATTATAATTTATTTTCTTAATATAAACAAACATTTGCGCTAATACAAAGCAAGGATTTCAATACAAGTTTTGTTACTTGTCAAGTATTGCGTAGAAATTAATCAATTTTTATAATATTTGTTCATATTGAGATTCATAATATACACTTGAACTAATAAAATATTTAATAGTTCATTTATAATTTACCCTTACTTGGCAAGTATTCGAATTGATTTTCATAATATATGTCCAATACTTTGCAATTATTACTTGACAATTTACGCGATACTTGACAAGTCATGCGTGGCAAGTAATAATAAAAAGTAAACAATAATAATTACTTATGTTATATAAACATTTTGTTGCATACTTTTTCATTATTTTATTTTGCAATTAATAATTGAAAATAATTTTAGTATACAGGGTAGGATCAATCAACTTTTCTATAGTATATAAATGAACTGTTTAACGCATATAAGATTGAGATGATTTTTTTTGTCGGTGATTGTTATTTTTCTTTTATTTATTTTGTAGGCTACGCTGGTTTATTTTGCCCTATTTTGCCTTTAATTTTTCTTTCAAATCGGCTCTACAGGAACGCCACAGATTTTTTGTTTACCTTTTGGCAAATGTACCCGACCGTAAGTATCCACATTTCTACAATTACACACTCTGCTCTGTAATGTTAACGAATTCCAACAAAAAATGAACGCAACGTTTGTTCTAGGCTCTATTAGATCTATTGTTTAATTGCAAAGTGCAAGTAACTGGAGACGAGATCAATGCAGACGAATCATCGCTTCTTGTGATGAATCACAGGACACGCACCGATTGGAACTTCCTATGGCCGGCCGTGTATCAAGCCACGACCGGCAAAGGACGATTCAATCATCCTACAAAGTTTGTGCTCAAAGACGAAATCAGACATATACCCGGGGTGGGTAAGTGCGAGATCATAAAAGATACGATTTTAATATTCTAATATATGTTTTTTGTTATTGTGTAATATTAGGTTGGATCATGCAACTATCCTGTTTCCTCTATATCAAAAGAAACTGGGCGTTGGACAAGATCAAGCTAAGTTGTATGATTGATTACTTTTGTGATTCTAAGCATAAATTTAGTTTATTAATTTTCCCTGAAGGAACTGACCTTACTGCAGACACCAAAAGAAATAGCGATAAGTACGCAGACAAGCATGGACTCCAGGTATAGAACAAAAAAAAGAAACGATTGCACTTAAAATATCAATAAAATTTTATAGTATTAATATAAGATTTGAAAAGGAAAGTATAAATGTAATTCGGAGATGTTTTTTTCTTTATAGAAATACGATTATGTGTTGCATCCAAGAACAACAGGGTTCTCGTTTTTGGCGGAACGATTGATAAGGAAGCGAGCCCTGGATGCACTGTACGATATCACCATCATCTACTGTGATAATGTGCCGCAGAACGAGACGCTCATCTTGCGTGGACAATTCCCTAAAGAGATCAAGATTCACTTCACCAGGTGAGTTGACGCGCTCTTTCTTTCTTCGTTTGCTTACGATTTGATTTAACAAGATATCCGGTGGCAAGTTTACCGGATGGCGAAGAGGAGCTCAAGCTGTTTCTGGAGAAGAGATGGCTGGAGAAGGAGCGCAACATCAGGGAGTTCTACGCTACGCACCAATTTTTGCACGGTAAACGCGTCCGGCGCGACCAGAGACTCGAATTGTACGTGGCTCTGGTCTTCTGGACTGCTCTGCCCTATCTGGTCGTGTATCTTCTGTACGCCACATCCGTTCTGCGACATATTGTCTTCTATCATACCGTATTTCTGTTACTCGTCAACGCGTTCTTCGGTGGCTTTCAGAATTTCGAAATCGCCATCTTCAACAGTAAACGAAAGATGAGCAGATTCATTTCGAGCAGAATCTGACGTTGATAATCAGTAAATGTAACGAGGAAAAGGCGGTGTCTGCAAACAAAACAAAAAAATTAATCCTTGGCTTCCAAAAATTTTAAAATATTCATGTACTATTAACTAAGCTTCGGGCTGGCGTCGAGCTCTGATTTCGTTCTGAACTTGATTGTTAATTGGCGTGCGGTAGTATGTGTACTTTACCGTTTTTATTTCTCGAATTCGAAACTGCACTACATACACTTAATACTTATTATGATCTACTAAACTAAACTATTTGTGTTTCACTGTTCCGGAGAAGTCGAGGACGTCGCCGATGGTTGGAGTAATCAATTTTCGAGCAAAACAATCGTCTAAGGCGACTGGTTTTTTTTGCTTACTCGAGCTCATCTCTCGTCCTCGGTCTCTCTGGAATGAAGTGCGTAGCGAACATATTAACCACATAGACTAGAGATATTGAAATGCATGATTGTACCAAAGTAATCGTACCTAATACTACTCTATGAACATATTAATAACGATGTATTTTTCCAAAAAGTAAACTAAAGTCTAAAAAATGGTAATGATTTTACAAGAGAGCGGGAGGGAAAATCCGCGAAATGCACGGAAGCGAAGAGGGCGAATTGATAAGCGGGCACAAGCGAAGAGCAAATCAAACACGATCCACTCAAGCGCGACCTCGACACGCACTTAATCACCAACTAAGCAGTGCATTCATTATATAATATAATCGACACTCTTTTTGTTTCATACAGATTAAACTCGAGGCGAGCATACAAACAGACGAATGTATAAAAGAGAACGGGAGGAATATTGTATAAGTGCGAAAAACTCCAAAAAAAAAAAATAAATAAAAAATGTCAAAATAAAAGCGAAAACAAGCAAAGAAAAAAATATAAATTTGACGGATGAAAGAAAAAGACAAAAAAAATTAGATTAGTTTGTTTTGTTTTTCTTTTCCGGTTGACAACGGATGCAACTGACGACTCGCATCTTGGAAAAACCAAAAGGGAAAACGCACGCAATTGAATGAATATGATAATTTTCCATTTTCGTTTGGATTTCGCGCGTCGCGATTCGATGCGAGTTGTCGTTTTCGACAGTCAACGTAGTTTTTAAGACGCAGGACTCGACGGGAGTCCTAACTAACTAACTAAAAAAAAGAAGAAAAAAAGACAGTGGAAACTTACAAAGTTAGTCAAAGCTTCGTGATGAAAATTACGGAGCACGAAAAAATGAAAAAGGTAGATGAAATCTACGAGAGGTGAAAAATAAATTGGAGGGAAAAAATTGTGAGAAACATGGGATAATCGATAAATTGAAAAAAAAAAAATATAAAAATATCGATAGGAGTAAGCTTTGGTGAAATTGAAACGAAACGAATCCGAGTTTGAGGTGAAGACGATTTGGTTGAACATCGGTGAGGCGAATATAAAGACTAAGAATGAGATAGAGAGAAAGAGGTAAATGCACTAGTTTAGTATACACGATCTGTATTCGTGCGAGGAATCGCAGGATTTTTCAGACTTCATTAAATGCGAAAGAATGGATTTTTTCTTCGGGAGAAAATCGAGCGGTCTTGACCTGTTTTCCTTAAAGGAAAACAGATTTGTTATCAAGAGTTGCAAACCTTAAAGATCAACTGAAACAAACTTCACGAGAATCTGTGAAAAAAGTTACAATCCTATAAAAAAAACCACACAAAGAAATGTTTTGGGGGATAAAAATAATTGCGAAGTAAACAATAACCGATTGAAATAGTCGAAAATATCTTCAATCTAAAGGAATAATAAAAAAAAATGACTGTTTTCTTGAATCAACTTCAAATTCATCTTGTCTTGGATTAAACAGTTAAGATCGACTAAAAACGATCGTTGCGATTTATCTGGCGTCGCGAATAAAGTACAATATTTGGAAGAAATGTTCAAAATATTCAGAAAGATTAATATAAACTGTAAAATAAGATCATTATAATTATAAATAAGAAGTAAATAAACACGAGATTCAAATCAACGTATCAAAAGCTGATTTAACAATTTTTTTTGTGCGATTGAACGAAAGCGCGCAACATCTTTGAATTAATAACATGAGCAAATTTAAATAAAGTCAATCATCAACTTTTGCAGTTATCAAAAGAATTAAAGTGATGGATAAGAAATTAATAAAAATTAAGACGAAAATAATCGAATAATAACTAAATCGAAGAAAAAATTGTTCAATCAGAAATTGTTTGATGCAACAAAACTCATGCGAGGATCAAGAAAACTACTGAACAAAATATTGACTGTTTTCTTGTATTCATATCAATATGTGATCACGAAGTTACGTTTATCTGAAAATATCTTCACGAGTTTCTTGCATTACAACGCGCTTTCGGGCGTTTCATTTTATTGAAAGGAACCGGAGTCAAGATTTTTTTTAAATTTGAAACACTGGTGATTAACAATCATACGTTAAAAATAACAAATCTGATGGTTGATTTAACAATTCTGTGCGATCGAATCAGAAAAATATATAAAGCAAGTTAAAAATAATAATATCGACCATTTTCAATTTAAGTACACCAAAAAAAGAAGTGGGTGTTCTTCTATAATAACGGATTCAAATTTGACGATAATTAAATTAAATCAACATTTCTTCACGATGAAAAGAACTGGAAAGCAAAAAAAAAGTAACAATATGCACTGTACATTTCAATCCAATTCGATCTGTTGTCAAGGATGAACCGTTGAGTACACTAATTTGATGTTAAACATCAAGTTTATATGTTTCTGTAAGAAACCGAATCAATGTTTCAGCTTAAAAATTGCTGAAAAAAAGATACAAATCTTTAATAAATTAAGCAAAAAAAAATATTCAATCAATCAAATTGATATAAAACAAAAAGAAAAGTTGGCAGTGGAATAAAAACTAATTCTAAAAAGGAAAAAAAAAATTTGGAAAATCTTGACTTGAATCGATTCCAATTAGTTTTCAAGGATCAATCGTTAATTTCAGCTGAAAGGATCTTCACGAGTTTTTCTTGAAGCACAATTGCGCAACGCTGACGTTTTTTATTTTGAATTAAAAACAGAAGCGTTCTTTATTGGATTTAAGTCAAGATTTTTGCATTTCCATTGGCCAAAGGAAAATAATTAAATAAATGAGAGAGAATAAGTAAAAGTCGTCAACCAACAATTTTTTACGACTTAATCTAAAGAACCAGTAACCAAAAAACAAAACTACAATTTAAGTATCTATTAATTAAGTTCAACTGAAACCATCTTCACGGGTTGCTGGTATCGAAAATGGTGTAATCTTCGAGTTGCTGGAAAGAGCAAGATAAAATTTCTTCATATGAAATGGTCAAAAAAAAAGTACAAAGTATAAGAAAATTGCAAGATATTGGTGTTAAAAATACCGGTTTTTTCGAATTCGATCGAAAAATTGTTGAATCGAACTATGGTTGAAACGCAACGCGAAGAGTTATTAGAAATTCTCGAGTAAAATAATAAAAATCATATGTCTAACTGCACAATTCATGTTTTGAAAATATTCGTCATGGGAATATTTTGGTTCATCTGAGAGAGATGAGATGTGGACGGAGGCGATGCGCAATAAGAAAACAAAAAAAAACAAAACAAAATCATCGTTTGCAAAGTCTTATTAAGAAGGCGATGCGCAATAAGAAAACAATAATAAAAACAAAATCATTGTTCGTAAACTCTTAATACTAAGCATTAAAGAAACGGGAATAAAACCGCCGTAATAAGCAAAAAAATAATGAATAGTTAATAAGTAAAATTCAAAGAAAAAGCTGTGAATTATATTGCGCGAAGGAAATGGAAGTTGATTGAAAAAAAGTAAGATTAAAAGCAAAATAAATAATTAATTATTTAAGACGATTAAATCATTGAAGCCGTGAAAATTGAATATGATCTGGTTAAGATAATACAAATTATTTAAAAAAAAATAAATAATGGAAGGTATGTGAAGGGTTGCGTTTGGGAACGTTAAGTGGAAAGAAATCTGGTTGCCTCTGGTTCGGCTTCATTTGTTTGTAACCAATCTGAGGCGACCAATTGAAAATAAAAGAATAACAATTTGTGTTTCCAAAAGAAAGATAATGGAAATTGTTTGTCCGAGGTTTAGAAAAACGCAACTGGTGGAAAGGTTACGAGGAAGAATTCACTTCTGCACATAAACAAATACATACGAAAAAAACAACAACAACAAACTAAAGTACAAACTAAAGTAAAAACGATCTGTAAATTGATATTTTGCGTCTTGGTTGCGATTGTTTTGATTTGTACGCGGTTGCTCTTCGCGTCGCCCACGAGGAATGTTAGATTTTGTCGGGTGGTTTGAAAGCGGACGCTCTTGCAGCGAGTGATTTTTGCTGCTTCTAAGTGTCTATTTATCTCATATTTAATGGATATATTGGAATGAAGGATTACAACCGAATAGGCACTCGGCTCGGACGTCGCTGAGACCTTGAAAATAACAAAGAAAGCTAAAAAATATTCTTCAAAACCATCGAAGATAACAGGAATGCATCTCTGTCACAACAATAATAACAACAACAACAATATTTTTCAGTGGATTTGGGGTTTCAGCAACGGCCGAGCTTTCATGTATACTTATTTGTATTCATATTAATATATATATAATAATAACCACCACCACGGTTAGATAATACAAGTTTCTCTATCCTATAATTGTGTAATCGAATATAAGATATGTGTTTTCCAATAAATTTTATCTTTCTGTGTCTAGGCCGTTCGCGCTATATACAAACTATGTGTTTAGGGTGTTTTACATAATTATATAATTGTGTGTATCGATATATATATAAATGTGTGTAGAAGAGTACGTTTTGGCGCATCATTTAATGCCAATTTTTCGGATTATTGTTCTTAGGAGAATTGTCTATTAAATAATATGTGTTAACAATATATATATATATCTCTTACATTAATTAACAAGTTTTGTCAACATTGGAAATGAATATTGTAATAACGTTAAGCACATTTACTTATTAAGGTTAATTGATTTAAATATAATTATTGAACCTGCAGCAATAGCTGGGTTTAGTTAGCTTAGGCACAAATCGAGACAGAAGAGCGTCCGTTTTACATTGGAAAAATCACAGGCGGCGCAGCTGGAAAAGCCTCCTCGCTTTGTCCGGTCATTTCCGAGATTCCCTCTCGCATTATAGTCGACGTATTTACAACAAAAAAAAAATGAAAGAATGAATTGTATTTTTCGATGTTGCGTGTTATATTATACTACTACGAATAACTTAGTTGTAATTTGAAGTATTCTTATTAGGACTTAAACTATGTGAATTCATTGTGCCAAACAAACAAAAAAAAAGATGATGTGTCGGAACAAACGAAAGTAAACCAAAAGCAACAACAACAACAAACAGACACACACACACTTCCGCGAGAATCCAACCGAAACTCAGCTAGGAATTAGGGTAAAAGTGCTTTTCGATTGATCGATTCAAAATCGGCGCTCGAAGAGTTACCGCTAAGTAAAAAAAAAAGTAAATGAATAAGAAAGAGAACAAAAATAAGTAAATAAATCGATTGTCTAAGAAGAAGAGAGAAGAAAAAAAAAAGTGTAATAAGTATAAAAATTGTATATGATAAGCGGATTGAATAGAAAAAGAAGGGCTCAAATGTAAATAAAATAACTATAAACGAAGAAAACATTCACGAATACTGATAAAGGTGATAAAGGTATAAAAAAAATAAGTTAAAATGATTGATCTCAAAAAACAAAGAGTAAAGGTAAATTTAAAGAACAAACAAAAAAAAAAGATATTTTTCCAAAAATTCGTACTATTAAGAAAGGGAAATTGAACGAAATGTAACTTCCAGCTGAGTATATTAATAATATTCAAAATATATTTGAATCGAGCGGAGCTAATAACAACAACAACAACAACATCAGCAACAACTACAGCAGCAGCGACGTTTAGATCTTTAAACATTTGTTTTCTTTGTTATTCTCGGTGTCTATTGGATTCATTCAAATACACACACACATACACAGCAGCTACGCAACTTTTCTTCTTCGTATATTGATGGTTCTGAATGTATTAGCATTTCGAACATATTTAAGAATCTCTATGGTAAATGTGTATTAAAAAAAAAATCATTTAAAAAAAAAACAACTATGTATTGCAATTCTTGGTGTCCTAATGAATATATATCGAAACGAAAAAAAAAAAAAACTACTGTAAAAGAAAATAATAATAATTTTGGATTGGAATGTTTAAATGATGTCGGACGACGTGTTTCTTCCTGTATTCCGAGGAGTTCTGCGGAGTTTCGCTTTGGGACGTGCGGACTGTTGGTTGAAATGCTGTATCACTGGACATAACATCGTAATTAAAGCCTTGCCAATTGTTCTCTCGACATCTTGAACGTTCGCGCGTCTCTGCGTGATTTTGCAGGATTCTGCACGATGGGGGAGATTATCGTCGTGTATTATGTATGTAATACTGGAATGAAGTTTACAATTAAATGCTGGTAATCTGAAAACTTTGTTTTTTTTTTCCAAAAACCTAATTGAAATTTTCCTTCTCAAAATATCCTCATTATTTAATTGAAGTGTACCGTGGTTTAGAACAAAAACAATCTCGTAAAGTCTTAATCTGATTGAAACTGAATGGGATTGTAAATGATCATGTACGTATCATCGAACGTATATTAAATTGACAAGTAAGCCTAAAATGTAAATATTACAATATTAATGAATTGATTTAATTATGATTTAAACTATTTAAAACTGAGTGGACTCAAATTGTACGTATCATCGAAGGTATTGTAACGTGGTCAAGTTGACACACTGAAAGCAACGCTCCATGGTGTAATGATGTTTCCAGAATTTCGAGGAGACCTGATCGAACAGTGAAGAGAGACGGTTTAGGTCTCCAGTAAAGGAGATATATACATATATTTGGTGCGTGTCCAGAACTGTGAAGTCAACAGTTAAGGAGCTCGATAGAGAAGAAGTGTGCTGATCTGAAGAAGTAGATGTTGGAGTTCTTCCAACCATTAAGTTTGGGTACTATTGAGAACAATGAGCTATAAGACCAATATGCAAAATAGACAAATCCCACGAAAGGCAGTAACCGTTTGCAACGTTTCTTCGTATTTTCAACTGACAACCAAACTGCAGAATAGACAGATCCCACGGAGAACAGTAACCTGAAGCGAAGCGTCTTCTCAAAACAGTGCCTTACTCCTCAAAATCTTACCCCGTCCGTATTAATAAGAATTAACTTTGTAAGTACAATAAGTATTTAGAAGTAGTCTCAGTAAAACCTTTAAAGATGAACATTGTTTTATAAGAATAACAAATAAAGTTATGTAAAACCAAACGAATTTCATTAAATTCCCAACAACTGAGACTTCACAACGACAAGAGAAGAAGATATCCCACAGTGTTCAAAAAACCATCCCTGGGACACGAAACTGAAGAAGCAGAAGTTTAAGTTCTTCCTCTCTAGAAAAGGAAGTGGCGCCCAGAATTTTCCCACGTCGGAACTCACGCCCAGTCGGCAGAGAAGATTAATTATAATTTATAATTTAAGCATACTTTTTTCAAGAAATTCGTTTTTTGTTATTATGAAAACGTTTTATGAAAAATATAATAGAATTTATGAAATTGTAAATGAATGTGAGTTCTGAGTACGTTAAGTGAACACTGAGTGTATTAGTAACATTAAGCTTTTATTTCTAGAAATTCTTAAATACTTTCATAATAATGATTTTCCTAAATAAAAAGGAATTTATAATTTGGTGTCAAAAACAAAGTGTACGTAGCATCGAACGTAAATTAAACAAGTATAGATAAATGCATACACAGTATATTAGTAACATTATTGTTATTTTCCAAGAAATTCTTTATATTTTCCAATACGAGTGTAAAAAGAAATGTAAGTATAATCAAACGTATATCAAGTTTTCTATTATTATGAGAACATTCTTTCAATATTTTGAATCAAAAACTTAATTTGTAAATGTTTGTAAAAGCAATATGAGTTTTGAAATACGTGAATTATTTCATTATAGAAATCGTTCTTTAAATTTTTTGAAATATCAAACTAGTGTAAAAATACAATGTACTACTTATTATCGACCTAGTATTGAACTGATAAATGGATACTTTGTATTAGTAACTTCAGGATCTTTTCAAGAAATTCTTTATTTATTTCAGTATTAGTATAAAAACAAAGAGTACGTGTTATTTAACGTAAACTGTACTAGTACAAGGTGGCGTAAAAGTAAAGTTACTCGAGCTGTGTTAGCGGTTGCTCTATCCTGTTGAAACCAACAATGATCGAGACCCAATGCAGCAACTTGGATCTTCTTGCATTACATGTGGATTCTCTGTACCCCAGAAATGCAAATTTTGTTTGTTAACATAACCACTTAAGTGGAAGTGGGCTTCTTTGCTCATTCACGTTGCGTTAAAACAACAGTCTGAAAATTTGTCTAATAAGCAGTAACAATAAATCCAAGTTCTTGAGGTGTGTAACGCTCCATGGCTTGTTGACAACTAATTCGCTATATATCTACATCATAATGTCGTGTCCCAGGGATGGAATTCTGGACACAGTGGAATATTATAAATGTCAAAGCACAGTGACATTTGGAACCATCTGCACAAATAGCAGCCAATTCAAATTATGATATTACTTTTGCACCACCTTGTATAAATAAATGAATACAGAATATATTGGTATTTACTTCATTGAGAGTGTAAAAAAAAAGTGTACGTATCATTAAAGTAGTATACGTTAAGTGAACGTTGAGTGTATTAGAAATGTAAAGTTCAAATCAAAAAAATCGTTAATTGTTTAGGAAATTGTTATGAAAACATAAGGAGGAAACAAACGACTTATATCACAAACAACCATAGAAAATATTTATTTATAAAATTAAAAAGAAATTAATAAACAAACAAAAAAACATTAGAAAAAAAAACATACTTCTACGATCTAACAATAAAGAAAAGGAAACAACTGAGTACGAGTTAAACTACGAATTCAACAATGGTCCAACGAGCTTCGTATACAGAAGGTAGATGATACCCATGAAGAACAACGTCTTGACCACTTTGTCCACAATGTACATACTGAAAGGTAATTAAATGTCGATGAGAATACGTTAATTTTATTAGGAAGAAAGTGTACTTACACCATCATGTGTCGCTTGGCGGCCGGAATCGACTCATCGCTCTCCTTCAGAATGTAAAGTCTTGCCGCTCTTACGCAATCCGCGAAGTAATCGTGGTAGTTGATGCCATCACCGTGCAAGACGTAAATCTGATTCTCTCTAGGATTCAGCTTCTCCCTGGCGGCTAGTGAACAATCATTATTGAAATCCCACTGGTTGTTCGCGTAGTACTCGAACATCTCGAAGCCCTTCAGAATCCTCTTGTGGATTTTCCATAGACTAAAATGAAAGTGCTTATCAGAAAAGCGACTTGCATGAAATTGATGCAATACTACTTACACAGGTTTGTAACCCAAACACACGAGGATCAAATCCAAGAATAAGGCTGGTATTAAGTGGAAGAAGAGTACGCAGATGTTGTGAATTATGCGGCTCTTTTTCATGGATCCACCCGGATACCAAACGACGCCGTTCAATGGAACTCTTGTGTTTATTACGTCTCTGCCTATATCTATGATCTCTTCCCATGTGATTTTGTATTCAGCAGAACTGGTTAGATTATACACGTTTCTTTCCCTGCAAAGCGAAATTGTTAATACAATAATTACTTTCGATTAGAATGGTTTTCAATTAGAACTTACTTGTATAAAACGTAGTCGTTGGATGCGCAGAGCACGGCGTTTACGGCGATGTCCACCGGTAGATAATCCGCGTAGCTGCTTCCATTGCAGTACATCGTCCTTATGACTCCTTTTCCAGCTCCAATTAGTAAACCTGTCGGTCCATTTATATTGTCCGTCCATCCTGGTAATGGATCTTTCCATATAGGAATTACTATAACAAATTAGAACACCATTCATAAATATTCTAACAAATCCGTCATAATGACAGTTGACGTTTATTCTACGAATTTAATACGTTACTAAGGATATAAACATATTTTCTTCAGTTCAACTTTTGATTTTGTTTTGTTTTACTATATGTCAACTGTCATAACAGTGATATATTTTGTTTAATTGTTTCTTCAAATATTACATAATACATGTAAATCATGATATAAATAATTAATATTGTATCAAATCTGTGAACTGTCATTAAATTTTACAAAAACTAGAATATTTTCAGGATATTTCATTCGTTGCAAAGAATATATTATATATTCAATTGTTTATTTCTTCAAATATTAGATAATCAATAGTACTTGTAAATCTGCCAACTGACATTCAAACTTATCAAATTTTACAAAAACTAGAATATTTTCAGAGCATTTCATACGTTGAAAAGAATATAAATATTATTTCTGAATGGGAATGAATAAGATACAATCAACTTGATATTTTCATAGATGACAGTTGAAAGATTTGTTAAAATATTAAATCTGTCAACTGTCATAATAATGTCATATTATTTCTCAGTTGTCATACTAACTTATTTTTCAAAAAATATATTATATATATATATATATATATATATATCGTATAATACATTGAATAGATATAAAATATAATACAAATATAGTTGCAAGATGATGTAAATGTATGTTCTTAACGAATACAAAACTGAATAACTTACCAACAGAAGGCCGCAGTAAAATCAGAGGGAGTTTATCTAATTGTTCATTGACTAGACCTTCGCCTAAAGCTTTGGTAAACGCATAAGTATTCGGTATATCACCCAATATTCTGAAAAGAAATCAATTAACAAATTGTATCTTCGATTTGCGTGCAGATATAATCCATACTTGTGTGTAATAGATTCAACCACATCTTCGTCCATCCATTCAACAGTCTTGATAACATTATGAGGACACGCTGGAGGCGGATACGGCTTCTCGAACAGCACCCTCTCGTGCAGATGGCAGTACGCGGTGGAGACGTGCGCGTGCAGCTGCAAATTCTTAATCTCCGCCGACAGCTCGAGCATCAGTTTCGTCCCTCTGGTATTCAACAGTACGGCCTTCTTCAGCGGATCATCGAATCGCACCGTCGCAGCGCAATGGTAAACGATGTTCACCTCGTTGATGATGGTCTGTCTGTCTTCATCGGAAAGCCCGAGCCCTAAAGCTCCGACGTCTCCAGCCAAAGCCACAACCTTCTTCAGAACTCCCTCCCCTTTCAGTTTCTTCAGCGTATCGTACAACTAAAGATACAAACAAAGAATAAAACAATTAAAAAAAAAATATAAGATTTCATCATCAGGTCTGTTTACTGTTTCGACGAGATGAGGCGAGCGAAGAGAAAGTTAATAAATAAAAACGAAATTTCTTCATAGATTCGACAAAGAAATCGAGATCGAAACACACATTTCAATTGAGTAAAAAAAGCGTTTACCGTGTCATCACAAACAATGGTAATTGTGTATTACGGACAATGCGAATATGTTCCTAGTATTTAGACCACAAAAATAGCGTTTTCCATTTTCTTTTCTATCATCTAAATTTCGTTTTAAATGAGAAGAAATTGAGGAGCCGAGCAGAGCGGTGAACATGCGACCAAAAAAAGAAAATAGAAATCTGGCCGTGCGGAGAGAAAGAGATATTTAGGCCAATAGAATTTAGTAAATAATAATTTACGAAATTCGACCTCGAGTATGTAAGAAAGTTATTCTTTTGGCCTTCCAAAATTTCTGCAACGAAAGATGCGAAGAAATTCTTTCATTTCCAGCCGAAAGTTTTCGACATTTTTCCATCTCCTCGCCAGGCGCGTTTCATACTAATTTGAACTGCTATATGAGCACCGACTTTCACTTAGTAACGGTATATTGAATTAGAGAGATTCTTTTTTTTCATATACATTTCGCCTTTTTTTATTAGATATGCTCAGCAGATTCTCAGCTACGAAATAATATTAACTAACAACAAAAAAATGAAACAAGTTGAGTGTGTGTGTAACACATTTCCTGGTTTTAATTTCTTTTTGTTCTCATTCTCCTCAGACCATTAATAAAGAAATGGAATATTCTTTTCATATCCGTTTTTTTGCAATTAGATTATAGATTTAGGTTACTTACGGGATTGCTGAAGACGTCCTTCAGACGTTCGTTCGGATCCTTCCCTTTCTTCGTCCTTATCAGCAAGTAGATCCTGTGTACTTCGGTGCAACATCTCAGCAACTTCTCCACCAAGACTTTGCCCATAAAACCCGTTCCTCCAGTGATGAAAACCGTCTTTCCTTTGAACAACTCTGCGATCCTGTCAGGATACTCCTCGATCGGTTTATCCATATCTACCTTCGATTGGTATCTGCAAGAATGAAAATAAAAACTTATTATTGCCGCTAAAGAGTTTCGGAAATAAACAGATGTGACACATTTACCAGATTGCCTGTCATTAACAGGTAATAACAATTTCCTTGCAACAATAACACCTTGTTTTTGTTTCCGCTGCAAAACAATTTTATACAGTTTATATTTTATTATTGTTTTATAATTTTACAATTTCTTTGCTATAGTTTCTTTTAAAACCAGTAAATGCTAATGTTTCAATTAAGAATTTTACCCAAACAAATAGAGAAAGGATTGTTACAACTTATTTTCTTTTTATTTAATATATACAAAATTAAATCTGAATAAAGAAAACTTTAAACAAAAATCTTGATTATTACATAAAACTATAACAAAATCAAATGTATTTAATAGATTTAACTATATAGACAATTAATTATTTAATGCTCTAATTAAATAATTAATCTAAAGTTTTGAAAAATCACAAAACAAAACATAAATTTAAAGGTGTGAAAAATAAAAAAGTTTAATTAACGAATAAATATAAAATATATACTTAATGTTGTGAATAAATCACAAATTTGTTATTTTTCTATTCTAACTAATAACTTTGTTAAATAATTATCAAAATGTTCAGTTTCTTTAAATCGTAAAACTTAACAATTTGCAATAAATGTTTAATAATTATATATCTTTCTATAACATTTTTAAAACTTTATTAAATAATTCTATAAATGTTTAGTTAAAAAATGTTGATTGATTATAATAAATCACAAAATGCTTATATTTCTTCAAATTTTGTTTAAAGTACGAAAAAATAACTTCTTTTCTTTAATATTTAGTGTAGAAATTGTGAAATTTTGATTGAAGATAAATCATTTTTCAATAAACTGATTAAAATAGTTCATTTCACTTATTAATTAATCTCAATGTTCTCAAATACTTGAACAATCAAGGAAATAATTAAGTTTATGCAATAAATCGCATTTTGAAACGGAGAAACGGAGAAAATGTAGTCACGATAATTGATTGGTTTCAGATTCACCTCGCTCAGGGTAAATAGAATTACAATGCACTTTGTATTTCGCGGAAACGAACTTTCCATGCAAACAGTAATTCAAAAAAAAAAAAAGATTGCACCAAGGATTCGTAAAGTCCAGAAGCAAAAAAATAAGATCAATTAAACACAAAATTAACACACATTCACGATTAATTGTTGTCAATTAATATTTCCAGATTGATGAACAAATTGTAATGAATAAATAATAAATTACGCTCTCAGGCAAGACAAGACTACTCACGGTCCCATTGTGAATTCTTCGTAGGACTACCAGAAAGGAAGACCAACGTTCGCTCTCTGCACTCACACTTTACTAATGCTAAGAGCTCATGTTTTCGGCGCTTTCTGGCCGAAAAGGAAAAGTTTGTTTTTTTTTTAGGTAATATGATAATGGAATGGAACGAGAACGCTTTGCTGACTGCGGAATCCGTGGGCCCGCGATCGCTGGAATCCAATTTCCTGACCAACATCCCGTCCTCGTCAGCATTACATGATTAAACGTATTTGTCCAACAAGTGCAAACACAAATATTGTTGTTAATTTCGTATATATGTGAATACTTCAAGTTTATGTAAATAAATTTTATGAATTCGAGTATCTATAACTGCGTTTCTCAACCTTTCAGCAGTTTCCTGCTTTTGACACAATGTGACAGCTGTCATTTCGGGACCCATAATTTTACATTGTTTTTGCTATAGTTTCTTTTAAAACCAGTAAATGCTAATGTTTCAATTAAGAATATGTTAAATAAATCTTAACTTTTTTATAAACCCGGTTTTCAAATTTTACCCAAAAAATAGACACAATGACGCTTTTGACACAATGTGACAGCTGTCATTTCGGAACCCATTAAAAATTTATCTTGACTCAATTTTAGGTTATTATTAAATGATTCGTTTATTATGTAATTATAAAAAAAACATTATACTAGTAAAAAAAACTGAAATATCTCTTTTATTTTCTTAAACACAAACATTCTGGGTAAATCTTAATTAAAGATATTTTTACAAAAGAATTTCTAAAAGAAGACTATGATGAAAACATCTTTCTTTTGTTTAATTTTAGAAAATAATAATTTCTCTTTTGAGTAATAATAATTCTTCAAAGTTGAAAGAAATAAAAAAATATATATATAAATTAATCCGTAAATGGAAAGTACATTTTGTCAGAGAAATTATAAGTGGATTGGCTGAATGTAATGTAATTATTATTATTTTAATTCACTTCATTAAGATTTTCAAAGGGAAATAAAATGACATAAGAATTTTTTTTTTTAATAATTAAAATTATTTCATTAAAAAATTAGAAATTTAAAAAATTGGTACTTAAAATTTTTCGTCCAAAAAAATCTTTTTACAACGACATTAATGTAATAATTGTAGTTTTATCTATTTGGCTATAAATCGCGTTCAAAGTTGAAAAAAGATATGTTTTCACTTTTTATTGATTTTCTCGAAAACTGTAATAGATAGAATCAATCCAGAAGATGTATATAAAATCTGGATGTTTGGGAAATGTTGTGGGTATTCATACATTACTATGATTTCATCCATTAAAAGCAATGTTTTCACTTTTTATCGATTTTCTCGAAAACTGTAATAGATAGAATCGATCCAGAAAATGTATATACAAGCTGGATGTTTGGGAAATGTTGTCGGTATTCATATGATTTCATCTATTTATCTGTAAATCGTATTCAAAGTTGAAAAATGAAAAGTTTTCGCTCGAAAATCCATAGTTATCACATTTCATTGATTTGCTTGGAAACTATAATAGATAGATAGATCTAGAAGATAAATATAAAAGCTGTAAATTTGAGAAATGTTGTAAGTATTCATACATTACTGTGGTTTCATGTATTTAACTGTAAATCGTGTTCAAAGTTGAAAAAAGAAAAATTATCGCTCGAAAATCCAGTGTTTTCACATTTCATTGATTTTCTTGAAAACTGTAATAGATAAAATCGATCCAGAAGATCTATATGAAAGCTGTATGTTTGGGAAATGTTGTAGGTATTCATACATTACTGTGGTTTCATCTATTTAACTATAAATCGTGTTCAAAGTTGAAAAATTATCGCTCTAAAAGATTTTCTCGAAAACTGTAATAGATGGAATCGATCCAAAAGATGTATATAAACTATGGTTTCGTCATTTACAGCCAGTAAATCGCGTTCAAAGTTGAAAAAAATGAAAAATTTAAGAATTTTCACATTTTATTGATTTTCTTGGAAACTACTCGTAAGCCCTTATATTGTATACAAAATTTGAAGAAAAGAACAATATATAGAGCAAACAGAAGTATACAAAACATTTGTAAAACGTAATTTAATGACAATCATTACTAATTGTTTTTATCAAGACTCACTACGATGCAAATCGACATTAAAATGTCGTCATTTCAAACTTCAATTAATTATAAAAATATTAATTATTAACAAACATTGAAATCATGTTGATTAAGTAAATGCACTTTACAACAGTAATTATTTCCATAAATGTATTTTCTCGAATATATTCGTTTTTCATTTTCATTTTTCGTTAAATATTTTTGAAATTTAAATTTACAATATGTTATTGTAACTCGTAATAGTTGAAATAAGGTCTTTGACCGATCGTGCATTGAATAAATATATAATGGCAATTGTTTTCCTTTCATTATTGTACTTTGTTTTGTTTCTCTGTGCTCTAGATGCGTTGCATCGTTAATGTACGCAAAATAGATGCAAATAGGTACAACTTGCAAACCTATATTTAAAACTGGAAACAAACCGGCGAGGTTTATTTTATTTCAATAATTATATATTACTACAAACTATTACATAGTCTTTTGAACACGATAATTTAAAAAAAATACATTTTTATTCCAATTATATATATTTTTTTGTTTTTGTACATGTAATTATAATTTATGATCTATTTGAAGTTAATTGATTACACTTTATAATAAAATCTAGTATGAAAACAAATCATCTTTAATTACAGAAAACGTTGAACAATTTTCATTCTTTGATTAATGTTCTGTTGCAATTTGCAGTAACGATATAAAAAAATGTTTGCCAATTAACAATGTCGCTATAAATTGAAATTATAATAGAATTTCATGTTACACTGTTCACTTTTATTACAACTTTTCGTCTCTCGCAATTTGAATTAGTGTGTATTTTGTTGAAACTTATATAACACGTTTTTACATTTTTTATAATTAGGTTTTCTTGGTAGAAAACAGACAATTTTCAGCAATCATTTTTTGTTGTTGTAGAAAATTAACTCGAAAAATTCTAAGTTTCTAGAGAATCTTAAATCGCGTTATATCGAAACCGCGTTGTCTAAATACAGTGTTACACAAGTGTTAACTGTATATAACATATTTTCAATTCAAACGACAAGTTGCATCAATAAAAATCACATCTGAGTTGAACTGATGACAACTGTCACAATAATTTGACAGAACGTTATGTGTTTTATTTTTTAACTATGCAATACAATTATAAAACCAACAACTCGTTATGTCATATTTGACAAGTAGTTGTCAATTATCTTGTAACTATGTAAGATAAGTGCACTCGTATTCAATCATTCAATTGTAGAAAATTCACTCGAAAAAATCAAAATTTCCAGAGATTCTTTTAAACGCGTTATATCAAAACCGCGTTGTCTAAGTACCGTGTTAGACGAGTGTTAACTGCATATAACATATTTTCAAACGACAAATAGTCTCATCCATTTTTTTTTACCATTATTTCAACGATAATTGAAACAAGAAGCTAAATTTACCTAATATCTTACATAGTGCGGATAATCGGTTCCGCCGGACTGTTAGAAACCGGATTAATCGAGGAACTAAATACATATAAATCGCATTAAAAGAGACTTGAAAGGGAAAAAACATGATCATTTATGTACAAACAAAAATGTGTATTTTTTTTTTTAAATTTTATCAATTAAAATATAGTTTGTTTTAAAATTTTCAAACCGTGTTATTGTAAATACGGACTGATCAAAACCGCACTATGCGAGGTATCGATATATATTTTGAATCACTGAGTAGATGACATTTATATTGGACAGCTGTCACTTTTATATAGTTATTCATTTATTTATTAAGATTATTTAGTAATTGTTAAATAAATGAACAGAAATTAAAAAATAAATATAAAAATTGACCTTTCATGTTATTTTTGGTTCATATTTTTTTTAAATGTTTTCGTGATTCGAACTGAAGAGCTTTGTGTCGGTTTTTAAAGAAACAATAGACGAACGTGCTTCAAATTCATTTTTAATCTGTATTTAATCATTTCCATAATATTGAATGTATTTCATTATATAAAACAGAGAGGGCGTTTTCAATATTAATATATGACAGTTGTCAGCTTAGTTTAAAAGATTCACATATTTATTTTCTTATTATTTTATTTGTGCAACTATTTGAGCAAATTGTAAGTATTGTAACTATAAATTTTCGCAATCTATATCTTCTTACATAACGAGTAATTTAGAAAATGCTTGAATGGGTTCCAATGAAAAAGTAATTAGTAGAACGTAGACAATTTGCTTAGGTAACACGTCAAAATACCACACGTTCTTAGAATACCAATATTTGTATACACTTATATAACACAAAATAGTTAAGCAATTGTCACAATAATGGGTGATAAATACCTTTTTGTTGATTAAAAACTAAAGAATGGCACTGAATAGAATATATGCAACGTTTAACCTGCACGCATTCACAAAATGCACAAGACTAAAATTGAACGTGGTGGATGGCCAGTTAATAAAAACTTTCCAATTATTTATAACGCATTTTTTTTTCAAATTTTTGAGAGAGCGATGCAAAAAAAAGATCATATAACAAAGATCAGATAGAATTTTATGTTAGTGACATTTCAAAGCGACATAATTTAAAATTGGGAACTAATACGTGGTGTGGCAATAACCATGCACGCAACAACGACTTCTGCAACATATTATTTTCATCGAGTGCTATTAGACTTAAGTGCAGGCTAATTATTAAGGATAATAAAGAGGTGCTTGCGAAAGTTCACGCTTAACACTGCATTCATATTATCATCATCACATTCTTTTTAAAATACCAAAAAAAAAAACGAAAATATTTGTTGTGAAATTTCAGAAAAAAAAATTAATAAATCAATATTATTTAATATCAATTCTAATTGTACAAAAACAATATTAAAGTTGTTGTTTTTTTCTGTTTACTCACCTTTCCTTTTCTTAAATAAGTGCCTCTTCTTGATCAGAAGTAAAAGATGTCAATTATAGTGTGCAACTAACAAAAAGGAACACAAATCACTATGTCCAAATCGAAACAAACGGTCCAAAAAAAAAAGAATAATAATAATGCTACCGGAACAAATCGAATATTATGAAATATAATGTGGATTTTTTTTATTATTATTATTGTTGACTTGATTTTCTTTTTATATTAGACTGCGGAACTGGTTTGCACACCTACAAAATGCAGTTCAAATGCTGCACTGGAAGCGGTGGAAATTGTTAGCGTAATAACAGTTTTTCAACGAATTACTTTCATTTTTATTCCGTAGTGGGGCAGACGTAGAAACGCACACATATACACACAGAGACGTACATAAACACGGCCAGACCGATCTGGTATCATTATTATTATTCGGGTACCTTGAGTCACCTTCGCAACATCTCATTAGTTTTAATGTTTTAATTGCATTTGACTTTCTACGAAACAAAAACGTTGTCGGACATGGCCCGAAAAGTGCATGGGAACTTGCCGAAAAAATTTAGTCGAAAGAACATGAAACAAGAAAAATTCAGGAAACACTGTTGTTTTATTTTTTTTGGTTTTCTTTCTTCGTTTGTTTTCCTCGACAAATAACTGCGATTCGTCAGCTTTTAGAAATTTTTGTCGAATACTTGCATAACCCGCGACCCGGTCGAAACGCAAAAACTGAACCGAAGGTTACCAAATCTTTTGAAAATAATTCTGCATTGTTGTTTTCGCTTTCCAAAAAACAAACTCTTATAAACTATATTTGCATGTAATTATTATTCCTTTTTATTCATCAATTGATAATTTGTGATTTAATATTAAAATATTATATTTTCAATTTAAACAGTCACCAAATTGGTATGTATGCAAATGACAACGAACGGAATTTACTTTACCAGTTTGTAGCTTTCTTTTACAGAAATGCAAATTAAATTTATCATACTAACTTTATATCTGATGTAAACCAAATTGAATTTGTAAATTTCAAGATTTTAAGTCGTTTTAAGTTATGTTTAAGTAATTAATTCATTAATTGAAAAATTTCTTGGCCTTTATTAAATGTTTTAAGATTATTTGTATTTAAACAAAATATGTCCATAGTTTATTTCCATTTAGTTCAGTGAAATCTATATAGATTTTTTTGTAAATCGATGACAGCTGTCATACAGATTTATTTGATAGATATCAACAAAATTGTTTTCAGTAGATGTTTTATGTAAACTAGTTAATTCGTTTCAATTATTTCTTTACATAATCTGCGTTTAAACAGAATATTTATATACTATTTTGTTATTTAATTTAGTTTCAGTCATGTTTCAAACAAATTTTCGTAAATCGATGACAGCTGTCAGATTAGTTTAGAAGATTCAGATATGCATATGATTGTCGTCTTCAAAATTGTTGATTGAACTCTATAGAATTTTGTATTTAATTTAGTTTATATGAAATTTATATCAAATATTCGTAAGTCTATGACAGATTAGTTTGAAAGATTCACATATTTATTTGTGAAAATAACAAGTGTTAATTTTATTTAGACTTCCATCTTAATCTTCCATCTTAATCTTCACTCGAACTTTATTTGTAGTTGAAATTTCTCAAAATGGGACCACAAAGAGCAATTAGTGTTAAATGTCTGCAATAATGGTATTTCAAAACGCCACAGCCATTACTAAATACAAATTGCATAAAACAGATTTTACATCTTAAGACTTTCAGTAACCTTCATTTCACTTAACAAACTTTATTATCAAAATATATAAACTATAATGTAATATAAATTTGTCAAATGTAAATAAAAGGTTACACAGCATTATTTCATTGCAAAGCAGGTATTTTGTTTTATAAAATCATGATTTAATAAATCTTCAAAATTGTTTTCTTTGTACCTATTAATCATTAGCAAATACATTTATGATAGTCATTACATTAGAACAAAAAAAAACAAGTTGTCAGTGAATATCTTTTTTCTTGCAATACGTCAGCGATTTGCTATTCTTCGAATGCTGAGCAAAGCTACTAAGTGCATCTGATGTGGAGCGCGATTCTGAGCAAAATGATGATTGTTTTTTTGTTATGACACGTGCAAAAGTGGAAATTATTGGTATTTAATTGAAGCATTTAAATGATGCGACGATATTCTCAGTTGACTTTCCGATGGAATATTATTTTATTAGATGTTCAAACCTGAATCATATTGTAAATGTGATCTCATTTGACGTTTGCAAATGTTGCCAATTTGTATTGGTATATCTTGACATTTCGATAGAATTGTATGACATTAACAACTGTCATCTGTCAACATATTTGATGTGCATCCAATGATCTTGGGAATTTGTACTTGTAGTAACCGATATTGTTTTGTTTTATTTCATGTATTTAAGATTATTTATTCATATTTTTAAATTTATAATCAAATTGTAAATGTGTTCTTCTTAGACATTTCTAAATGTTTCCAATTTGTATTGGTATATCTTGAGATTTAGATATAATTGTATGACATTAACAACTGTCAGTTGTCAACATATTCGATGTGCATCCAATGATCTTTGGAATTTGTACTTGTAGTAACCGATATTGTTTTGTTTCATTTTATGTATTTAAGAATATTTATTCACATTTTTAAATTTATAATCAAATTGTAAATGTGTAATTCTTATACATTTCTAAATGTTTCCAATTTGTATTGGTATATCTTGACATTTAGATAGAATTGACATTAACAACTGTCAGCTGTCAACATATTTGATGTGCATCCAATGATTTTTGAAATTTGTACTTGTACTAACCGATATTGTTTTGTCTTATTTCATGTATTTAAGTATATTTATTCACATTTTTAAGTTTATAATCAAACTGTAAATTTGTTCTTCTTAGACATTTCCAAATGTTGTATGATGTATAATTGTATGACATTGACAACTGTTAACATATTCCATGTGCATTCAATGATCTTTGGAATTACTGGATCCACAAAGTTTAAAGAATTTGAAAATCATTGATTTAATCATTTTTTTGATTTAATAATATTTATTATTATTTTTAACTTTTCAATTTTAATCAGAATCAGTCGTATACGAATATAACAACAATTCTGTTGTAAATGGTCAATAGGTAATTGTTGCACGTACAGTACGTTTGCATGCAGATTTTCATAATTGACCCCATTGCCTATTCCTCCTTTTTTTTTTGCAACGTGATTCAATTTATTTTCATCGCGGCAACAAAATGTGTGCTGTTGTTTGTTGTTTGTGCTTTCGTACGTGTAAGCGAGATAGGAATTATCTTGTCTCGACTCTACTTCTACTATGCACAACTGCTTCAACACTTTCTCTGCAACCTTTATGCGATTACGCAATCATTTTCGAATGACGTTGCGCAACGCGTCCACCGTTCGTTCAATTCACCTGCCTATTGCCAATAATAAATAAACATGAGATTTATTGTTAATTACTCATCGTACTGGCAATACCCTCCAAATGTCGGATAATTGACGAATTATGATGTAAGGTTTCGTGAATGATAGATCAAATGTGCGAACGAAATCAAACAAAAGGGGAACGTGCAAAAGTGCATGCATTTTCGACCTTTCTCCCTATTTTTTGTGTGTTATATTTTTTACGATGTTCATAATTGAGATTAATTATATTTAATTTACGTTTCTGGTTTTACCAGCATTTGTCATGCGTCGCGTAAATTCCAAAGTCACTGTTACGTCATGCCAATACATTGACTTTTTTGGTGTTACTTAAATACAAATTAGGAAATATCGTATCAATATTCTTAATAAAAAAATCATAGTCTCAATTAGTTTTTCATGTATTCAGAATTAGTGAGTTTTCTCAGATTTGCATCTGTTATCGTTTTCTTATAATAAGCGTTCAAACAAAAACGGTTTTTTAACACTTCCAAAATTCGGTGTCTTCACATTTTAACAAATATCTGAACAACCACGTACGGCAAATACAAGTTTAAATAATTAAATTAAATAATATTCAGGATCTAATTGAAGTCTTTATCAGATTTGTGTCTGTTATCGTTTTCTTGTAATAAGCGTTCAAACAAAATTGGTTTTTCAACATTTCCAAAATTCAGTGTCTTCACATTTTAACAAATATCTGAACAACCACGTATGGCAAATACAAGTTTAAATAATTAAATTAAACTATAATATTCAGGATCTAATTGGAGTCTTTATCAGATTTGGGTCTGTTACCGTTTTCGCTTAATAAGCAATCAAAAATTAAAATAACGTTTATTAACGCTCCCAAAACTCATTGTCATCACAAGTTTTATATGTATTTTTAACATCAATATGATTTATTATTGTTTTTATTTTAAATTTATTCTTTTATGTAGAACTTTGCTGTTTTCATAAGAATTGTATTAATAGCAGATGATTGTGTTTAATTGCCTCCATGGGTTCAAGGTAATGTTAGATGACCGTTGCTCAGCAACCCCAAACAAACAATACCAACAAATGTCCGTCAATTGACGTAGAACGTAATGTGAAATATGGTCAGTTCCAAACTACAAACTACAAAATGCCTGAGTTACCAGATGAAATGTACTGCTCGCAGCAGATCGTCGTCAATCCAACTTTTCCGTATCTCCTTAGACAGTATGCAAAGGCAGCAATACGCTCGCAACCTTCAGATTTACTCAGGTAAACTGTTATCGACATATTTCTTTTTCGCAAAGCATTTCGCTCATCGCACTTTGTCTTCTTAATTGCATAAGATGGTCGACTGCATATTTCCGCTGTCTCTCGTTGAATCTTCCTCCCCCAGTGAAACCGCGCCTCGAGTATCCAATACCCAAAGATTACGACGGAATCACTCCGGGCTGGCTGCGAGCGCTCCTTTACCAATTTCAAAACAGCGCCTACGTCGATTTCAAGGTCTTGTGGGACAGATGGATCGGAGCTTGCCTTAACCACGGCACTCTAATTAAGATTCTATGCTTGGGAGGTTTCACAGATCCGCATGCGATTCCCTTCTTGCAATTCATTGGCCTGTGTTTAGGATTCATATGCGAAGTGCGTTATAATTTTGTCCGCACATTATGACTTATATATATAATACTGTAATATCTTTTAAGAATTTAACAGAAACTATGATCATGGTCTGCGAAGTCTTAACGGAAGAACCGGAAGGAGGTTCTGCTATGATCAAAGTAGAAACTTTCATCGATATCTATACGTTTTTGGCCTCACTTGACGCCTCGCACGAGCAGACCATCATAAATCATTACTTCACCGATGACCTGCTCAATCTATATGAAAAGTTGGAGAAACAACAAGAGGTGTACAAACCGCCGACTCCGAAAACGCCAGAGAAGTAATTTTATATAGAGACTTTGTGCAGGTTTATTTGACTTTTAAGTGTTTCAGGGAAATAAGTATCGTGGAGGAAATAGCTGAGGAGGAGGAGAAACTTTCGGATGGTCCTAAAGATGCCATATCGTGTCCTGATTTATTGGAAATTGAAGCTGCGAACGCGGCGGCAGCTTTAGAAATGCAAGCGGAAGAGGAGGAAAGGGGGGAAGAGGAAACGGAAAGGTTCAATCGATGAAATCATAATGAAAATAAGTTAAGTAAAGACTTTTGTTACAGCAAATCAACAATTATATCCGACAAGGAAAGGACGGATATAATAGATAAATATTTGTCACATCCTGAGGAGAAAACCGAACAAGTCGATGAAAAAGTCGATGTAGAAACTCTGTCAGACGAGACGCTCCCGCTGATGCCTGGAGAGGATAATTTCGAACCTGACCAGGAGACGGTTATGGACGAGGAGGGTCAGATTGATGATGATCTGAAGTCGCAAACGTCCGAAAGGTTTTCCGAGCATGATGTGCAATCTGATGATTCTCATGCAGTCGTCGATCAACAGGAAGAAGAGGAGGCGGAGGAGGAGGAAACGCCGGAGAAGAAGCAGGAGGAAATTGCCGGTGAATTCGGAAGTGAGCATGTGATAGCGTTGCACAAGATCGACGAGTCTATATGCGGCGAAGATTTGGAAGAGGAAAAAACGGACATGTTTACTATAACAACTGAAGAAGGCGAGGAGGAAGAGGCTGGCGAAGAAGAGGTTACGAAAATGTCCGCATCGAAGGTAAGATCGTAAAAGATTCGAATTTATTGATTTCTAATTTCTTGTTTTGCTTTAGTTCGAGGAAGAAGAAATTTTCATCGAGATCATTCCCGGCATCGGCGGATTTGTGCCCATCGAATTGTTTAATGCCGTCATCGAGTATATGAAGGCTTGCGCTGCTAAGCAACACGGAATGGTCATGCCTAGGAACATTCGCCACTACAGCTGTCCACCATTGGAAGTATTCGATTGAATGAACGAACCCGCACAGAATTTTCATTACACTTTATTTTGATACACATTCCATTTATTTGCTAAATTAATCTAAATAAACTTATGATAAATGCATGTTGATCAATCGCTTTCAAGTTGATTGGACTTATTGCAATAGTTTATATCTAATTTCAATGTGGACATCTGAGATCTATGAAAATAAATATTGAACATAAAAGGTACTGCAAAAAACTTTTAAATACTGATTAGTTTTATTTTGATTACTAATTTTCTTTTGGTAACACATTCATTAATACATTATAATATACATGCATATTAGCACATACAAATATTTTCTCTCGTCAACTTTCATTATTATTTAGGTATAAAGTCTTCATTTGGTGTTCCTTGTACATACATATATTTAGATTTATTTATATATTCTTTATTTATTTTATTCATCATTATTTATATAGGTTGTTGTGCGATATTGTTTATTGATTTTTTTTATTTCATTCCCAACAAAAAAAAAATAGACTCGAATTCCAATCAGAGTAATCGAGTTACACACAGAGCTTTACACATTGACATTGAAAAATTAGACGATCGTTTGAATGAAAAACAAAAGAAGAATGTCCGAAAAGTTGAACAACAATTATGTCTTACGCAACAACGATGCCTACTCTATAATAAATATGCTACATTTCCTAATACCGTGAATAAATAAAAACAGAAAAAAAAGAATAAAACGAAAAGAAAAGAAAAAAATGATAATAAGAAACAAAACAAATAACATTTATTTTACGTTTAATTTGTACTTAAAAATGGCGCACAAAATAATTGCTAAAAATAATAATAATAATAATAATAAAATTCTTTGGAAGTTTCGCGCGCACGCTACTACAGAACAAAATATTATCACAATTTATATATTTGAATTAATTTAACGAGGACGACGTAAAAACTGAAATTGAGCACCCAGTAGGTAGTAGTTAGTTACTAAACTACTTCTACTGCTCATTGCTGTAAGAAATGCTCTGTGTAGAGGCGGAGAACCTTGTGGATGAGCTCGTACTGTTCCGCAGTCTGCACCATTCCTCCGCGATGCAGACGCAACGAACAAAGGATTGCCAAGACGTCGACGTTGAAATTGCTTCTAAGTTGCTGGATGCCGTTCAATATTGCCAGGAAGCAACCTGTCCTTCCTATGCCCGCGCTGCAATGCACCACCAGCGGATTCTTCTCGTCCTTCCGTATCCTCTTTATGTTTTTATTATTGTCTATAAACTTGATAACGCGCAGGGCCAACTGAAGTACTTCCTCGGAATCCGCCATCTTGTGGTCTTGCCAATTCGGATACCAGAAATGTGTTATTTTCCTGCCGTGCTTCCCCTTTTCCAGCGCGAAATGTCGTAGCACGCAATCGCCCAGGTCCTCCTTCGAAAGGTATTTGATCTTGTACTGGCCGAAGGTGATCTCGTTTACCTCCTCGATCTTTATGATCTCCTCTTCGTAAACCCTCCTCGCATCAAAAGTGAATTTGTCCTGAGACTTGATCGATTTCAAAAAGTAGAAAGACTTTTCAGTATCATTCTTAGACGATTTGCCCAACGGGAAGTACAGCTCGCATTTGTTACGTCCCTTCTCTATCAGTTGCGTCAACATAACTATGCAATTGCTCTGCAACAATAGATTTTTAATAGATTTTTTTTTCCATTTTTAAGTGTTTATTAGAGGCTCTTACTTTTGTTAACCAAATCATCTCCCAAAAGTCTTCACATGTGTGAGCCATAGGTCCTTGGGTTGCTATGTATGAGGATTCAGTGTAATCAGGACCCTATAGAATATATTATTATATAAATATTGTGCAAATAGAGTGATTGAATGATTTGCTAGACTATTTATACTGTATTGTCTACATCTTGAAATTTAATAATCAAGAACAAATGGTTGCAACATCTGTACATGAATTATTTTGTACATTACAAATGCACCCATTTCCATTTTTTGTTGAGCCTTTATATAGATTAATGAATTGTTTTTCATCATACCTTAATATAGTTGGCATGTATGTAGGGTTGAACTTCACTCAGATGCACTCTGCTGTGTTCATTGGGTAAAACTCCCTTATAGCGATTTCTGCTTTGACTGCCAGATACAATACACTTTTCTTGAAGATTCAATGGAACCTCCCAGAACTCCTGATGTAAACTAGGCACACGTTGGGCCTGTAAAATTTAAAATGAGAAAACCAGAATGTATTGCAATCATAAAAGATTTACCTCACAAAACAATTTCAATTCATTAATGGTTAAAACACTTCCAGCAGTCTGCAGATACTGCACATTCTGCAGATGCAATTTAAAATCATCAGAGAGTAATTGCGATGCCTCCAAATCTGCCTGATGTGGGTATCGAGCTGTCCTGTTCCCTTTGCAGATTTTACTTTGATTGCTGCCCAAAGCTCCAGTTTGATGCTGGCAATAATTGCAAGGTGGTACATACAGATTCTCATTGGACAATGATTTCCGTTCACATTTCAGATTGCAAATGCAATTGCAGAGCTTAAGCTTTCCCTTGCAGTTGTTTGCCTTACTGGGAACTGATTCATAGATAGTGCAATTGCCACAAGTCTCTAAATGTATCTGAGACTTTCTTCGATCAAATTCTTTTACATTCTTGAACTTCTTATTTGATGGACAGTCACAGTTGCCCCCAAAACTAGTCAAATTTAGATTGGAAATACTTTTAGCAGTGTTCAACTTTGAGATTGGTGGTGGTTTTTCATTGCTGCTGCTGAGGTCAATGGTGAGGCTGGCATTGGAACCTCTGCGTTCGAGCAGCCCCTTAGCTTTAATTCTGACAGGCTCAATCCTTGGCTCAGAAAAATCTTGCAGTGTCATTATTTCCGGCAGAGTCTTCAATGTTTGCGAACCTGAGATACTGACATTTGAAGAGAACCGCTTTAAATTTGAAGTTGGTGCTAGGGTTTTGCTATCGAAATCTGTGAGGTACTTCTTGTTCTGTTTCTTGGGCGTGTTTGGCATGGAATATACATCTCGCGATATATCTGTCTGTGGTTTTGGGTCAGAGTCAAGGCTTATGGCTTTCAGCTTCCTGGAGAGTGTTGGGGTCTTTGGTGACTGGATAACCAGAACAGGTTGCGTATTTGTTGGGTCTAAATTAAGTGTAGGGAAATTGCGATCACTACTACTTTGCTGTTGACTGCTGCTACCACTACCGCACGACCCTTCCACTTCTTCAACACTTCTTTGTTTTGCCTTTTCCATATTTATTTGTTTTTTTTTTTTGTTGTTGTTGCTTCTGTTGTTTCGGCCCCCTTTCCAATCGAAGAACGCTTCACTCACCTCCACATGAATTTCCAACAGGCAGGGAGCATGTTTAGAACCGCTTTTCGGAATCTCCGCCTTCGTTTAATGTTTTTTTAATACCTTTTTATATTGTTTTTGTAATAAATATTTGTAATAAGGGCAAGATAATTCGGCCATGTTTTAATAACAGCTGTTTCTTTTCCTTACGGACACGTTGCCAAATAAATCATCTTTTTGCAATTAAATTACGTATACTTATTTTGCAATTTTAAACTTTCACAAATCCAATTATTTGCCATTACATTAACTGAATTATTCGATGTTAATCAATAAACATATATTATAATACTTTCTCCAATGTTATAATAAATATATGCAAAAGGCAACATTGCATGTTTTTCGCACCCTGTGTTTCCCTGTGTATGTTTGAGAGTTTTGAAAGTGTCATGTGCAATAAAATATTTATGTAATACATACTTAATTATCGATTTAGTGATCTTAACAATTAAGTAAGTAATACATGATATGATAGCTTAAAATATTAGCTTTATTTGATCGTTTTACACATTATAGGTTACATTCTCAAATATATTGTTTGGCGCCAAAACATGTTATTAAAAATTATTAATATTGCAATTCATAAACATTAAACAGTACAAGTTTATATATTAAATAATACAAAAACTCAATTAAACTCACTTAATTAGCGTTACTTGAAAGATTTGTTGCATAAATAAATTAATTTTAAAAAAACTTAAGAATAAACTAATTAACGAGCATAACTTAAACAAAGCATTTTGAAATTGAAACATTCGGCAATGAATAAACTTCATGATACAAATATATCTATGTCGCAAGCCCGACAACCAAAAGACCGTCTATTGAAATCCCGACTATTAAAGTCCCGACGCGTGAAATCCCGACTATGTTATAATCCCGACTACCACAATACCGACAATCAAAATTCCGACTATGTCAAAATCCTGACGACCATAAAAATCCCGACTACCATAAAAATGTTATTGTAGAAATTTATAATAATAAAAGACACTGTCGGGATTTCGATATAGTCGGGATTTCGAACGTCGGGATTTCGGTTGTCGGGCTTGTGATTGCCACCGATTTATATCATCTATATCAGTGATTCTCAAAGTGTGGCTCGTGTAAAATATTTAGGGGGTCGCAAAAAATGAATGACATATCAATCTTGGTTGTTTTCTACATGTACTTATCTTTCGGGGGGTCGCAGAAACTTTGTATGTCCAGAAGGGGGTCGCAAAAACTTTTTATTCCTAAAAGTCTCAAAAAGTTTGAGAATCACTGATCTATATACTTCATCTTCTATTACAGCAGAGGTTGTCAACCTAATTGATGCTCAAAATAATGCAAATATTTGATTTATTACATCAGTTACACTGATTATAAAAAATAATTAAGTTTTAATAAATCGTTACAATTAATTTATTACAAAGAAAATCTAGTTTTTAAATATATTTGAAAACTGAAACAAATAAATTTATAAAATATTTGTATTTAGTCGATCTTAGTATATTTCGTTTGTCATTTTCTCATAGTTCGATTGTATGATGATGTTCTTATTAGTAAGCAATCGTCAAGGTTAACATTGGTGAGTGGATTTCTGTATTACATTTTTTCTATATTTAACGTTGAAGATTAGATTCCAAAAGTTTTCATCTGCAATGTAGGATAGATAAATGTCTTTATAATTAAGAACAATAGCAACATTTACTGCAACAACCTTTAACTATTGACAAAAAAAATATGAACGAAATAGAAGAGGAACAACGGGTCATTGAACTTAGATCTTTCCACGACATTTTACAAAATTTTACTGTTTTCTGTTAATTAATGAATTGTTGCGTGTATACAGTCTACAATCCTTAAATAATAAAACTTTTAAAATGTGCACCTATAATATGTATCCGGTTTTCCGCTATAAATATAACAACAAGTTCTTAAATTCTTTATAGGAAATGGCATCCACCATAAACTTTGACATGACCTCGGAGATGGCTCTCCTAATATCAGAACATTCCTGCAGAAAATGGTATATTTACATTTACAAATCTTCTTGTAGAAATCACTTTTATTTTGAACTGTAAAATTTTATTTCAATAATTTAGCGGAAAAGTATACAATGATCCTGTGAAAATGAAGGTGTGCGGACATTTGGTGTGCGCTGCCTGCGCTTCATCAAAATGTGCGATATGCGGCGTCGGCAAAGGTATCCAAGGTCCATGCAATTTCACTGCAAAGATAGTAAATTGGATAAAGGAAATGGAAAATAAATACGCGGACAAAAGTTTCCTCATCAATAACATACCGAAAATCAACGGAACCGACTCAGACATTGTTATTCCTGCGACGCAAAATCCGCAGCAGGTACATATCATAAAGACAGCGATGAAGCGAAATAGCAAAGGCGAATCTGGTCTGCACGTAGCATGCAAACAGGGAAAGTTGGACAAAGTTAAGCAACTCATCGAGTCCGGATGCGATGTTAACGCAGTCGATTGGGCCAACTGGACTCCATTGGTAAATTATGATATAATTGTTACCATCAGGTATGAAATTGATTTAATTTCAGCACGAGGGTGTACAGAGCAATGCTTTCGACTGCGTGAGGGAACTGCTGAATGCAGGAGCTTTGGTGAATGCGCCGGGCGAGAATTACATTACACCGTTGCATCAAGCCCGAGAACTGCAGTTCGAGAAAATTGTTGATATTTTGCTGGAGTTTGGAGCGGATCCCAAATCAATCGACTTCTCGGGGAACATTGCGATGTGAGTTGTCTGATTATTAAATCGAATGTTAATAATAATTGGAATGATTTAAGGTCGAATGGTCTTGAAGTACAACCAACTAAAGAACAACTCTTCGTGGCCCAGATCAAAGAAGCTTTGATACTAGGCGTTAGCGATGACACTAAAAAAGTATTGACCAACCGAACTATAGTATGCAGCGGTAAATTTAACGTTAAGAAAACTGATGTTATTATTTACGGTAAAGCTGACAATCTGCAAAAGCACACCAGCCTTATGGCTATTTTGAATGGAATTCCGTTGGTGAACGAGCGAAACGTCGAGTCTCTCTTTTCCCCTGATTTTCCCTTGAATTTGAATTTCCCCGAGGAATTATCGGCACCGCTCAAGGATTGCATCATGAATAAGCTGTATCGCAAGCCGAGATTGTTCGACGGAATGAAGTTCCACGTGATCAACAGTTTGAAGAAAGTTTCGCGGCACAATTTCGTTTTGAATAGGTGTCAGATTTGCGAGATGATCGAGGCCGGCGGTGGAAAACTTTTGGTGAGACCGCCTGCAGAACGAACAGTGGATTCGGCGGACGTTCAGTATCCTTACCACGCCAAAGGATCGAAGAAATTGAAAAGTTGTCTCAATTATATTGTTTATGATGCGAGGAATGCTCCGCTTCTTCTATATAGGATGAGCGAGTTGCGACACGTACCTGCAGATTGGATCGTTGATTGTACATTAGCTTTTAAAATTATCGAAATGGATGGTTTTTAAAACACATTTATTTATGTTCTCTTATTCTAATAAATATTATATTTTTTTATTGTAAGCTAACAACATTAATTCAATTCAAAATTCGCTATCATTTTCATTGAAAATTGTCCAGTAATTTTAAACAGAAAAATTACTTAATACTGGTCTACTTTATATGTGTACGTTTGAATTTATAGTATAGAGGATAAACTTCTATATATTAAATTATTGAAACAAACATTAATCATGATATCAATTTAGCTGATTACATAATATAACGAAGTAGAGCGGGTTGCAGTGTGCCTTAATGATATCCTGCTAGTAAAACTATAGAAGTAAACGTGTTTAAAATGTACGAAAAAGAAACTGTTAGTATGGAAACCCCGACGAAAGATTTATACAGAGACACGCCGGTCAGGTATTTAGGTAAGTTGACGCTTATTCCATTTAGTACAAGACTAATTTTGACCGTTTTAGGTTATGCGAATGAAGTGGGAGAAGCTTTTCGTAAAATAATTGGTGGTAAATGGGTTGCCGCCACCTACGGAGTAGCGACTTTATATGTTCTCGCCGATACCTACGACAAAAGTTCTAAATGCCACGATGGAGGTGCTGCCACGAAGAAGGTGGTCTACACCGCCGCAGATACTCTACTGTGGCAGATGCTGGCTTCAGTCGCAATACCCGGTTTAACGATAAATCGTGTTTGTGCCGCCTCCGCATACTTGTTGAAAAACAATAAGAATTTAGGTAAGATGCCAAAGAAGTGGGCGGTCACGGCTATCGGTCTAGCGACTATCCCGATTATCATCAAGCCAATTGATCATATGGTGGACACCGTTCTTGACAACACGTTCAGAAAACTGAGTCCGTAAACTGTCGTTATCTCAAATTGTTAAATAAATCTCGTTGTTGCCAAAACTATGTTATTATTATGATGAAATATTTAAGTTTTATTCATATACAATTTAGATTCACTATGGAGCTGATTAGGATAATGATCAACTCTGGTGCGAGCGAAATATTGATGACACAGGAACTGGATTCGTCCCACATATCAGGTGCATCATCTGGTGCTACATACAGGTCTTGACTCATAGGTCTGATCACACCGCAGAGGTTCGTGTAATACTCGTTGACCGATTGACCGTCGCGGCACTCCGTCGCCGGTGGGCCAGCTTTATAGACGGGAATTTTGAGCACGTTGCCGGCCGGACTGTAGTTGCAGAAAATATCGTACACGTTGTACTTCTTGCCTTTCCTCTTGGAGCGAAACATCGCGCATCCGACGTATTTAACTTTCGCCCACATCACTTGCGTCAGGTGTCCGGCAGGTTTGAATCCCTGGTAGGACGTTCCCCAGTCCTTCGTTACATTTGCGTCCAAGTATTTCAACTCGGAATCTACCCAGCCGTTCAGCGCATTCCTGAGAAACTTGCAGTCCATGGTCATAGTCTTCGTCGCAGTCATCGAGTACAAGTTTTGACCCATCTGTTTGCCGTTGAGGCCGCGCCTCACCTTGTCGTGTGCCCAAATGCACTGCTTTATGTAACACCCGGTAACAAATTCGCACTCTTTGTCGTAGCTGAGCACGTTCATATTGGATATCTTAGGAATGTGATTCTTCACGTAAGCCCCTCCGGCCATCTCGTCTCTGTAGTTGTTGTGATCTTCCAGTATGCATTCTCGTTGAGCATTCGTTAGCACTTTATAGTCACCTTCCTGCAGTCCACATTTCACGTTCAATTCGCATCGATATAAACATGGAGTGTTTTGCATATCTTTCTTACAATAATCTTCAAGAACAATACCCTGTGCAAATTGCAAATATATCGCAACAAGGATTAATATCATTATTCTATTTTTTGGCATTTACAAGCGGCAACTCACGTCAAAATTGCGATTTAATCAATATAAAATCTGTAAAATCAAATTAATAATATACTTTGTACATCAGTGTGTTTAATTATAATATGAACAAAATATTAATAATTATGGTGAAAATAAGGAATGGGGTGCACTTAAAACTGTTAACATTATCTTCACTAAATTGCATATCTCCGGGAGCGTCCGTTGGAGGTATGTATGTGTCTTCGCTTATGGGTCTTATAGGACCGCACAGATGCTTATATCTGTCGTTCGCTTTAAGCGGGGCGCAGTCGGTGGCCGGTTCTCCCTTCTTGTACATGGCTTTATTTCGATAATTTCCCGGTGGGAGATAGTCGCAGAACACATCGTACACGTGAAATGCTTTGCCGTTTCTTCTGGAATGAAGCATTGCGCAGCCCACGTACTTAGTGTTGCTCCACAGGACCTGCGTAAGATGACCAGCTTCGTACAAGAAGGTGTATCTTTCACCCCACGAAGCAGCGTTACTCTCGTTTAGGAACTTAAGTTCATTGTTCACCCACCCGTCGAGCGAAGTCCTCAGCAATTTGCAGTTCAGTGTGTTCCTCTCCACCGAAACCGAGTAACTGTACAAGTTTTGTCCTAGGTTTCTACCCTTCACCGTCAGTCGAGTCTTATCGTGACCCCAGATGCATTGCTTTATGTAACAGCCAGCTATGAATTCGGCCTCTTTATCGTAACTCAAGACATGCATGTTGCTCGTTTTGGGGAGGAAATGATTGGAGAATTCGCCGCGTGCCATCTTATCCCTGTACAGATTGTGCTCATCCAGAATACATTCTCGCTCTTCCATTGTGAGCACGTTGAAAGTCGGTTTAATTCCACACTGTTCACCGAATTTACATCTGAACATGCACGGCGTATTCGTTTCTTTGGGTTTGCAATAATCATTCAATACGATGGACAGCGAAGATTTTAGCAAGATCACGAACAGAAACAATTCCATGTTTAAATTTGGACATTTCTGTTCGATTCATACTTTCATTTCTGATTTTTTTTAATTACCATAGTTTCTATAATTTTAGAACACAACAAACTTTTACTCATTTAGAAATACCTGTATTTTTTTTGTATTCTGCTTGACTGATTTTCTCCAATTTTCGATGATTATAGCTTATTTTGCTACTATGGTTTCTTGCTACGAATGCAGCATTATCAATTATATTATTTGCTATGCAAGTACTTGTAAACGTAGTTGATTATAAAGAATACACGTACGCAGGACTTAACGAGTATCCGATTTTAGATGAAATGGAAGAGAGCTACTATTCACAACGTACTTTGCATGTCGATTGTTACGATTCATTGAACTGCGAAAAACAAGCAAAACTAGTTTTTGTAAGCACAGCACCTACATAAAATGCATGGCGGAATGCAGTCCTGTTTTATCGCCGAATCTTCAAGATTTAGATTACGTATATTCGTAGCAGCTTCATTATATGAAACAGGAGTAATAAATAAATAAATAAATCAATAAGTATTTAAAACATATATTAAATAAATAAATAAGAATATGTCATGGATTGACATCTAAAACGATGCCAAAACAAATTAAATGTAAATAATAGATGTCTTCTAATAAATTATTCGAATTAATAATAGTGTCTTGCGGATGGAGTTATTTACATATGTTATTTGCGCGCATTATATATATACTACTTTTTTGTTTCGATTCGAAAGTTCTAAATTCTAATTTACAAAAATAATAAGAACACAATAAATACTGACATTTTTGACTTTGCGAGTGCATTTTTTTTCTGTCATGCTTACATTATATATTTTCTTAAAAACTAACGATGAATATATCAATGTCGCATTATTAGAGAGCAATTATTTTATTATGTAACTTCGATTTTGAGACCAATGTCAGGACGAGGGGCGCAATGGCCGCAGTATCCTCCGCATTTTCCCATCACTTTATTATCCTGGAAAGACAAGAATTTAATATGTAGTATGGGATTTGCTTGTTGATGCTCACCTCGAAGTTCACTAATTTGGAGGCTTTGTAACCTGCAACGGTCCACTCAACGTTCCTCGAAAGCCTGAACGAAGTATTGGTCAGATCAATCGAAAATCTTCCTTGGATACAGTTTGGTTGCGAACTGTAGCAATCTCCGGCAGTTCCGTATGGTACTTTAACATTGCCCGAATGTTTTTTTTGCGAGGAAAAAGTAAAATCATCAGCTGGAACGAAAGAAGCTCAGTAAAAGTGTAAAAGGATTTTTTAGAATTGGTAGTTACGGATTATTTGCATAGTCGTTATGTTCAGACGAATTTTCCAGAAGACTGTAAATCCAGATTGGTCTTCCCATGGTACACAGTCGCAGTGATCCATTCGATATCCGTTATAAGGACAGGTCTCGCTATCCCTCAGCCGGTTTCGATACATTTCGGCGTAATTTTCCGTATTCGGTTTCAAGCTTATAAACTCTTCCGGTTCTTTCGTATCCATCTTGTAACAATACAACAAAGCATCACGACCCTCTACGGATAGTACGTAATCTTTATTCTCTATAGTTTGTAAATGATGTTTGACATCTTTGCAGCTCTCGTGACGACATCTGATCTGATTGCATTTCCTCTTGCGCTTGGGTCTAGCATGCTTGGGGCACCTCCATTTCTCCACGGGAATTTGGTCTGCTTTTCGAATGCATTTTAAGTTCCTCTTCTGGCGACCCATTTTACCACAGGTATGCGTACACTATAATAATAGAATAAAAGATCATTCAAGTGGATCACTTCGATTAAAAACTACTTATACTACTAACGACTATTATTACTTATATAAAATACTTTACCCCGCTCCAATTGCCGGGAACCCATCTGTACAGATCGTTGCAATTGGAATCGCTGCAGTCTGCATCGCCCCTGATCATATATTTACAGTTGGGTATATCGCACACCTGAGTCGTTTTCGGTTTTTGACTTTCTGGGCAGTGTTTATGGAAGGTATCAAATTTCGTGTCTACACAACTGACTTCGCGCTTTCTAACTCCTCTTCCACATGACACCGAACACTATAAATGTAAAAACAGTATTAATTTGTATATTTAAATTCTGAAAGGAATAAAATACATACCTCGCTCCATTTATATATAATCCAGCGATAACGATTATCTTGCATATGGTTTCTGTTGGCCGGACATCTCTTGCAAATACGCCGGGATTTGGGTTGCTTGGTATGATCACAGTACGATGATGGACATGATACAAATCTATACTTTTCACAGTTGTTATTACATTCGGTCCACATGGACACGTCCCAATTGCATTTTATATTCTGATTACAAGATGCACGATCGATGGGTCGACTTTGGTAATCGCAATTGTTACTGTCCACTTCTTTGTGATGCATATTGATGCAAACAACACGCCTAGATTTCACTCCTCCTCTGCATGAGCTATTACACTTTTGAAATGATTAGAATTGAAACGTAAAAATAGAAGTTCGTAACTTACGGCAGACCAATGACTCGTTAACCACCAGTAAAACTTGATGACATTGTTGTCCTCCTCTTCAGAGCATTGGTTATCGCAGTGTTGGAAGTCACTGGGTTTCTTCAGATGGCTGCAGTTATTATCGTCCAATCTCTGGTACTCCTTGTTCTCGCAAGTCACTTGGCGAGTTTGAGTTCCCGGTCCACATGGGGAACTGCAATTGCTCCACAGATCAGTAATCCACACCGCATTTGGATCAGTACACGCTGTATAGCATTCCATGCGAACTTTTCCCAAATCGTTTCTGTTGCATTGGTTCGCATCGATAACGCGTCCATCTATGTGACAAGCATGCTGTCGAATTTTGTAGCCGTGGCCGCAGGTAACAGAACACTGCAATTAAACAAATCTGCTGTTAAGATATGTAATTAAAAATGAAAAGAATGGACGTACAGTTGACCATTTATCTTCGATGCTCCATTCCGGACATTTATTGGTGTTGCATCTTTGCCTCAGAACCTTTTTGTTGAGGTTACACTGGTAATCGTCCAAGTTTCTATTGAACTGGTCAGTGCATACGGCTGACCGCATTTGGTTACCGCCACCGCACGTCTTCGTGCACTAAAACAACATTAAATTAGTATACCATACATTTAGTAATCATTAAACATCAACGGACCTTAGACCAATCGCTGTATCGCCAATACGTTGAATCGCAGGATCCTGTGCAAATTTCGTATGGATTATATGGAGGCAGTGCACTGCAGTGTTTCTCGTTGACGGTGATTTCCTCTCCGGTGGATAATGTTTTCTTCACGCAATTGTATGTAAGTGTTCGATTTCTGGAAAGCAATGAGTTGATATTATTTTAAAACGAAAACATTGTACGTTTCTCAGATAAATATTCTATAGTCCATTTAAATAACATGCATCGTTCATTAGTAGATCATAATTTGACTCACCCTTGACCACAATGAACAGAACAATGTCCTTTCGAAACCACGGTCCACTGGAGTACGCAATGCGTATTGCAATTTTTAGGTTCGTAGCTGGTGCTTATTCCTCTACAATCTTTATCTTCGACCACAAAGTTCTTGGCCAGATGCTTACACACTTTCTTCAAGGTCTGCTTGCCATCGCAGATGGAAGAGCATGTGGATCTTCTATCTTCCTGGTATGTCCATCCATACTTAGGTGCGTTCTTACTGCTGATTGTATATCTGTACTGAATATCCGGCGGTCGAACATTACCGACGCTCAGCACATCCAACAGCAGGTCCTTTGTCAGTTTAAAATTTCTTTCCGTCCTTAGAGACTCTACGTTTTCTTTGGAACCACTGTAGAATATAGTCAAACCACCATACCCCAATTCCTTGGACGACACCGATATGACGTAATTTCCGTTCAATATGTAATTCTGCGTGATGCTATCGCGAAGAACCAAATAATTCTCGTCCGCATTGTCATCCGCGTTATTCTTTTGGGTCACCAATAAATTCGAACTACCAGTTGGTATCTTAATAATACTGTTGTATCCGAAGCTGCTCAGATTATGGAAGCCGCTGACGATTTCGCAAGTGCTATTGTCCCCTTCGCAGATTCCGCATTCATCTATAAAATAAAAACAAACAACAATATTGAAGAGCCCTCTATGACATGACATTATATTTCTTTCGTAACTAAATGCGAATCAAAACTGATTGCAAAGTTTGATAGCTTGAATCACACTTACCTAACGATGCATTGGAACCCAATGTATTATCACAGCCGGCATTTTTGCATATGCCATTAATGCAAATATCAAAAGTGTTCAAGCCGCATTTAGTACCATCGATAACTTTATCTTGAAGCAGGTAATACTCGCTGGACGTATTCGGGCGACAGTAGAGTTTGCAATAGTCATCCTTGTCTGCTATAATATTGAAACTGTTCTTTAGTATTCCACTTTTAAGTGCGGCACTATTCAAAAATACATGCAATTTCACTAATATTGACCAACATCATGCTATAGCTATATTTCTTACTTAAATATTTAGGAATCCAGGTGACATTTTCCCCAAGGCCGGGAATACTTTTGTTTTGTTTGTTAAATTTCGAACACTGAATCAGTCTGGAAAGAGAATAAGAATAAAATAGGGCATCAATTCACATATTTGATTCGTTTACCTAAAATCGTCCTTGGAAGATTTGCATGGCTGGGTGTTGCACGATGCATACATCGTCCGACCGCCAGTGCAGTACGAACCGCCGTAAGCAGGAGGAGGATTATTGCACTCTCTTATGCTCATCTTGATACCTCCTCCGCATGTTCTGCTGCATGAACCCCAGTTTTGCCAGCTACCCCAGGATCCGTTGATGGGCGTTTTGATGTTATTGTCTTGGTCTATGCATTTACCATGATGGCACCACCTGCAAGTAGAAAATAGCATAAATTGTGTTTAAGGTTATAACAATTAAGAAGAATTACCTTCCTGGCGCACAAAACGTGCCGTCGGCCCAAGGCATGTATTGAGTTCTACAGCCGTCCGATTCGTATTCGTCCGTGGTGCACCAGAGACTCCCGCAGTAGGGCTATAACAATTTAACATTATTCAACTGCAAGTAGTTAAGACATTGAAATTACCATAAAAGAGCATATTCTCGAGCGAGCTCCGAATTCCAACTCGCACTGTTTGTTACCTTCAAAGGATTCACCAGGAAATTCTATTGTGTCTCCGAGTTGTTTCTTTTCCATGAATGTTTTTGGTATATTGTTCAAACAGAAAGATCTAGGAGAACTGCAAAAACATTATAATTATTTTAATCCAGATATTTCCTGATTTTTTGTAGATAATTTACTCTAAGAACTCGGTGAGAAAGTGCTTGGAACACTTCGACCAATGCCACGGTTTAGTATCGTTGTGCAGGACCTTGCTCATGATGTAGTTGTTTTTGGTTTCCACATTGTAATTTTTGCATTTATCGTCGTCGTCGTGGGGCATGCTGTGTAACATAGCAAAAAGTTGTAAATAAATAAGTCAATTTCAATTGCAAACTTAAGGGACACACCTGAGCACATGTCCAAGCTCGTGCGCAATGGTGTATGAAGTGGATAAACCCTTATCTCTGACTATGGCGCAATTCGAATCGGTGCACATGGATCCCACCTCGGCTACACCCAGAGTGTTACATACCTTTCTGGAAGCGCTCTTACAAATCATACCTCTGGTTAATAGGAGCGCCACGTCGTGCTTCTTAGTGTGATTTTGTTTGAACAAACAGAAATTGTTCAGCATCACTAATATACCAAGAATTTAGAACAGAGTTAACGCTCAACTTGTCGCAGAAAATATAGATATAGTTACTTTGAGATGTCATGCGATCGTCCTTCTCCTCGTTGTGGATGATGATGTCGACGACGGCCAGCGTTATCGGATTACCTATGGTGGCGTCTTTAAATAACAGTGCTACCTGAAAACTGTATACTTAAAAGGTTTTTAGAACAATATAGAGAAAATATTAAATTACGTGCGACATCAGCGTCAGGATGTAATCCCTCAGCATACTTTCGTTCTTGTGGTATTGAGCCATTTTCTTGTCAGCAACAACGACGATTTCGATTATGTAAGGTTGCACATTGTGTTCCACGTGGACTCTACCATACGGCATTATACTTCGCTTCTTGACCGAATGATTCACTTCGATCACATCCTCGTCGAACAAGACGTTTTCTTCTTCACGATCACCTACAATTTGTTAAAACTCTTTTTTTGAAATCTCTCAATCAACAAATAGAATGGAACATACTTTGATGGGTTTCACAATGATCTGCATCGCTGTAGTCGTCGATATTCCCGACACCAATGGGACTTCTCCTGATCACATGCAAAATCGTACTCATAACAGCGTTGTCTTTGAAATCCTCCGCCGGCTCGATGTAATACGTCCAATCGCTCGTTTTTATGTATCCTGTCTAAATTTTCAAACATTTAATACAATTCCTCAAACTTATTAACAATTTAAAATTACAATAAAATCAACAATTTGATATTTACACACAAAAAAATAGGTCACGATTAAAACAAATTATGGATTATCTTTTGTTCATAATCACGCGATTAGCATAACTCAAACAATACATATCCGCCTTTTTTTCTTTGATTGTAATAGAAAAACGGATTTCGAAACGATTAGAAAAGGATTTTCCTACAATTTCTAATTTAATCTCCTAAACAGCAACGAAATATTCAATTTAATTTATTTTTTGACTCAGCAAATTACAGGTGATCAGAATATTGAATCGCGTATCCTTGATGCCGAAAATACGCGACCAATCTAAGTGAACTTACGAGTATGAGACGATGACGCTAAGTACCACGCATAGACGCGCAATCCTTATTAGTAGGAAATCCTGCATGCAAATTTCTTTCGAGAAAATATCGCCGAGGAAATAATAACAATGAAAAAATGTAGTTGTAATATTCGTGAGTTACGATTTCATTATTATGCAAGACAACGACCGACCTCGTATTGCCAGGTGTTAGATTACCTCAATGAAGTCAATATTCCGGTAATGGGTTGACCGCCCAGAAGCGACCACCTTTAAGCTGCGTTTACATAGCGCAACGGTAGTGCAGTGTATTTGAAATACACTTATAATAAGTGTAGTTTCATTAAAATAATATTATTTTTCTTCAAAAAGAAATTTATAATTCAATTTTGACACCTTACTTGCTAATATACTGGATGAATCAAGAACGTTCATTAAATGCATTAAAAAAATAATTAATAAGTGCACAGACTAAACACTTTTGCGAATCGCGAAACGACACAAAAAAAAATAAATGAATGGAGTGATCACAAATACGTGCATTTATTTGTGTATGACGTTATTTGCGGTTATTGGTGTAGTATCCGATGTGATTGAACTGGGAGTTTATTTATCATCGTGTCGCGCCTCACTCACGCGACCAGACTAAACAATAGTTTTACACCTTCTCCTCTCAACTATGAAACAAATTAATGGCCCAAGAAAAAAACGATACAACAAAAAAAAAAAACAGCTCAGGTAACGAGAGGAACGAAAATACATCTGGATTTCGATACACCTACGAAGAGCGTCATGCACTTTTCCAACTCTAATTTCTCTCATTTTGCCTAGAATAAATCGACCCAGATCTCACAAACTTGATGTAAATAGTTTACGTGCAGCATCCCAGAAAACTGGAGTACGCACGATGAAAATAAATGGATTCCGTATTGAGCTTAAGCAAACACACAAACGCTTAAGATTTGTTTGACTTAACGTTGCAATTGAGAGGATGAATCGAAGCGTGAACGTAATTTAGTTGCGAAGGGTGCAACGCTTCGTCGGACGATGATTGGTTACATAGAGATTCTGTTTTAAAATTGAAAGCGCTCGAAAGAAAGGGAGAGTGATTGATGCTGTATGGACGTGGGTGTGAGAGGAAGACAAAAAAAAAGGAGAGGAGGTAATTGCACCGTAGTCATGTGGGATGTGTAAATGTGAAAACGATTTACAACCTCCGCGCGGATGTATTGGAAAATGTTTCCAACATAAAAAAAAAATACGAAATTCAATTTACATACATTCAAATCATTGCATGCATCTCCACAATATTTTCCAACAATTATCTATTCAATTCTATATGCAAATTCATTTATTAAATTATATAGTTACCATAAGCAGATAAATAAAACATTCAATTATTTTGCAATTTTATAAATCTCAATGAAACTTATATTTGCAAACATTGGATAGATTTTTCAATAACAAAATTAAGAATATTCAACTATAAAATTGTATTTTATGACTACAAAAATAATGCATGTTCTTCACATCTTCTTTATTAGAGCATTAAGATTTGAATACTTGAAGTTTTATGAATCTCAATATTTAGGTTATAAAGGAAATAACAAAAATGTTAGTTTGTATTTGCAGAAGATCTTTGATGACAATTGTAAACATTGGATAGATTATTTTCCAATAACGAAATTACGAAAATCCAATTATAAAAGTCTTCAGATCTAGTTAATTGGAGTATTCAGGTTTTAATACTTGCAGCTTTACAAATCTCAATATATAAGTTAAAAAGGAAAATATCAAAAGTTGATTTGTATTTGCATTGGATTTGTAAACATTCAAGAGATTTTCTATTAACAAAGTTAAGAAAATCCAATTATGAAATTGAATTTTTCATTACAAAAAATGCATGATCTTAAGAACTAGTTTATTAGAGTTTTCATCAATAAAATTACGTTTGGTTTATTCAATTTTGAAAAATTTGCAATTTCATGAATTTCAATGTAACATATATTATTACAAAGGAAATAACTACAAAAAAAACAAGTTTGTCTTTGTATTTGCAAGAGAGATTTGCAGTTGGGGTGAAAAAAAAATGGTAAGTGTAAATCAAAGGTCAGATTGCGCAGATATAAGAAAATGCATTTGTTACATGCACAACAGCGGATATCTGTGTTTGTTAGTAGGTTGTCCTTCAGTTGAGTGCTTTTACGTGTATTATCGAGACTCGTTACTATTGCGTGAGCCAATTTCAAAAAAATAAAGTAAAATGTTGTACACCACACAGGAATAACATGGGTTTATTTGAAATAGTTAAATGTACATATAAATAGTACACGTAGACCTGTTTCAATTACAACGAAATTAATATAGACAAGACACAATTATTCGCAATTATTCATTCATTCATTCGTATTTTATTTGTCTGCAATTATTTATGAATTTGTATAATATTCATTATAAAAATAATAGTATAACTGAACTTGGGATATTGACCAGAGTCTTTTACTCTAAATATAACTAATATTTTCAAATTTTCATTTCTAATTCAATAAATAATTAATGAATACCAATTTGTAATTAATAATTAAATGTAATAATTTACAACAAAACCTCGCATAGTGCTGTTAAAAGGTTCCTGAACTGTTTGAAACCGGACTAATTGAGGAACTAAATAAAATGGAAATAACCCGCACAATAGGAGACTTTACAGTATAAATGAACAAAACAATAAGTTTTGTGTAATTTATGAGAATTTATTTAAAAAAAATGAAATTATACTGAATCCGGATTGATCAATGCCGAACTATATGTTATTAATTAATATAAACAAACTATTTTGACTTAACTTCAATAATAATTTAAATTATTTTAAAATATTTTACAAAAATTTCTTTTAAAAAAAGTTGAATATTCAATATTAGTTATTTTACTTAGAGTAAAGAGTGAGATAAATAATAAAAATGTGCCATCTGCAATTGTGCAAATTAAAAATAAATGAGAGAAAATAAATAATAAACCGTATGATTTACGCTGTAAAAATAAATGGGCAATAAAAATTAAGCCTTTTCTCTTTTCATCTTCAATCATCCTGTAGGAAAAGTTTGGATAAAAGAGTTCTAAAGAACGGTACTAATGAATTGATTGCCGCATATCGCAAAGGCACTAATGGACGGACATCCACATTTGAATGAACGAAATTAGTCTGCAGGATTATAAAATGTTGAAAGCGCACGTGTTCCTTTTATATTCTTTAAATAAAAAAAAGAGAACCATTTGCGCAATACGGCTAACTGTACTGTCGTGGTACAACAGAAGAATCTTTGCTCAATGTTGTCCCGAGGATTATAAACAAATTAAGTAATATAAATGTTTATCCTGCGCTATCAGGAGAGCCGAACTTGCGTAACCACTTTCTTCGCTCGGCACAACAAGCGCATGTCCATGTACACTACACTAATTTAGAGCCGTTATTCAAATGAAGGAGTGGGCACACTATTGCTATCCGTGGGCGAACCAGCGCAACGGAGCGCGTACAATGCATTCGTGTTGAAGTTGCTGTTACATGTTTATAGAACGAATTTGAGGGTAATCGTGTCCCGGCGGAGATGTTTACAATAACCCAAACATCGTTTCCAGGTTTTCAATTTTATTTTCGTGTATTGTGTGTGTGTGTGCGTGCATACGGCTATAATTTCACTCCCATCCTTTAGCTGTTGTGTATAACTCACTATTAGCGTTTACGACTTCTTCAGATTAAAGCCGAATCGTTCGGAGCGCAACAGAGATTTGTTTAGGCAATACAAAATAAAACGCCTTTCTTTTCTCTCTCTCCGCTCAGATGTTTCTTCCGCTCGATTCCTGAAAGGAACGAAACCGTAAACTGTCAATGCGGCTTCCACAAATCTCCATAACCACGCGGACCACCTGGGCACTTAAATGGTTTCTTTTGGATAGAAATACCTATATCTCTGATTCATTTTACTATCCATGAATCAGTTGTAATTTAGTCAACAGTTTACATTTCATGTAGTCATCCAGCTTTTATATACAAAACAATTTTTTAAATTTTTTTAATTACATTCATTTATAGACTTTGAGGAACACATAAAAACTTGCAGCTTTTAAGTTTCGATGGAAAGAGAATAAAAAATTAATTGTAAAACCATTCGAAATATAATTCGCAATTTATATACTGCAGCAACCAAAAACAAACATAAAACCTGAACATTTAATGCGTAAACTTTTATAGCATATTATTTTATTCTTGTTTATCACTTGACATCTACCCGAAATTGATTATTATATATTTTAATATAGATTTTGTTTTATAAATATTGTATATTGATGGAAACTCAATTATATATTTGGAAATGTGTATCAAGTTTTGAGAATAGGGTAAAGTAGAGAATATTTTAAATTTCAAGCATAAGTTGTTCTTAGTTAGAATCATATTTTCATAAGAAAAATACTAAATGAAATACTAATAATTATGTTAAATAATATGAAAAATTGTGTGTATATTTATTATTTCGGTCTTTGTTATTGATTTGTATAGAGTACAGCATTATTTGAAACCGGATTAATCGAGGAAATACATTCAAACAAAAGTAAACCGCACAAAAAGAGACTAGACTCTTTATTTTGCTCTATTTAAAACTAGTTTGTTCTAAAAACCGGACTATACTGAATCCGGACAAATCGAATCCGCCCTATGCGAGGTGTTGCTTAATAGAAATATGTTTTATTGTTTCATTTTATATATTATTTAAAAAAAAAAATTCTAAAACCGTTTATTTTTTAAAGTGAAAATGAACATTGATGAAATTGGTCTTGATTCAAGGCGAATAATGTGCAGGGGGAATGCTCATAAAAAAGATTTATTTGAAGAAAAATAACTGTATTAAAATTAAAATGATTTCCACATCTCGGAATTTATACAAATTATTTTCGTGAGACGCGAAACGAAACAGATTTTAATTATTTTCCTTCAATTTACCAAGAAAACGGATTTGACTCACCGTTATATTCAACAGTCTCTTCGGTCCGTTTAAATATATAATTTATATGCATTGCTATTTTCAAAATACGCCGCATTTCAAGAAATATATGTTTTCTTTGCAATATCGAATATAAAAAGCAACGAGAAGACGTGAAATATAAGAGGAAACAAATAAAGTAAAACCTCTTCTCAAATTACATATAATTTTAGCTCGAACGATGGTCCATAATTCATATTTATAAGTTTTAAAAAGTCAACAAACTTGCGTACACAATGTTAAACATGTTTCCATGTAATTTGCGTTGGAATACAACAAACTTTTGCTGCAGTCAAAATAAATATTTTACAACAAATATATTTGAAATTTCCGTATGTAAATAATTTTTTTACAATAAGTCTATGATATTTGATGTTAGATCTTATAATTAATAAGATTTTATTTGGCAACGTTTAATGTACATAAGTTCATCCAAGACAAAATAAACGGATTTTCAATACGTGAGACAAAAATATCTGGTTGGATTCCCAGAGTGTAAATTTAAAATTTTGCCAGTACACATACAAAAAAAAATATAAGTTTCGTATAAATCAAAAGAATGTAGAGGTTGCGAAATTGAATTTGAATGTTACTTTGAGTTATGACAGAAGTTGATTGTTTGAAATGTGCGTACTCGAATCTTTGATCGTTAATTTCAATCGATAAAATAAATAATCTTTGTGTTAGCATAAGTTTTCTTGATCTAAAATTCGTGTGATCCCATGATCAGAATTGAAAATAATGCTTCGCATAGTACAGCTATGGATTAACTTTGTAAAATGTAAAATTTTAATTGAACAAAATAAAAACAATACACACATTTCGCTTCATACACTTTTTGTGTATTTTAAAGTCCTCGTTTATTCCGATTTCAAACAGTGCGGGATATTGGCGACACTGAATACCGGCGAATTATTGGATATTAAGTAGTATTCTTAAAGTGGAAACAGTAGGTTGTATCGAAGTGTTACAAGATTTTGTTTTACTTAACACTTATCTAACATGTTTCGAGATAGATAGTTGCTTGCATGGAAGCAATAAAAAATGAATAAAGTATGGAATCATCAACGCGACGTCCGTGGGTGACGAATTCAATCTACGATTAATTGTGTAATCGTTGATATATATATTTTTTTTATGTACGTCGGGTGTTCAACTGTAGTTTTATGTGTATTATATTGTTGCTTAATGTGTTATAAATATGTTTAGGTTCGTCAAAGGAGGCTTTCATCTGTGCACTCATCATGGTTAGACAATAACCTCGATTCAATTCAATGAAACCATTAACGGTGTTTGAATAATCCTCCAATTTTAATCATAGAAAATAGAAAAAAATAATCGTTATTTTCTTAATGAATTAACAATTTATATTGCATTATTCTTATGTCTTCGGACAAATATTTAATTTGCGCCCTCTCTACAAAAAAAAACTATTACTTGCGCCCCAACGATTGATGATTGTTTCTTCATATAACTATATTATTAATACAGAAGTTGCGTAATCGGTTACATGACTTTATTACAGGAAATGTATTCGATCAAGCAGTATAATTAATTAACGTTTAATTCTGACGTGATTAACAACTTGATACCTTCCGATTATTAATTAAAACTTTAATTTGTTATATAAACTGTGCACGTAGAAATGTGTGCATAATTCAATTAATATTTAATTAATAGTTTTTAAATTAAGTAACTGTCAACAATGGAAATTATGTAATTAGAAAATTATTTCCATCTCACTCAATCATTTGCTAACAAATTCACATAATGATTTAAAGGAAAATTATAACAGTTAGATTTAATAAGTTTTCAATATTTCTCTATTATTGCCATTCCCATTTCGATATATTATGACAAACGTTATTTATTTATACATTTACATGCATTATATTTATTCAATTACATTTTCATTCTCATAATTCTTATTCAATAAAATTTCATTCTCATAAAATTATGGTAATAAAAATAATAATTGTACCAACTTACTATAAATTACGTAATTGGACCATAGAAAGTTTTATTCTCTATTCAATTTTGCTTGAGGTTTGTCTTAGACTACCGTAAATTGTAATAAATCCTAGTAGTTTCAGAATGCTCAAAGCACAAGGAAGAATTGTTGCAATTTTTTGTCTTATTTTATGGTTAAAATATTACTTGTATGCAATGAAATCATACTAATAACAACAATTTAATATATGAGTAAAAGGCGGAAGGAATATTCGCTTTAGAGCAGTGGTTCCCAGCCTGTTTTTTTGCATTTCTAAAATTCTTATTTCCCCTACGTAACATATACATAGTACGCTATACGTTTAAATTATAGATGTGTCCATTTTCGAATTCCCCACGTTGGGAAACACTGCTTTAGAGAATTGAAAATATTGTTGTTTCAGAGTACTCACCATTCCATGACACAAGGAGACGGCGACCATAGAATGGGGATCATCGCTGATGTTGCCAGAGTAATAACATCCGGAGCTCCTCGGATCGTGCCTTATCCTTTGCGTGTAATTCTCCCACACGTGGATCACCTGTGGTCGCGAACAGAAAGAGCAAGAGTTAAGCGCTTTGTGTCCGACGGGATGCGATCGATATGTGAATTACATTTAAATTTTGTGAAACAAATTTATCGTTATATATCAGAACAAGCTCTAATTTTTTACCAAACGCGTCAATCTCATAGCGCGGATGAGGGTCCCAAACCTCTGCACTTTTACTTCTGAAGTGGCCGCTGTGATGCTTATTATTAGGAGATTCATCTGAAAAAAACACATACAATCAAAATTAATGCGTGCGAAACGCCGGAACGAATCCGATTTTCGCGAATAACGATTACCTATGTGATTTCTCAATTGATCGTAGAGCAGATCGTGATTGTTCAGTGGTAACGGGCTTATCTTCATTGGCTTCACGTATTCCACATCGCTAATGTGTTCCTTAATTGGCCCATTCGATGCTGCAACAATGGAATAATACATTAGTAAATTGCACGTGAAACTAATCGCATCGTCACTCCGTTTGTTACGTAACACTTATTAGAATCATTTCATTGTTTTGGCTCATTCCATAGATTAAAGCTGATTCTTCTGGGGGAATGCCAAGATAACATATATACAGCAATACCTCGCATAGTCTTATTTAAAACCGGACTAATCGAAGAAAACACAAAAAGAGAATTGTATAATTTTCAAACCGGAATATGCCAAATGGACCAAGTAGGCATTGACCCAGGGCGGCAAATTTAAAAAAATACAAATTCATGTTGTGTGGGCTTGAAATGCATGTTTGTCCAGGACTGAATCAACACTGGCGCCGGTCCTGCTCGTGGTAGTAGTTGTAGTAGTAGTAGTAGCATGATTCATAGTCTTTCCTACAAATAGTATCTGGACTTGTTATAAATATGGTCCGAAGCTATTAATATTAATTAGCCTGTAACAGGGCAGGGAAGGCAATAAAGATCTGATTAATTGACAAGCGCAGCATCTGCAGGGACCTCAAGCGGATTTAAGACCAAAAACACCAAACAATGTCTTCGTGTGGGCATAGGCCACAACGGGGACAAGAGAAGGCGCGCCTCGACCACGCTGAAACTGCAAGTCACTCGCATCTACTACTACCTCTGGTAGACGAGACGGAACCGAAGAATCGAACTCATATAATACTCACAGCAAATCGTTTAAAACTGGACAGCAACACACACATATTGTTCTTCGAAGGATGAACGACACTACTGTTAATAATTGTCAGATGACATTGTTTATCGAAATACTCCTACACTACCTTGATCCATGTTTTAAAAAAATATTGTTTATTCTACTTCATTCTTCTATCAATACATTCAGTTGTTTCAATTTAAATTCAGCGATACCAACTTAAAAATAAATATGAATCAGAAATTTTGTTCTAATTGGTGTTAATCAAAGAGATTAACAAGAAACGCTTTGAATCACTCATTTATGTTTTTAAGAAGAGACTTTTTAATCTTCGTTTTCTTTGACAATATTTTTTTCGAATAATCACCTTTATCCAGTTCTTGGTATAGATTATCATTCGAAGCTCTTCCAGATGAAAATACTGTCAGATGATATTGATTATCGAAAGATTCATATATATATCCTTAAACTGTATTTAATACATTTTCTGGTGTATCTATTTTATGCACCGATACCAACATAAAAAATAATATGAATCAGATGTTTATTCTAATTGACGTTAGTCATCGAGATTAACAACATTTATTTATATTTTTGAGAAGAACCAATTTAATTTTCGTTTCATATAATAGTGAATTCATCATATATGCATTCCTAAAGCCCTACTTAGCATACATTATGCTTCGAAGGGTGGATGACAGTGCTCTTTCATGTTCCAAACTGGTTGTCAATGTCATCTGTCATCATTGTTTATCGAAAATAATCCTACACAGCCCTAATCCATTATTTTAACCATAATTTTATATAATATAATATATATAAATTAATATATACTAGTTATTTGTTCTAATTGACTAATAAAAAATAAATTAAATTTTTTTTATAGAAGAAATTGCAAAATCTAATTATTATTTAACTATCTGCTCTTAAGAAATATATCTAAATAATGTAATAATATTGGTCGTTTACACCCGCACGCTGCCCACGTTATCCAATTATTTGTGTCTTTCGGTGCCCAAAGTTTTCGTGTTTAAATTATTCATATTTTTTTTTATTTACGTAATATCATCGACCCAATGCAGTCTAATGTGACGGAAAACAAGTATTTCATGTTTATAATTAATGTCCGAGTGCGTCCATGAATTATTTATCAATCTTAAGAAATTCCTTCATGTGGACATCTTTATTCCAAACACGATGAACGCTGAATTAGATCGATCGCATTATGCTATATATTCAATATTTGTTCTAATAATAAAACGTTATTTATTATTGATTGTATATTAATTTCTAAACGATGAATTAATTTAATGCACATTAATTAATTTATCTTTAATTAATTGTAGAAAATAGTAACTTATAATTAAATTAAATTTCGAGAATTTTACCTTTCAAAGACGTCAGGTTGTTTTTTCTGTCAAAAATATCAAGAAACAAACTAAAAATTATGACACTTCTGACTTGTCAAGAATTATGACAACTTCATTTATATAGTTGACATTTTCAATAAGATGTTTTTATTGCAAATCCAAAATTAATTCTGATTAAAAAAATAAAATTTACACAAATATTGTTGACTTTGAACGATATTAGGATTAAGAATATCAAAAAAAAAAAAAAATTATAACAACTAGGATAATGTTGGTACGTCTATAAACTTGTGAAGAATTATGAAAACCTAATTCATACAGTTGACATTTTTCAATAAATTAACACAGTGATTGCTTAACATAAATTGTGTTGTCTTTCAAAGTCCTAAGAAATAATGTTGGTACTTCTTCAAACTTGTCAAGAATTATGACAATCTCATTCATACAGTAGGATTTTTCAATAAAGTACTAATTTGAAAAGAAAAAATAGACTTTTAAAGACCTCAAAAATAATCATGTAAAATAATAACTAGGATAATGTCAAACATGTCATCTTTATGTTATGACAACTTTAATCATATAACCTAAATTCCCAAATTAAATGTGATTAAAAATCGTAAATCGTAAAGTTTATAAAAACTGTAGTAACATTGATATGAATTTGTTAAAATAATTAATTGTAGACAATAAAAAATGTTGTAAACACAAATAGCCGTGATGATAAAGTGAAGTATAAATAAAACAGCAGTTATCTTTGCGTAGTAGATTTACGTTGATTGTATATAAATAAAAGTAAATGAAAAATGAATGAAATGAACAAAAAAAAGAAGATTAAATTCAATACAGTTATGCATTTATAATAAATTATAGACACGCTATTATTTATTAATGATCAAGTGATTATACGGCGACTGTTTGTTTGCATGTTTATACTGAGGAATAAATAATAAATTACAATTGATAATTTATGACAGGCTGTCGACCGAGAGGCAAATGTCATCGTAATATGCACAGTAGGTTCATAAACAATTGCACTTAATTAGCTCATTTTGTCCGTGATAATTGGCTAAATACTTATTATCCGCGTATTGTTCAGATAAAATACAATTAATCCACGAATTCCGGAGTGCATAAATCAAGGGTTTATCAATTATGCGTTTCCAGAAAATCGAACGTAAATAAACAATTGCTCATAATTTAAATATATAAATTATCATTGATTTAAATGAACATTTTTATTATGCAGTACCAATTAAAATTACATAAATGTATAAAGTAAGAAATGCAACGATTAAAATAAATTTATTAAAACGGATTATAAATAAATAGCGATATCGTTGAACTGCGAAGAGAAGAAAGATGATGATGATGATGGTGATGATGATTTATGAAGGTGCGACAGAAAACCGGATAATAAAATATGCCGAGTTCGTTTCTCGTTATTATTTCAGCATTCATCCTCGCTGAATACATTATTCATTTTTGCTCTTTTGGGTTCCACACTCGAATTTCACTTTCGTTCGGTTAAATACACAAACACGTGTCGTATAAGTGCGGATCTACTTAGTTTATACACCAAAAAGTCTACTTTTTTATTTGTTTCAAACAATATTTCGGTAGTCTATAAACTCTGATCTATTTATACTTTCAACATTACGGAATTATTTCAACGTTTAGTTGAATGAAGCTAAAAAAATGTGTTTTTGAGATGTTTTACTTGAAAATATTTATAATTATTTACATACAGTGGAACCTCGATTAACGAGCATAATAAATTGTAAGAGAAATGACTCCAAAACGGAACACATTATCGTATATTACATTAGTTTATATGGGGAAAATTATTTCACCATACGAGTAAAAATACGAGATTTTTTACTTAAAAACTTGTATAACTATTTAAATATTTTGCTTCTTAGTGTATCAATTCACATTATTTATTAATTTTAAAAAACAATCTGATAATAATTGTTCAATCTATTTATATCTTAACTCTACAGATTTCTTCAAAATTTAGTTGTCAGATGCTAAAAATATTGTATTTTTATTTACATATTTAGTGTATCAATTCTTATTATTTCTTAGTTTACAAAAGCCATCTCATAATAATTGTTCAATCTATTTATATCTTAACTTTACAGAATTATTTCAATATTTAGTTGACAAAAGCTAAAAAGATTGTGTTTTTTGAGAATTTCTACTTAAAATTATTTTAAAAGTTATTTACATATTTTGTTTCTTAGTTAGAATCAATTCTTCATTATTTCTTAATTTACAAAAACAAGCTCATCTTTCTTAGTAAATCAATTCTCATTATTTCTTAATTTACAAAAACTATCTAATAATATTTTGTCAATCTGTTTATATCTTAACTATGCAGAATTATTTCAAAGTTTAGTTAACAGAAGCTAAAAATATTGCGTTTTTGAGTATTTCTACGTAAAACTTGTATAATAATTTAATATTTTCTTTCTTAATTAGAATCAATTTTTCATTATTTCTTAATTTATAAAAACAATCTGATAATAATTTTTCAATCTATTTATATCTTAACTTTGCTGATCTTTTTCAAAGTTTACTTGACAAAAGCTACAAAGATTGTGTTTTTGAGAAATGTTACTTAAAAACTTATAATTATTTGCATATTTTGTTTCTTACTTAGAATCAATTCTCATTATTTCTTAGTTTGCAAATAATAATATTTTTTCTTCTTCAAATAAAAAATTTCATTATAACAATTATATAAAAACACAACTAGTTACAGTATTCCAACTTTTCTTTCTTTTCGACTAGAAAATTAACTGATATATTCTTCATAAGTAACTTAGTTTTTAATGAAAAAAAATGTAATTTGTAATATTCAATATGTGAAATTACATTTATGAAAGAAAAAATTGATATTCTTCGATACATCTTTTAAAAAACTTTGGCTT